AAAATTTCGTCGAAAAATGAAGGTAAAATAGCTCCAAAATTAACTTTTTTCCTCCAAAAATTGCTGATTTTTGCCCAAATCTTCAAAATTATGCGTGTCAGAGTATTGATTCATGTTCCTCTTGCATCCAGATGAATTTCTGCAGTGTTTTGAGAAAAGTCCATTTTTGGCCGATTTTGACTAAAAATGTAAGGCTAACCCCTTGCATTTTTTCAATTTCGGCAAAAAAATGAAATTTCTTGAAAGTTGCTAGAAAGATGTCTTAAGGGCCCTAGAACGCATTCCCAATCGATTACTGGACAGATGTGCTATTAAAGGGAAAATTTCGTCGAAAAATGAAGGTAAAATAGCTCAAAAATTAACTTTTTTCCTCCAAAAATTGCTGATTTTTGCCCAAATCTTCAAAATTATGCGTGTCAGAGTATTGATTCATGTTCCTCTTGCATCCAGATGAATTTCTGCAGTGTTTTGAGAAAAGTCAATTTTTGGCCGATTTTGACTAAAAATGTAAGGCTAACCCCTTGCATTTTTTTCAATTTTGGCCAAAAAATGAAATTTCTTGAAAGTTGCTAGAAAGATGTCTTAAGGGCCCTAGAACGCATTCCCAATCGATTACTGGACAGATGTGCTATTAAAGGGAAAATTTCGTCGAAAAATGAAGGTAAAATCGCAAAAAAATTAACTTTTTTCCTCCAAAAATTGCTGATTTTTGCCCAAATCTTCAAAATTATGCGTGTAAGAGTATTGATTCATGTTCCTCTTGCATCCAGATGAATTGCTTCCTTGTTTTCAGAAAAGTCAATTTTTGGCCGATTTTGACTAAAAATGTAAGGCTAACCCCTTGCATTTTTTTCAATTTTGGCAAAAAAAAATGAAATTTCTTGAAAGTTGCTAGAAAGATGTCTTAAGGGCCCTAGAACGCATTCCCAATCGATTACTGGACAGATGTGCTATTAAAGGGAAAATTTCGTCGAAAAATGAAGGTAAAATAGCTCAAAAATTAACTTTTTTTCTCCAAAAATTGCAGATTTTTGCCCAAATCTTCAAAATTATGCGTGTCAGAGTATTGATTCATGTTCCTCTTGCATCCAGATGAATTTCTGCAGTGTTTTGAGAAAAGTCCATTTTTGGCCGATTTTGACTAAAAATGTAAGGCTAACCCCTTGCATTTTTTTCAATTTTGGCCCAAAAATGAAATTTCTTGAAAGTTGCTAGAAAGATGTCTTAAGGGCCCTAGAACGCATTCCCAATCGATTACTGGACAGATGTGCTATTAAAGGGAAAATTTCGTCGAAAAATGAAGGTAAAATAGCTCCAAAATTAACTTTTTTCCTCCAAAAATTGCTGATTTTTGCCCAAATCTTCAAAATTATGCGTGTCAGAGTATTGATTCATGTTCCTCTTGCATCCAGATGAATTTCTGCAGTGTTTTGAGAAAAGTCAATTTTTGGCCGATTTTGACTAAAAATGTAAGGCTAACCCCTTGCATTTTTTTCAATTTTGGCAAAAAAATGAAATTTCTTGAAAGTTGCTAGAAAGATGTCTTAAGGGCCCTAGAACGCATTCCCAATCGATTACTGGACAGATGTGCTATTAAAGGGAAAATTTCGTCGAAAAATGAAGGTAAAATAGCTCAAAAATTAACTTTTTTCCTCCAAAAATTGCTGATTTTTGCCCAATCCTTCAAAATTATGCGTGTAAGAGTATTGATTCATTGGTGTCCAAAATTTAATAAGGTACTGGGTTAGCATTGCATTTTTATCAGAGTTGGCGAAAACAACTTTGTATCCAAAATTCAAAATGGTAAGGGTTAACCTTGTATTTTTATCAAAAACGGGCAAAACACATTTTTATCCAAATTTCAAAATGGTAAGGGATTAGATTGTATTTTTATTAGTAGGTGGCAAAACAAAATGTTATCCAAAATTCAAAACAGGAAGGGGTTCAACTTGTATTTTTTATCAAACAGGGGCAAAAACAAACTTTTATCCAAAATTTAAAACGGTAAGGGGTTATCATTGCATTTTTATCAAAAAGGGGCAAAAACTAAATGTTATCAAAAATTAAAAACAGTAAGGGGTTAGCCTTGCTTTTTTATCAAAAGGGGGCAAAACAAAATTTTATCCAAAATTTAAAACGTTAAGGGGTTAGCCTTGCATTCTTATCAAAAAGGGGAAAAAAGAGATTTTTATCCAAAAATTTAAAACGGTAAGGGGTTAGCCTTGAACTTCTATCAAAAAGGGGCAAAACACAAAATTATATCCAAAATGTTAAACGGTAAGGGGTTAACCTTGAATTTTTATCAAAAAGGGGCAAATACGAAATGTTATCCAAAATTTAAAACGGTAAGGGGTTAGCCTTGAACTTCTATCAAAAAGGGGATAAATACGAAATTTCATCCAAAATTTAAAACGGTAAGGGGTTAGCCTTGCATTTTTATCAAAAATTGGGCAAAAACAACATATTTATCCAAAATTGAAAATGGTAGGGGTAAGCCTTGCATTGTTATCCAAAAGGGGCAAAAACTATTTTATCCAGTCTCATAGGGTTTGTGCACAGGGTGACCCCAAGTGATGGCCAGATATGGGAATCTTTCCGACAATTTCTTGCTGTTCTTGAAATTGACACTTGTTACCATATTGTTAAGTGTCAATTTCACTTTTCAGGAACGCAATTCCCTTCGAGACATGAGCGTCGCGAGGGGGCGCTTTTACCTTTTGTACAGTTACTTTTTTACATGCCTTGCTAATTGCAGCGAATTTTAGCTTCATTTTTCTCACCATTTGTATCCATACTTGAATTGAAATTGTTCCACAAGTACTCTAGTGTGGCCAGTAGTTCCTACTCAATTACTTAAGACGAAATGCGTAACTTTTCGGCATGAAAATGGCAACTTACTCTGCATTTTTTCGATGGTTGGTGACGTCCTTCTATCGTCCTTGCCTGCTATTCTTTTAAAGTTTTATATAGTATCCTACGGCGCTATAGGATCTTTGGTATTTATAATCATCGGATTTGAATAGCGCCCCCATTGAAAGCATGGTGCGAGCCATAATATACATCACATCTTTAACAATGTTCCCGTATAATATCGTATATGGCGTTTCTTATACGTCGATTGCAAATTACGCCATTAATAATGGTAGTCATATTGATCATGAATGAACTTAACTTTGATTATAGTCAATTATCAAAAATTCATTGATTTATTATATAGACCTCTGTCTCGTTTTTAATATCACCGTTTAGACCTGCCGAGCAGATGTACATATCAAACTAAACCAAAGTTTAATAAAAATAGAGGATAAAAAAAATCAAAAAGTTATGTGCTAGCCAAGCTTTCAGGGGTCGGTCTGAGCCATAACAATGCCCCAGCCCGCCCCTTAGTTCTCTTCTGGGCTCTCGGGTGTCCCGGCCAATACACACTTCCTTCCCTGTCCATCCATATAACCCCGGAGGGCCAGGCACCATGTAAAAGCAAAGAGCTAAGGGAGGAACAGGGCGGCCCCTAAGCCCTGATCCTCCGAGTGGACCACATGCCCTGAACCTGTACGAAGGCGCCAACCTGGAACTCACGGACAGTACCAGCCGCAGTGCTTACCGATTAAGCTAAGGTACCGTTGGTGATTTACGATGGGAAATTAAACATCTTATTATCACTGAATAGAATGCGGGCGTTGAAAAACAAAAAGACACCGATGGGATTCGAACCCGGGCTCCGCGATTCGTGGACGACGAATCTAACCACTCGGCCATCAGGCTTCCTTAGAATTCTCCTCAAAAACAAATTGTCTTAATAATAGGTGGAGAAACGTGGAACATTGCTTTGCGCATCTGTTTTGGCTCCATGGACGAAACTAAGTCACCTGACATTTCGGGCAATAATAGTGAGCAAACTGTTGTCATTGTTTGGAAAATTACGTACGGCTACCTCGTTAATCGTAGACTTATACATGTGCTAAACATACTCATCGTTACGCAACAATCGGAACACCATTAGGCTAATTTCTTTTTTAAAGGAATCAGGTGCGTTCAGGGGCGGATCCAGGAATTTTGCGGGGGGTCTAGGTCCGTCAGATGTTTGTATCCGATTGACCGTGTTATTATCATAGGCTTCTATGGCAGTTTATTTACTGGTCGGCAACCTTAAAAGCGGGCGCTCTTCAACTCGTCCGACTGAGGTGACACGCTTCACGCGTCCCCCCCCCCTTGCTCGCTCTTAACAGCTGTGGCCGCGGTTGCAATTGGACACTCTGCAACACAACACCCCCACCCCCTTATGCCTCTGCTCTGAGGTAAGTAAAATAGGCGCTAAGAATAACGGAAATGGAAGAACCAAAAAACTATCCATCCAGGCGCGGATCTAGAGAGGGGAGGGGTCGGGGTGTTACCCCCCCCCCCCCAGCTCTGTCAAAAAGAATTTAAAAATTTCCATAGAAATTCATTTAAAAAAATGGTAAACCCCCCTACTCCGACATCCCAGGTTTGTTTGGAAAAACATGTACATGGAATAATGTCCGCTTTGCACCAAATACGTACAGAATCAGCTTGTTTGTGTGGTATAATAATGTACATTATTCTGAGATAAAGTGTTAATAAATCGTCGAATTTGAACAGCGTCCCCAATTGAAAATATGGTACAAGCCCCCCCCCCCCCCCCCCCCCCCCCCATTTGTTAACTTACGGAGGCCAAGTGTCCGGGGAAAAAACGGTCTACATTCAAGAATCTGTTACTGATGACCCCCCCCCCCCCCCCCGCGAAAATTCCTCGATCCGCCGTTGTGTGGAATTGAAATATGGTCTAATCCATAGCAGTGATAGAAAATGCAAGTCTGTTGACAATTGGCAGAAATTATTAAACAACACAAATAATATAACCAAAACAATGCAGCGCGAAAAATACAATCCGAACGCAAGTCAACTTTCATGGAACAAAAACAACACATTGGTTTGGTGGACAATAGTCCACTGGGAAATGATTGGTCCTTTGAAATGATATCTTTCCTGTTTTCGTTATTATGTAACCAAGCTTGTTAATTTCCAAAAGCAGATGTCAAATAATAGATTTAACACAACCAAAACAATAGAGTGTGGTCAGCGAGAAAAATAAAATCGAAACTAATGTCAACTTTAATGAAATAAAAAAATCATACTTGTCTGCCAGACGATACAACAAGAAATACTTGTTGGGTGGAATTAGAATTTGGTCTAGTTTTTGGTAGTGATATGTACATTTGTAATACAAGTTTGTTGGAAATTGGTAGAAATTGTTAAACACTACAAATTGAAATATTATAACCAAAACAATGCAGTGCGTTCAACGCAGAAAATGCAATCCGGACAATCCGAACATATTTAGTCAACTTATATTTCTAATTCTACCTCCTCCATGATTTCATGAACAACAAAACAGCACGTTTGTTTGGTGGACAGTAACTCAAGAAATAAATGGTCTGTGGATTAAAATTTTGTTAGTTAATTGCTCGTTTTGTCTTAAACAAATCTCTAATTTCCAAATGCAATTCATTAAACAATACATTTAATACAACCAAATATTGTCCCGCTGTTTTGTATGAAGGCAATATCCACACACATATGACAACTTTTCTTTCAACAGAGGGCGCGCTACATTAACACCGTAAAGCACTGCAAAGTTGTCAACACGGAATATTGTCATGGCCCCAAAAAACCGGCATACTCATTTTAAAATGATTTTTTTCCTGTTAATTGTTCGTTATTATCTAACCAAGCTTGTTAATTTCCAAAAGCAGATGTCAAACAATAGATTTAATACAACCAAAACAATAGTGGGTCAGCGAGAAAAATAAAATCGAAATTAATGTCGACTTTAAATGGAATAAAAACAACATACTCGTTTTCCAGATGAAAACACAAGAAATACCTGTTGTACGGAATTGAAATTTGGTCTAGTTATTGTAAGTGATATAGTCTGTTGAAAATTGGTAGAAATTGTCAAACACTACAAATCATATAAGCAAAACATTGTAATGTGTTCAAGGCGACAAAACAATTTGAACATAATTAGTCAACTCATTTTCATGCAACAAAAACAACACGTACATTCGTTTGGAAAATTGGACAATAACTCAATAACTAAATGTTATATCGAATTGAAAATGTGTCTGTTAATTGCTATTTAACGTCTTGAACTAGTTTTTTTAATTTTCAAAAGTAAATATCAAACAGTAAATTTAACTGGAAAGCATGGTTACTTATACATGCCGTGACTGTCGGTCTAATAACTCTGTATCCACATTGAATGGCAAGCTTGCAGCGGCTGCAGCGCACCGTCCAAGTATCTTGCTCAATGCTATCTCGGGCATGTTGCATCGATTCTGTGATTTCGGTGCAGCAGGTAAACGAATCGATTCTCCTACCCGGCGCCAACAGTCACTGTCTACAGCACATTCCTGGGTGAGCCTGATCACGGTGGAGTCGATCAAATCTGTCTCATCATCGGAATCGATTCTCGGGGAGTCAGTGCCGCTACCGGTTCCACGGCAGCGGCGCTCGATGCTGCGCAGTGTGCACCGTACGATGGACTTCTGAAAGCCGTCACAGGTGTTTGTTGTGAGATCTGCGCCTGGGATAGAATGTTCTTGGAGGGGGAGGCACTGGACTTCCGTTGATGCCCCGGAAACAACCGACATTCCGAACAACATGTCCCTGCGCCTTCGACCACCCGCAGGGTAGCCGGCAACTTTGGCGCATCTGCCGCATACCCGGAGAGGGTCGATCCGGGCATCGGTCAGCTCACCCAGCATGTCCAGAAACTCCCGGGCCGAGTGTGTCTCACTAGACGTTGGCTGGTTCAAGTAGCCGAGGACGAAGCGAGCTGGTCCTGTCATATCAGAGTGACGGAGCCCAATGAGGCTAGAGACGTCAGCCCGGGATGCCGGCATGTTGACGGTGAAAACGTGCACAATTCGCGGAGCAGCGCCCTTCTCTGCGATGTATCTCTCCCACGTTGCCGGCAGATCGTCCAAAACCTGCTGGAGGGCGCTCCTGTCTCCACTCGCCGCACGGTAGATGTAGTTGATCGTGTCTGATGTGGAGCCCAGCTCCGAGCACGGGGAAAACGGCTGGGTGCGCCCGGCGTAGTTGAAACTGACCACGGCAAAATCAGCAGCAGTCTCGGTGAAAAACTGCCCGCACAGGTACATGTCCAAGTATTTTGTGTCAGCTTCTCTCAGCTCCTTGCGACGCTGTATGGAAGGGGGTCCGCCCCACTGTCTACCGGGTCGCTTGGATGAGGGACCCTTGCCGTTTTCTTGCGCCGGTTTGCCGCCCCTGGCGGGCTTTCGACCCGCCGCGTCCGTACCGTCTTCGACTCCGGCCGGTACGATCCTCTTCCCGTGTCCCTCTCTGCGAGTCGTGCCATCCTCCCTCCGTGGACCGTTGAACACTGCAGGAGGCCGGCCAGGCTTCCCCTTGCCGTTACTGTCCGGGCTTGAATCGTCAAGGGACGCCGGTCCGCGCTTCGGTTTCCCGGCGGCTTCACTGCCAGACTTGGCGGTCTTCTTCTCAAGCGACTGGGGATAGACATCGGACGAAGAAGTTCTAGATGATTCGTAATCAGTGGGTGGAACGTAGGGTGGATCCTCATTGTCTACCGAGGGTTCCTCGTTATCGGACAAGTCGATGCCGGATGACAAAGAAGATGAGGCGCTGCTGCTACTGACGTCGCTGGACAGTTCATCGATGGTAGCTGACGGGCAAATTATAACGTCCGCTGATAACAAACTGCTCGCTGCAGACGACTCGCCCGCGGAATCAGACGGGACGTATGACGTATCGACAGGATCTGTCGGCTCGTCGACCGATGATGACGTGTCCGATGAAGTAGAGGACAGATCAGATGACGTCATTATGACGTCATAGACATCCGAAGGTTCTACGATTATCCCGTCGTAGTCATCGGAGGAGGAGGAGTGCATGGAATCAGAGTAGTCCGATGATAGCACGCCGTTCGCGTTGTGCGCATGCGCTATCCAGAGCCAGCACGTGAAAAACACCAACACTGGCACGCATCCACATTTTGACGCAATGATGAACGCCATTTTGAAAACTGCAATGGAAAGGAAAGAGGAAAACACCAAAAACTTATCGTGAATCTGGATGAAATTGGGAACATTGTTTGCAGAAAGTGCTGTGGGTTTGCTTTAATAATCACCCCTGGTAATTACTTCCTATTTCATTGTGAAAGTTTCACTTATGAACTTAAACCAGAGGAGAAATGCTATTTAGGACTGACGTATAAAACCTTGCCCAGTGTGGCGGATGGAGGCTGGCTGGGGTCGGCGTTGAAGTTTTAAGTGGAGATATAAGTCAAAACATACAGAAAGAAAATGGTGTGCGTGTAGACAATGAACCGAGATCTTTATTATACGACGTAAAATCAGTTCATGTAGTTGTTTGGTTGTTTGTTTTGTAAAAGCCAAAAATATAGATAGCTTGGTCGGATGGATGGAAGGTCAAGGCCTACCATAGAGGAAGGAACTTCCTTCCTCCATTGGCCTATAATGTATATTTTCCAGTAAGGAACTAGACGAAATGAAGACCATAATGTAAGGCTACACATGTACCTGCATTTCGCAAGGAAGTGTTTCATCTCAAATTTCTTAGTGCAGCGTTTTAGAAAAATAAAGGAATTATTTCGATGATGCACTCAAGTTGGACTTGCAGATCTTTCCAAAAAAAAATACCGAAAAAATGGAAGCACAATCTATTATAGTTATACACTTAGGCTACTGCAAATGTCTTTATACTTGACTCGATTTTAAATCTGAACACACGTTTCCTTGTATTCACCGAACAAATCATAAATTCTTTCCCTCAAGGCATGTGGAAAACCTTGAGTGGGAATGCATTTGGCTGTAGAAAGAATCTGTGGACACAAAATACAATGTAGAAAGTTTGGGTGACATTTCAATGTACCAAATGTATAATGACTGCCTGCGAAAACACTTTCTCAAGCTGAGTGAAATCTCATTTCGGTCCGTCAATACTAAATTTTATCAAAAGAGAAACTTACCCAGAGACTTCTTTACTAATGCTCGCGTGACCACAGAGAAATAAACCCGTCTGCACTCCCCAGCTGTATGGTCTGCAATTCTGGGCTCGTCACCCGACGCTTGCAGTTTTTATACGGCTGTCTGGGAGCCAGCCGGTACCAAGTAGGTGGGCGTTCGTCTAAACTGGCCCTGCTGTTAAATCAATAAACAGGGTGACGGATTATGTCTTTAGTTGGAAACAGGATTCGGAAGTACGATGACGCGCACAACCAACCCGCCCCCACCGGGGTACTGATGATGGCCCGGGGTGAGTAGCCTGACCCAATGTTGCCTGTCACGCGCTTCAACTAAGCCCAATGGAGATCGCTTTGCCACTCATGACGTCCGTGAACCGACATCTTCCCCTTTTTAAAATCTTTCTTCATGGACCAAAATAAACATGCAGGGTGATCTTACAATAGAATGCGACCGACACATCTTTCATGTAGGCCTATTACAGGCCTCAGTATAGTTTTTTTTGTACAAGTATATACATGTGTGAGCACTTCAGGTTCATCGAAGTTTATTTTTTACAAGGGCGGATCCAGAACACAATTTTTTTTGGGGGGGGGGCCCAAAAAAATGTTGGTCCCCCAAAAAAGTGGGTCAACAAAATTACGGCTTTATGGATTCTAGATGCTCTGTGGTGCGATCTGAGGCAATTTCTGACCACTTTAACCAATGGTTTTTTTTTTAGGAAAAGACGGTGGTGTACTCATTGCCTGCCTTTATTGCGATGTCACATAAAAAATTAAAAAAATTGGGACCCCTTTGGCCCCCCCCCCTGGATCCGCCCTTGATTTTTTTTTATAGTTTCCACGTGTGGGTGTAGGCGTAAATGCGTATCGGCTAGTGGGTGCACGGGTGGGTGGTGGTGGTGGTGGGGTTGGGGGGTTGGATGGGGGATGACAAAAATCCTCAAATTGCCCGGTGGTGGAAATTCGAAGAGGGAGGGGCGGGGGGGGGGCTGGATTGGACACCACTAGCCTGGCGATGTTTATGATAAAAATGTACATCGTATGCAGACTGGTGCGCTTACATAGATCAAGATGGGTCCCTAGATCCAGAAATAAAATCAATCAAGTAAAAGGTGTAAAAGTTACTTGGGCCATTTGGGTCAGACAGTTGGTGACATCATCACAGGTTAGAGTGGCCCGAGTAAAATTTACACCCTTTCACTTAATCGATTGTATTTCTGGATCTAGGGACCCAAATGGAATGGAGTGAAAAGGTGTGGATTGGAAAATAGTCAGCCTTTATAATGTGATATAAAAAAAAATTAAACAATTTTTATTATTTGTTTTCTGAATGTTGCATTTTTGGGGGCACACTCTTTATTTCATTTTCATTGCTATTTAATACGCTGTCTGAATGTTTGAAAATAACATTAAAATCGTCATTTCTTCCTCCACAAAAACCTTGGGGGCGGGGGCATGATCCAACATGGCCCATTCCGGTCAAACAGTGGGGGATGTATCCCTCCCGGATTTACGCCCTTCGCTTGGTTGATGACAATGAAGTCACGTCCAGGTTCTTGCGATGATAACATTTTAAAGTGTCCCAGTATTGTTATAGGCTAGACGAAAATTAAATGTTTCGATACAGTTGGTTTCTACCAACCCTGAGTGCCTTACATCCGATGCCCCAACCCAAGGACGAAAATGATTGGAACAAAAGTCGCATAGCCGCGAAGACATTGTACAGCACCTTTGCTCGCTCTGAACGCTTGACAACCCGCCTGTATACTTACCAAATTGCCCGGCAGCCAAGGGCGGATCCAGGGGGGGCCAAAGGGGGCCATGGCCCCCCCCCCCAAAACGAAATCAATTTTTTTTTTTTTTTTATGTGACATCGCAATAACGGCAGGCAATGAGTACACCACCATCTTTTCCTAAAAAAAAACCCATTGGTTAAAGTGGTCAGAAATTGCCTCAGATCGCACCACAGAGCATCTAGAATCAAGCCCCGAACCCCACGCCGTAATTTTTTTGACCCACTTTTTGACATCGCAATAAAGGCAGGCAATGAGTACACCACCATCTTTTCCTCAAAAAAAACATTGGTTAAAGTGGTCTAAAATCGCCTCAGATCACACCACAGAGCATCTAGAATCCAAAATTTTTTGGCCCCCCCCAAAATTGTGTTCTGGATCCGCCCTTGCCGGCAGCCGGACAGCATATATCGCTATTTACCTTCGCTATACCGCTGACGTTAAAAGTCAGTCGTCATTTCTAAGATGTCGCCCACCGACGGCGTGAGTATAAGATCCGGCTTTCAGGAAAACGTCAACAGATCTTGACTTATACAGGGCGAGTCAAAAAAGCGATGCCCAAACCCCCAAAGATATTTTCATTTTTAAAACAATATGCAGCACCGAAAATAATAAAAAGTCAATTTCAGTAACTACTTTTAGATGAAAAAAATTCTGAAATTGCTCAATCTGTTCAAAGTATATCACCATTTAAACGCAAGGACCATAAAACCTCTTTGGTCCAAAAATGCGATTTCAAGAATCGTCGTCACAATCGTCTTCAACATCACCAGCGATAAAACCTGAAGTTTAAAAGTTAAAAATATTCAACAAAGTCCTTTTGAAGGCCCGTCTTTTAAACAAATAGTTGATTTTATAAATCCAAACAGTCAGAACACACACAAAAATTGCCTTTTTTGGACCGACAGGTTTTAGGGTCATTGCGTTAAAATGATGATATTCTTTGAACGGATGGAGCAATTTCAGTAATTTTTGTGCGTTTAAAAGACGTTTTAAAAATTGGCTTTCCAGTCATTATCATTGTTGGTGCTACATATTTTTTTTAAATATGAAATATATATTTTGGGGGTTTGGGTTCCGCTTTTTTGACTCACCCTGTAGGCTATTTATTTGCTTCGTCCTATATTTATTTGTTTCGTCCTATATTTATTTGTTTCGTCCTTTATTTGTTTGTTTCGTCCTTTATTTATTTGTTTCGCAATAAAGTTATAAAGGGCGCCTCAGATAGGTACCTGCATTGCAAAATCTCTATTGCAAAACAGAGAACGTTTGGCTACAGCTTGGCCAAAGCATGTGTTCCTAGCTTCATGGCCAAAGTAATCCTCTTTTCCTAATGTAATAAAAGAAGCAATACCTATCCAAAGCGGCAAGCCTGTGAAGTCTGCATGGGGTAAACCGCGAACGCACATCTATCGAGAACACATCCGCATGTTTACGGTTACTCTTATCCCATTGGCTGAAACAACATCCAGGCAAGAAGGACAACCAAGGCCAAGACTAATCCAGTTCCAAGAACCGCTGCATGCGCAACATGGAATCTGACGTCACATAATGCATGTGTGCCAACAGGTGGACCACTGTTTTCCCCATTTTGTTCGGGTATCCGTGATTTTGACGCGGAAAGTGCAACAGATGGTCCAGCAAAACACGGCTCAGTGCAGTGCTTCAAAGTGCGCTGTATTCTTCCAGTTTAATCATTTGAAATTAAAGAAATTTACACAAAAAAGGTCCCCCATTAGTGTATTGAAACGCACATGAAATAAACGTTATATTCATTCTTGGCCACGAGAATAAGTGTTATTACAAGATGCATATGTTACTGAAAATGTACTCCTTGGCCGTTATTTCGTTTGAGAACTGGTTTTGGGAAATTGTGTTTTTTAGGATAAATAAGTATCCACCCGCTTCAAAACCAGACATTTTTAAATAGCGATTTGTCAAGAAAAACAACTGAGTTAAACGTAATAAAGCTGGTTCCAGAGTGCACCTAATATTCATTTCATTCTGAACGACTTTTCACTGGACGTACATGTATTTTTATGCACCCAAGGCCGGATCCAGAACACAATGGGGGGGGGGGGCAAACAAATTTTGGTCCCCAAAAAGTGGGTCCAAAATAATTACGGCGTGAGGTTCGGGGCCCGCTCAAGGGCCCCAAAATCTTTTTGGATTCTGCTCTGTGGTGCGATCTGAGGCAATTTCTGACCACTTTAACCATTTTTTTTTTTGGGGGGGGGGGAAGATGGTGGTGTACGCAGTGCCTACCTTTGTTGCGACGTCACTTAAAAAAATGGGGGGGGGGGGTGGGGGGGGGGGGGCATGGCCCCCGTTGGCCCTTTCCTGGATCCGCCACTGTATGCATCTGGTCCACCGTTGGCTGGATTTAGCCCATTCATTGGCTTTATATGGGGTAATCATACAAGATTGCACTGCCCGGCACAAGAGTCGGGGAGGGAGTCAGTCAGTCAGTCGATGAGATACAGACTGACTGAGGACACTAGAGGTTGGCCCTCTGCAATGTCCACCAAATACGTAAGGCCCTCGTATGGCAAAAACGCCCGACTTGAAAAATGGGGTTTTGAGCAAATTGAGTTTAAAGCGAGTTTTTCTTTGTGATTTTTGATTGGGTTTGAAACTGAATCAATGCTTTAATATAATAAATGTTTTGTTTTACATTATCTTCAAATTATGAGAATACATGGATTGAAAGTTTTTCGTCATTTTTGCGAGTTGGAATTCTTTGCCACAAATTTATGACAAGTACGTTGGTAAAACAGTCTATCTTAAGTTGGACTTATGTTAGCAATTTATAACTCGTAGCATAAAATTAACTTGATTGCTTTCTCATGTAATTGGCAAAACAGCCTATATTCTCTTTGTCAGATGCGTTAAGTTATCTGAGAGTTAGGCTGTTTACCATAAAAAAAAAACCCGAAAATGTTTGAATGACCTAACTCAAAAGACGGATTGTTTTGCCATAAAAAAAACTTCGGTAACATTTCCAAACGAGTGTGTGATAGTTAGGTCATCCCATCTTCAAAACCATACACCCATGACTTAAAAACTTTCAGGCAAAAAAACGCAAGCTCTCGATATGCCCAGACGTGATATCTCAAACACTCTAATTTTCGAGTTATGCAGTTTTGCCATTGGAGGGCCACAATGGAAACATGCTAATGTTTGTCAATTGTCAACTTATATCTAGTATATGGCAACTTCTGCCTGTTGCAATTCCCTCTTTAAGTCAATTATTTTTTCGAAAAAAATTGAAAACATCGTCTGCTTTCCTAATGCTTCTGTAAATGGCACCTTGCCAAAGTGTGACTAATACTCACATAGGGGACCATATGTGGCCTCTACCTACATTCCAAGAATAACAAACAATGGAAAGAACGACAACCGAAACTTTTAGACCAGGTGCTTGAAACAATAAAGTTTTATTTGCTTACTTCATCATTGATAAATACTGTATACATTCCCCCCATTTAAAAGCTCTATATCTTAAGGCCTCACCCATAAAACAACAGTGGGGGCGTTGGAAAAAACGTTGTTAAATTGATGAAATCATGATTGATCACATCTACTGGGCAATTTATCTTGTCCTTTGAGTTTCGGAAAAATATACAACTGCCTAAATGCTCTTATCTTTAGCAGTTGTTGGAGTCTGTGGTTTTTTTAAGTTCCAGTTGCTGGAAACAAGGATCTTGCATTGAACTTCCACTGACCCATAGTTTTTGAGATAAGAGTTGGGCAGAGGCGGTGGTGTCTTAAATTCAAAATCTTGTCAGCATTTTCAGGTTTAAAGGGAATGTACAACATTTGCTTTTGCTGTAATTTTCAGAAATAAATGGATTTGGAGGATTCGTATGTTATAGAAAATATGGTTAAACTGACTTGTTTCACATTTTGGGCTTGTGAGAAGCTGAAAAAACCAAGAAAACCTATCATGTTCTCCTAGTGTGGTTCCCTGACCCCACTTAAAATGAAACAGAGCAATTAATGCACTTGGGGAATTGTAAGCTCAGAGAATCAGTCTAGCAGGCTTGTACCCCTTCACAGGTGTGTAATCAATTGCAAAGAAAAGTCAGAATAACTAACTATGAAAACTTAGGAACAGTTTTTGAAAAAAAAAGCCAGTTTTCTTCAATGCTGGTCGGCCGACCAGCGTTGGAAAAATACAGTTTTTCTTTAAAATGTCAGCACATCAGGAGCCATGATTTAAAACGATGATTTAGACTGTCAGTCCCTAACAATTCAGTAAGGTATTTCGTGATAATTTGATCATTTCGTTTTTTGATGTTTGCAAATGCTGTATCTTCCCTTTAATAAATATACAAAAATGTATCCTTTATTCTCTACCAGCTGAAACATGTCAAGTAGACCTGTGTGGGAGGGATTATGTCACCTGCTGGTGAAAACATCTATTCATTTGAACACCAGTTCTCACCGGTTGCTGTGTGTTACCATTCAGCACTCCAGACTCAAGAACCATTGAGTTTTAAGTAAACGGGTCTGGGAGCTAGATAAGCCAATGCAAAAAAAAAAAACAATTCCCGGATGTATGCATTCATCTATATAGTAATGTCCTTCCCCATTCAAGAATGGAAACTTCCGCATGATTTTTTTACAATTAATTCAACAACTATTTTTGTTGACTTCTGCCCAAAGTCAGTCTGGTACCACATCTCCGTCTATGCAATTTAGCGTTTGTTTGGAATCATTTCACACACATTGCCACTGACCTCTCATAATGGAATAATAAAAAAACAAAAAAAAACCACAGGAACAATGTATGCATCCTTTATTCTCTGTTGGCTGGAACATATCGAGCAAATAAAGGTCCACACCCCTTCGATATTTTTTTATGTTACTTCCACATGATTTGTGTGTGTGTGGTTAGAGGGAGGTAGTCAAGCTGAGGGAGGTAGTCAAGCTGATCCAACCTCGTCCCCAGTGCTCACTTTATTTCCAACTTGGTTTCCAATAGTAAGCCCTGGATAGGAAACTTTCTTCCTGTATCCTGATTCGATACCGCGATTGGCTAGTAATGGATTTTTATCGTGTACTTGGTGCTATTATTCACAACGTGCAGTACGTGTTTTCGCGATCATTCGTCCACGCCTTCTCAAAAATACTAATTTCCTTTCCCAATTTACTCATATTAATATGAAATGTGATACTGCATGTTGTCTCGATAAGATCCTAACAGTTTAATTTTAAAAATCGTGTTTTCGTAACTCACGCCGTGTTCACGCGCGCTGCGACGAATTGACTCTGTTTTTACCCCCAGACACCGCATACAAAAACAAACGCTAATGTAACGCATATCCAGGCACCAGACTGTTCCTCATTTGCATACGTGTCCAAAAACCTTGCACATGCAAATGATCCAATACCGAGGTGAGAGAGCAGGTAGTGATGGGCGCGTACTGTTCGACACCCTGGGGATGAGGTTGAAGCTGATCTACATTGAGGGACCAGTAATTCCTACTACATGTACTTTCCAGAAACAAACCATGCTGTATTTGTTTTACTACACGTCATAAATATTTAGTAGCCTCACTGCCTTGTCGATAACGGCCTTTGTAGGTTTTGTATCTTTATTCAGCACAAGATGTGCAAGTTCTACGTCAGTCAATGAAATAGTCTGGTGCCAACACTCTTTAATGAGTCTTTACTGCAGTAGTTACAAGGACTACAACATCAGACTGGTTCCGTAAAGATTAATGCCACAGACTATATGTCTACGAGGCGGGTTCCAGAGGGAATTTTTGTTGCTACCAGAAAAAAAATACCGCATGGCAGTGAGCTGGATACTCACGGGGATGACGTCACCTGGGCGTATCACTTTTACTTCCCGGACGCGCGATCGGCCAATGACGTGCTCCAATTTGATCATGAATATTTATGAGGTGTAGTAATGCTTCTTATTGGCTCTCTGCTTATATCTCATACAAGAGAAAACCACATGGCATATTGCAAGGGGACCTTCTGATTCTAAGAATGACATTGGCCTTATTTCTGGGCGGCAAACTCCGCCTCCACGATTCTCTTGTATTCGTCCAGCCCGCCCTCCATTGACTTCACGTCGCCATCGGCGCACACCCACAATTCCTTGCAGGTCAAGCGTATAAGGCTCTCATCGTGGGAAACGAGCATGACCCCTCCCTGCAAAGGCCAAACAACAAAATAACCATGTTTTTGTTTACTACAGCAAATTGTTTACGACAGTGTGTCAATGTCCTGTGGCAGACTGAGAAACAAAGTAAAGAAAAATGTGAAAAAACAAAGTCAGTCTAAATTTATTCACTCTTCCTCCAACAAAATTCTCCAAACTTCCCATAAAATGAAGAACTAAGTATTTCACGAACAGAGTTTGAAGTTCGAAATCAAATTTTAAAATGGATTTTGTTTGGCCAATCTTTTACACCAAAGAGAGAAATCATTATGGAGAACAATCAAATTTGGGAGTAACTGTTTTATTTACATGTCATATTGCCATCCTTATTGAGATGGAGATGGATCATGTTACAAATACATGTAACACATACATGTTGGTATAAAAATCCAACAGAACTTTTCTCTGGAACAACCGCATTTTTTTATTTTTAATTTGAAAATTGCAGCCAAAGCAAATGTTGTATATTCCCTTTAGGATATCATTCATCGACTCATTTATCTTTTCACAAAACATGGTACCTTGAACGTGTTGATTGCTTTGCCCAATGCCTCCACCGTTTCTATATCCAGATGGTTGGTAGGCTCATCAAGAACAAGGAAATTGGGACTGTTCAGGAAAGAAAATAACAAAAAGAAATGAGTTTGTACACTTGTAAACATGCTTTGGCATGTTTGGTAAGTCAAACATGTTTGTTATACCACGGTAATATATTGTGAATTTTTAATTGGTCCATCATCGATCACGTGTCATGCCACACACACGATGTTCGCCGCGCACGAGTGGTACATGAGTGATCTTACTTGCTGTTGAAAATGTCGTTTCCATCGGGTTGTATTATATTTGTGTGACATTTGCCCCCTCGGGTGTACAAAACGGCATGGACCCTGCCACAGCAGGCAACAATTGTATACTGTACAATGCAATTACCCTAAATCCCAATGTAGTAGTTTTGCAATAGTGAAAAACGTGTTTTTGTACCACAGCCTAATCCTCGTATCTGCTCATATCAGGCCAATTGAAGTTATAGTCCATCATTTGCAGCCATCCGAAAAGTAACTGGCGTAATTATTGTTGAAAAACATACTTGGTTGAAAGATAGTAAGGGGACTAAACTCCCTGTGAAATTATTTTTTTCTGGCAAACTGTCATTTTGAAGTAATCAACGAAAGAAGGCCTTTCCAAAATTAAGACGCACCGTAGGAAAATTTAAAATAGTAGCTCGTTTTGTTGTTCGGCGAAGCGCGCGCAAGCATTGGCACGACGCACACGCGGTTGCTATAATTCGTCGGATCAGTGCGCGACATCGCGTTTAGCTGCAATCGGCTCAGTGAGAACGTGTCTCGGACGCTGAATTCAGGCCCAATTCAAAACATGATTCAGCAACTTTTGATTTAAAATTGAGATCCTAGAATGCTGTTTTTCTCAGAATATACAGCTGAAGCTGAGCTGAAACTTCATCAGGTTTAGTTGTTCAGTATCCTTCATTAGATTTTGAACACTTTGTTGCTTCAAACGAACAAAATGCACAAATTACAAATGATGGACTATATCTTTAAGCCTTACCATCATGTCAAATCTAAAAGGGGGTTTTGGAGGATTTCGTAGGATTGAGGGCGCTAGAGCCCAGCCATTATATTCAGAGAATCGGTGGCGTGGAATTGCTATAATGAACAATCTTTTGCTGGTCAACCGCTGGCATGAGCTGGGGAGTAACCTGCGATGGACTGGCATCCAATCCAGGGGGAATAGAAATATTCTCAGTCATTTCATGCAAAGGAAACCGAATATAAACGCCATCTGATGGGCCACCTTGGCTTGTAACAGACTTTACTACATGACACCACATGATTTTTCTAGTGTTCGACTTCACTGTTTAGGATTAGTTTGATGAATTAACCCATGTTTGTCCTTTATTTCACTTACTTCCCCATGCACATGAGAGCAAATGCCACACGACTCTTCTGCCCTCCAGAGAGACTGGAAACCGTTCGCGTGGCAAGTTCACCTGTCACACCGAAACTGCCGAGTTGATGCCTGTATCTTTCAACTGTGTGACCTGTTGAAGAAAAAAGTTCATTATTCCAACTGAAAATCATGTTTTGTGAATTTTCCTCTTGAGAATAGCAATCATTAGAATGTGAGCAAAATCATAAAGGTCACTACTGATAGAAATTCTTGTTCTAAACTATTTGCGGATTTGTAAATACAAAATTCTGATAACCATAGACCGCACCAAGTTTCACAGTATTTTGGATGTGGTTAACCATAGTTTGACTGACTGCACTCGGACCCACGCTACTTGACAATAGTTAAACTAGTTAAGATTATTCGGAACCAGCCTACTGAGGATTGTTGCATCACTGGTTACCACCAGCCTCACGCATCATGATGTATAGCAGGGAGCCAGGACCAAGAATTTTCATGATGACATTTGACATCATTCAACAAGAGACGTTTGCAAATTGAATATTATACAATGTTCCGGAGTCACTCATGAACAATTATATAATATTGGATGGCTTTGAGGTGGATACAAGAATATATTGCACGTGCTATGACAATATTGCACGAGTCGAAGTGCAATATTGTCATAGCGAGTGCAATATATTCTTGTATCCACCGAAAACAAGCCATCCAATATTATTATTATTATTTATATCAGGCTGACTTGATCCGCAAGAAGCACAATTCAAGACACTGTCTTCATTACATCTTTTTCGTTTACATCAAATGTTTTGAAGCTGCCACTGTAATTGTTAACAACAGTGCGCGTATACCTGGCCTTCTGCGCGCTGCATGCGCGCGGCGTGTTCCGTGTTCGACGGTACGCGCGCGCGCTACGCTCTGTTGAGTGGTTGACAACTGTGACTTTCTATGCTCTTGATCAAGCGGGAACCTGCGAAAATGCCCGGATTGACTGCAATAACAATGTTATTGCAGTCAACTTTTTATGAAAGCATACAATATGCTGATTTATTTTTACCGCCGGAAGCCTGATATAAATAATAATGTATAATATTCGAGTGCAATGGTAAGAATAATTTCATGAGGTGACAGATGGAATGTTCCATTCCACGAGGCAAAGCTAAGTGGAATGGAACATTCCATCTGTTTAAGAATGAAATTATTCCTTCAACTGCAAGAATTGAAACATTCATTATTAGTTTTATACAATTCTTGAGTAAATCCGCATTATCAGATTGGTAGGCATGTTATAGCACCACCAAGAGCATAACTCTGGAAAAGAACTTTTATTTACCATGGAATGGAACTTCTAATTTTGTTGTGCAGCGTGGGCCATGGGTTGGGGAGAATAATTCAATGACATGTAATCAACAGCCAACGACCAAATGAAGGGGATTTATGGAGCACCGAAATGAATATGTCACGTGCACGAAATGTGTGTGAAAGACTTCAGCGCGTGATCAGCCCGTGAACCAACATGCGCGCGTACTCCATTCGTTTGCACTACACTTTCTGGTTGGAGCCGGTCGTCACGGCAACTCACCAGGGAAACGGGAGGCCATGACCTCGACCGAGGTCTGCTCCATGTCGAGTTGGTCCACGTGATGCTGGCTGAAGTAGCCGATTCGCAGGTTTCTGTGCCGGTGCATTACACCAGAGATGGGCTCCAACTGTCCAATCAGGATCTTGAGTAACGTTGTCTTTCCCGAACCGTTCTCTCCAACCTAAGGGAGGAAATACAAGCAATAACAGCGTATTTTAGGAAACCTCTTTCCCTTCAGTTATAAAATGGTCTTTAGCAGTCAAAACTGACTTCTGCAACCTCAAGCAGTAATCCTTTTCCCTATTTTTCTAGATTAACATAGTATTTTGAACAAAATATGACTTTTTTACCCTTTTTTCAAGTGGGTGCTGCACGAATCAACAGAGTTTTGTGCATTCACTACGCATCGTGCTTGAGCTGGCACTAGCTTCATCTTCCTTTTCGTGAACATTGTGTCTTGTCATCATTGTCATTGTTTTAAACCGGATTTACTGAGAAAAGGTTTTACTCGTGGTGCAGTGTTTTAAGCTCTGACAGGAGCTTCTACATGTCACTTGGTGGTTGGTTGGATGGTCGGTTGGTCTGTAGGTCTGTCCCCCAAAAATTGACCAAAAATGGGCCCCCTTAGTTTCCTATAAAATATAACTACCACTTAAAGGGAAGATACAACATTTGCAAACATTAAAGAACGGAATGATCAAATTATCACGTAATACCTTACTGAATTGTTAGGGAATGACAGTCTAAAACATTCTTTAAAACCATGGCTCCTGGTGTGCTGTCATTTTCAAGAAAAACTGTATTTTTCCAACGCTGGTCGGCCAACCAGCGTTGGAGAAAACTGGCTTTTTTCAAAAACTGTTCCTACTTTTTCATATTTAGTTATTCTGACTTTTCTTTGCAATTGATTACCCACCTGTGAAGGGGTTCAAGCTTGCTAGACTGATTCTCTGACCTTACAGTTCCCCAAAGTGTATTAATTGCTCCGTTTCATCTTAAGTGGGGTCAGGGAACCAGACTACAAGAATATGATAGGTTTTCTTGGTTTTTCCAGCATCTACAAGCCCAAAGCGTGAATTAAGTCAGTTTAACGATATTTTCTATAACACACTAATCCTCCAAATCCATTTATTTCTTAAAATTGCAGCAAAAGCAAATGTTGTACATTCCCTTTAACCAAAAATTGACCAAATGCAATGCCGTCTTACATGTAGGTAAATGCACTCTTGGCAAAAGTTTTCGAAATGCCCCTTTGTCTCGATCGATGCGCATGTGCATCTATTTTGCATATGAAGTGAGACATTCCAGAACAGGGCCGGAGCTTATTGTGCTCTCGCACTTGTTTAAGGTCCATTTACTTACCATACATGTTCTGGATTCCATATTTGCAGAGATGTCAATCTTTTTAAAGATGGGCTTGTCTTTGGAGTAGTAGAACGCCACCTCATCCAGTTGTAAAATGGGAGGGGACAGCTTTTCAAATTCTGCAGGAAATCTGATTGAAAAAAAATGAAGAAAAGCAAAAAAGTAAAACTTCAAGCGTTAACTTGTAAGTCAGAATTCTTCTAGCAACAGGTTTACACAAAGGAGCTAATTTTTGAAAATGTACGTAATGCTGAAAACAGGATTGCTGATAACATACAAAATTGTTTTTTTATTTCCAATTTTTAATTCAAATGCCAGACTTCCCCAACAACATTCGTAACACAAATTTTGTTAAAGCTTAGTATTTCAAATATAAATAGCGGTCAGACAAGAACAGATATCAGGGCACTATATTTTTTGTTATTTCAGCCTTGAAGCTGCTTGGAATATTTCTGTATTTTTTTTCTATACTTACCTCAGAATGACATCTGATTCTTTTTCCACTGGTTTGAGAACTGGACTGAAAAAAAAACACATAGCAATAGGAAAAATAAGTAATCGTTAAATTTGAAAAGCACAATATTGATTTGCTTTTAGTGCATGTTATGTTATATGAAGCAGCAAAATTGCTCAAAATATTAGGTAGGAGCATGACAACTAACTTGTTGAAGTTCCATGTCAGCAGATACTATACATTTTGAGAAAACAGAGAAAAGGCATGCACAATTGTTGGGGTCTCGTAACTACGTTCTGTTGCTAATGCAAGCCTAGTAAAAGTGCGCCCGTGGGCACCTTTTTTTTTTTTAAACCACCTTCAATCTAATAGTTTAGTCACCCCTAAAGTGAACAGTGTCTTCCTGAAATGACATCACAGCAAAAGCACCCTCAGTTGTCAGGAAAAGCATGGACATTTTTTAAAATGTTTCAAAAGTGCATTTTTCAATAAAATTAACCAAAAAGTGATGTCAAATAGTTTTCATACATATAAGAGGAGTAAAATTGCTCAAGATGTGTTTCTATGAAAAAGTTATAGTATGAACCCTTTAAATCAGTAGGTACATGTGTACTTTTCCAGATAATTGCAAAAGAATCTATATGGCTTTAGTAAAAAAATAAAATTTCATCAACACTCATACTAGAAACCTGCCAACAATCTGGACGGAACTCACAGCTTTTCAAGAAACTTGATCTTGCTTTGAACTAAGGCAGCTCTGTTGGCATTGTAGCGGAATCTATCAATAAATACCTGCCAAAAGAAAAAGACAAAAAGTCTTTTAGTTTCTCTACAGGGTGTATCAAACAGTGTTGTAGTGCTTGACTCGTACTCATAATCTTCCTCGAGTACATAATTGTGTTGGGATTCAATCATACTTGTACTCATGAAAATGTACTCGTACTTGTACTCGTACCCACAAGAAAAAAGTACTTGTACTCGGACTTGTACTCATGACAAAGTACACATACTCCTCATATTCTTGCAAATATTCTCTTGCAAGAATTGAAACATTTTTATAAGAATTCAAAAAATGTCAAAATTGTTTATCCAGTTTTCTCCTATTTGGGAGGCTTCTGCATTTTGTTTAATGCCTAGTTTGGCAACAAACAGCCTTGAAAACGAGTGACACATTGAAATTGACTCCAACTTGTGGAAAATACTTGCACTTGTATTCATACTCAAGTACAATTTTTGGTACTTGTACTCGTACTTTTTGAAATTACTGACTTGTACTCGTATTCGTACTCATGACAACATACACGTACTCATACTCTTGACAAAGTACTCGTATTCATAGGAATGTACTCAACTAACACACTGGTATCAACACTGGTAACCCAAAAATGATGGATATGTATGTTAACATTATTAACTTGAACACTGTCAGTGTGGTTGCATCTGAAAGGGTGTTTGATTACTGTTTCCAATGTCAAACAATTTATTGCTCTCTTGGGTTGAAAAATAATGTTTGACTTGAACAATTTTTCTCTACGTACTTGTACATGAGCTCTAAGTTGCTGTTGTGCCTCAAACTCTTTCTGTTGGTTGGTCAGCTTCTCTGTTTTTGTCTTGAAGAAAACTTCGTAGTCCCCACGGTAGGAATCCAAAGTCTTTGAATGCAGGAACAGTATGTCCGTTGAGACCACGTTGAGGAAGTTCTTGTCGTGGGAGACTACCAGAAGAGTTGTGGGCCAGCCCTAGAAAAAGAAAATATATGAATTTTTTTTCGTAAGTGAAATGTATCTGTGGCAACTTTGCCGCATTCACGCACTTCAAGCTGTGAATTCTAAATATTGTGAGGCGTTCTGGTAAAATAAGACGGAATTGGGCACAAGCCGTACTGGAGAAAAATAACAAACAAAACATTTGTGTACTACAAATGTTTTAAAAGAAACAGTTCAAAAATCGTGGAATACAATTTTTTATAAGTAAAAACAATTGGCATCTGTTATATTCACGAATACAAAACTCGAAAATTTAAAGGCCTTTTTCTCAGTATTTTGCGTTCTTACATGTCGATAAATGCCAAACATGTTTGATTTCATCCGGTCGCCCAGTGTATTGGCAGATCGGTCCGATTTTTCAGCCCACACCTCTCCAATCTGTACTCTGATGGCCCGATGATCCGGTGAACCGGTAACATCAGAAATGTGCGCGGCGGGCTTAACAGCAAGTTCCGACGAAGCTTTTTCTTACCGTCCCTTGAAAACATCTGGGCAATTCCACGGTTACTCACGTTACATTTTTGATGTACTTTTGAGTTTCCTTGGGCTGTAATTACCTTACTGAAAAGGTTTAATAACTGTTATCCCCATGGTAGATAGAGTAGACCTAGACCTATCTAAGCACCAAAGATGACATCCAGAAAAATGTGTTATGTATGATATATAAGACGCACAAAATCTGTTACTCATGTTACATTTTCCTAACGTGAGTAACCGATTTTGTGCGTCTTGTTTGTCATACATAACACATTTTTCGGGATGTCATCTTTGGTGCTTAGGTAGGTCTAGGTCTACTCTATCTACCATGGGGATAACAGTTATTAAACCTTTTCAGTAAGGTAATTACAGCCCAAGAAAACTCAAAAGTACATCAAAAATGTAACGTGAGTAACCGTGGAATTGCCCATCTGATTATTGACTGCTTTAATACACATGTAATACAACATTAGTCACAGGGAAAACAATCTTTGTTACCTACAAATATCTAGACAAACCTGTAAGTAACTCTCAAGCCACAGTATGGCTTTGATGTCTAACATGTTGGTAGGCTCGTCAAGTAGCAGTAGATCAGGCTTGGAAAATAGCGCCCTCGCTAGGGCAAGACGCATCCGCCAACCGCCAGAAAACTCCCTGAAATTTATGCAAAGTGAAGTTCATATAATGACGCTCATGGAATGTAAAAAAAAACTTGGTGGTAATTGATGTATGAAGTGAGGAAAAACACGTAAAACTCCTTACCTTGTTTTCATTCTTTGCATGGTGGGTGAGAATCCCAAACCTGCAAGGATCATGGCTGCCCTGTAATTTGGAGGAAAAAATTACAAATAAAAATATTACTGTTTATATCTGAAATATATAAACCAAGTGAGAATTTCGATACACTTTATGATGTTCTTGACCTTGTACAGGAATTCTCCTGATAACTTATTTATTTCCCTTAAAGCCATTTCTCCCTGTGGAAATGGCTTTAAGGGAAATAAATAAGTTATCAAGTGAGAATTACTTTCAGATTAAGGATTTATTTACATACTCTGTTCAAAAGATTAAGTTTAGTGCCTCTGGCTTGAGTTTAAGCAGTAAGTACTTTCAATCCCACTTTTCTTTGTCTTTTGATTACTGACAGTGATCTAATCTGATGATACATTATAAAAATATACACCCGGAGCAATAACTAACTATTGACTATCAACAGGGGAAATAGTTGAACATATTACCCTTTGCTAAATCCAAACTGTTCTTTTGGATACCTGTATGACTACATGTATATACAGAAACCCATTCATCAATGATTGTTTTTATTTCATAATATTTTCATGAAATGCATTTTGAATTTTTGAAGGCATATTGGGGCAAAAGTGAAATACACTACCTTGAAAAATATAAAAAACTATGTGCCACCAATTCTGGCAAACGTGGTTGGCAAGTAGTGAAGATATTTATTGGACAGAAGGTCAACGGTTTGAGTCCAATCCAAGTGGACTCCAGTTTGTTTTTCTAATAGGCCCTCAGAAGGCACTGGACAATGCAAACGAATTTAGCTGGTAAAGAGTAGAACCAACTATTATGACCCAGTGCAATAGTTAAACTATTGCATGGTTAAGAAGTGTATAGTTTGTACATACCGTGCAGGTGCCTTGTCAGCTTCAATCTCCTCTAGATGGACATAAACCTCAGCTAGTCTACTACTTGTAGCCGGATCTGATCCCCCAGGACTAGTACAAAATACATAAGAAACAAATCAAATGTAATCCTACAATACTGAAGAGTATCTCGCGGTTTCCCATTCTGCCAATGTCTTTGTCCAAGGGGCAAGTCAGTTGGTACAGCACCAGAACGACAATCTAGAGGGTCGCAGGTTCAAACCCCACTCCAATGAGTTTCTTACTTCAACTTAAAAATTATTATAATGCACCTAGTCAGTTTCCCATTGTGGCGAATTAGCCAGCTTGCCCTGGTGTCCTGCCACAAAGTCGTTACAATGGCATTAAAACTTGACTGACTGTCACTTGTGACTTAGACTGGTTCTAGACTGGTGAAGAGAGCGGGGCAGTGATATCGTATAGACCGCTTGCAGACGCGATCGATAATTGACGCGCGAAGGTGCACGACGCCATGTTATGGGACAAAATGTGCATGGATAGATATACACCTGTCCCACAACATGGCGTCGCGCGCCTTCGCGCGTCGATTATCGAACGCATCTGCAAGCGTTCTATAGGTTTAACCCATATCACCAATGAATGGGCAGAATCCAGCCCAATGTGCAAAACAGGTGCATGAAAAGACCACTTTTACTGGGTTTGCTTCGTCTTGATGTTGTTATATTTTCTAGATCATGGTTCTTCTCATTCTAACCTTGTGGCATTGAGTCTTTCGACAAGTTGCCTCTCCTCAGCCACCAATCGCTCTCTCGTCTCGTCACTCTGTAGTACGCTGTCCGTGGCTATCGTGTCGTCACCGATGACCTCTTGCTCCACATGGAGAATGCTGATGTGGGATGGAATGCGCAGCTCTCCGCTGAAGGAAACAACATCATCAAACAAAAATGAAGAATATTTAGAGTAGTGGTTCTCAAGGCTGTCGATTTTATTAGCCATTAAGTATGCCGATTGTGTTTACAACACTTAAAGGTATAGTCCATCATTTGTAATTTGTGCATTTTGTTCGTTTGAAGCAACAAACGTGCTCAAAATCTAAAGAAGGGTATTGAACAACTAACGTGATGAAGTTTCAGCTCAGCTTCAGCTGTATTTTTCGAGAAAAACAGCATTCTAGGATCTCGATTTCAAATCGAAAGTTGCTGAATCATGTTTTGGATTGCGCCTGAATTCAGCGTCCGTGACACGTTCTCAATGAGCCGATTGGAACTACGCGATGTCGCCCACTGATCCGACGAATTATAGCAACTGCGCGCGCGTGTGCGTCGTGCTAATGCTTGCGCACGCTTCGCTGCAAAACAAAACAAACTACTAATTTAAATTTCCTACGGTGCGTCTTAAGAAGCACCGTTGGAAAGGCCTTCTTTTGTTGATTTCTTCAAAATGACAGCTGGCCAGAGAGAATAATTTCACAGGGAGTTTAGTTCCCTTACTATCTTTCAACCAAGTATGTTTTTCAACAAGAATTACGCCAGTTACTTTTTGAATAGCTGCAAATGATGGACTCCAGCTTTAACAAAACTTTGCAGAGTTTTTTTTTAAAAGAACCATTCACTGTAGTGGTCTATCAATGTTGTATTTTTATAACAAGGGAATATCTGTTTGGCTGCTCAATCCATTGACTGTAGTTTTAAAAAAAAAGAATATTGACCTTAAGCATGGCAGCCATCTTTGACAGGGAACATTTTGTATTTCCATTCAGTAATAATGAAATGTTAAATAAAAAAGTCAAGCTTAGGCCAAAAAAAACCAACTCCGGTTTCTGGTATGGAGCTTGCCCAAAAAGTGGTGCGGCGACGCGGCTTTTTTTTTTTTTTTACCTGATTTTTTTTGCTTCAAATGTCGGCTGATGACTGCAAATGGTACCCGACTAAACTTATATATGGGAGTCCAGAGAGGCCACATAAAGCTCATTCTCGACCATAACCCAATCTAAAAACACGTTAAAATTGTGCAGCAGTAGGATTCCAGTCGAACCAGTGAGTTTGGCGGTTTTGAGACATCATCTTTCATTGAAAAAAAACTTTTTCATTTTGCCCGACGCGCATGGCCACGGCGACGCGCGCGCATACCAGAAACCGGAGACTTCTTTTTTTGGCCTTATCACTGTAGAATAACAGCACTGCCATCTAAGGAAAAGAAACTTTCAAATCTCGTTGTTACCTTGATATCATTTTGAGTAATGTACTCTTTCCGGCACCGTTTCTTCCAACAAATCCATATCTCCTTCCAAAGCTTAGTGTCAGGTCGGCTTCCTTCAAAAGGACCCTGGGTCAAGATTAGGTTAAGTTTCCATCAACATGTGACATGTAGGGAACTAGTATATCATTTCCCAGATGTGACGTTTCCATGTTTAAACGAAAAAGAAAATTCTAAATCCGTTTACAAATTTACACCGAAATATTAAAATGAAAATAAATGACAATAGGCCGAACTAGAAAATGACATGACTAGATCCAGCTGATAGGGACACAACAAAGATATCAATTTCTTAAATTGAAAAACAGAATCACTTCCATGGCTTGTGTTAATGACTTACTTGTCCCCAAATGCCAGATCAAAGTTCTCGATCCTGACATCCTTGGCCCGACTGTTTCCTGAATCATCCATCTTCTGGTCCTTCCTGTTGATTGCTTGGCTGGCCGTGGCTGTAATGGTGGACCTGTGACAATAGAGTTGAGTTTTGTGATGTCAGTGTTGAAAACAACAACTTCTGAATGTCCAGCACCCGATTTCACGAAGCGCTGCGACGCGTCGCAACTCGAGTTACGACGTGTAACACGTCGCAACTCGCGACGCGTCGTATCTTCCATTTCACGAAAGTTGCGATGTGTTGAACGCGTCGTAAGTTCCTTGACAACGGCTTAAAACACGTCGCAAGTTAAGACGTGTCTAGTGGTCGTCGCAAAATAAGAAGAGTCATTTCTAAGCCAGTTTTATGCCATAAACATTACATTAACGCGATTATAATACCGAGGCCATGTGTGTAAAGTTGTAAATAGAAAATTCATTGAATAGTTATGAATTAGACCGGAATATTAGAATTGAAATTTCAAAGTAGCTATACAGTCCAATGAGAGTTTGTTTTCCTTCAAAATTGCACGGCCGCCATTTTGTTTTACGTTTTAACAAATTTCGAGCTGAGATCCGACAACTCTTTGTTGAATATCAGATGAATATTTACTGTACGCTGACTAAATACATAAAACAGTCACCGAGTTGTGCTATAAATACACCTACGACGCGTCGCACTTACGACGTGTTTTGTGAAATGGATCGCAGGACGCGTCGTAGCTGCGAATCGCTGCGTTGCATCGTAAGTTACGAAGACTTTGATGAAATCGGGTGCTGGTAAAACAAAACCTGCCAAACTGTCAGCACAAAAGGGCCACAAAATTCCCAAAAAGAAGATAAGTTACAAATATCAACTTTCCGTCACATTTAAACAAAAATCCTGACAAACCCACATGTACTGGTATATTCAATGATGCTCATTTTTGAAAATCTATATTTCCTGGGAACTTTGCTAAAGTGCTGAACTTAAAGTGGCAATATCACTCAAGTTCAGGTTACTGAAACAATTTAAATTACAGCGTGTCTCAAGGAAACTAAATCATTTTTTTTTTTTTATGATAGAGTGTTTCTTTAGTCTTGACAGGATTTTTGTTCTGTGTGATTCGGACCTTTTGTTTATAAGTTACGGCAAAGCTTGCAAAGACTGTCAAAATCTGTTTGGGCCACTTTTCAGATTATCTGATATCTAATGAAAGGTATTCACACGCCTTCTTGGTACACGTATGTGAATGCTTTTGATTAGATACCAGATAATCTGAAACGTAGCCCAACTTGGAATTCAAGTCCTTTCATTCAATTAGCTGTATCTCTGGACTAGGGTGTCCAAATGAGATGGGATAAAAACCATTGTGTAGAGTATTTACTATACCTTCAGACTCTATAGATAAGTTTTGCAAAAAGAGTGCTAATGTTTCTAATATTTATAGATTGACTGCTACATTTTGATTGTCACATGCTGTACATGTAAGAAACAGTCCTCTTAAGAAATACTCACCCAGCTGGCTTGACGGCATTTTTGTCTTTCTGGGCTCTCTGCTCCTGTTTAGCTTTTATCTTGGCATCTGCCTTCTCTAACTTCTTCTTATCAACAAGCTGAAGAAATTAGATAAAAGAGAGAAAATAAATCTCTGCAGGCTTCACTGCGTATATTCAGTTTGTGAGAAAAATGTACCGTCTAAAACTGTGTAGTATGCTTGATTCTTGTACTCACCATGGAATTAGCTTTCTTCATCATCCAAATTGATGAATCATCTTTCCCGTTCTTGGCCTCTGTAAATAAAGATTTTCAAGATATTAAGTTACAATCAACTTTCATCGAGCTACATGACAAAATGTATTTACATGTTGGTAATTAAACACCTCTTCTGGGACAGGTTATCTGTTCCTATTGGTTGAGAGCCCTTCATGCATGCCGGTGGCCTTACATTGCTGCTTAAACACCTGTTTCTGTTTTTCTAGGTTATGTCTTTGTGTGTCTGATTGTTGTCCATTTTGCCCTTTGTCACTGTCTCTGTTTGTTTTTTGGTCGTGTCCACTTTTCTGTCGATAGCTTAGGGTACAAAAGCATGACACTTCACCTTATACGCAATGTTGTCGTTAATTTGTTTTAACCCTGCTATGCCCAGTGCAGTTGGCAGAGAATTATCAGACCTTTCAAAACATTTTAAATTTGCCTGACTAAAAGGGTTTTGAAAGGTGAAATAGTGCTGGAACTTTGAAACTTTTCGAAAGGTTTCGGAAGGTGAAGCAACTCTGTGGGCAAATTGAGTAAGTTGCCTTTCAATACCTTTCGAAAGGAATTGAAAGGTGCGGTAGTGCAGTAACAATAAATTCTGGAGGATTTTAAAAGGTCCTGCATTTTTTGTCCTCCAATTTGCCAGAACCCAGATTTTGAGGTGTTTTGAATGGTCAATGATATTGATCCATGTACATTAGTATACACCATTACATAATTCAGTGCATTTTGCTCTGTACAATACATGTAAGTTTACACGGCATTGTAACATTTTATTGTGTGGAACTATATGATGGCCACATTGAAGTAAATGTTTCTACTACTACTGTCAGTGATATTTAAAACCAGTCTTAAGACGCTGCACTCTGCGTTGCAACCAGGCGCTTGAGAGGCACTGATATGTCAAGATCACCATATAAAGAGAATTAGGCCAAGTTCGGGCAAGGACCATTAGCCGACTAGTGGTTGATTTGTGACGTACCTTACGCCTGCGCACTAATAGCAAAGTGCGAACGTCTCTAGTCGAACGCTGGTCAAAATGTCATTGCAAAACGTCTGGATCCTGGCTCCCTGCTGTATGTTACGAATGTGCGCGGCTATTGGTTACTAGCGATGCAACCAGCCCAAGTAGGTTGGTTCCAAATAGTCGACTAGCGTAGTTAACCATCGTCGACTAGACAGAGTTCGGGCAAGCGTTAGTCGACCAATGGTTAACTATAGTCCTTGTGCGAACTTGCCATTATATGTTGAGCAAACCATGTGCACGACGCGCACCTCATGTGTCAGAAACATTGTCAAAATTTCGTCAACTTTTTAAAAGTTTTTGACCAAAAAGGTATTTATGAACGGGAATAATAGTGTGGCGGAGCAGTTTTACAATTTTCAAAATACACCAAACAAATTGTCCACTGATTGAATTTTGTCATTCTTCTATGATACCTTCTTCAACTTTGGCGCCAATGTGGACAGGTGCGTCCAGAAGGACCATGTTGGATGTGCTGTATGTACTGGATGAATTGGATCCTTGGTCATTCCTAAAAATAAATAAGATTACTTTGTTAAATGTTAAAGCTGTAGTCCATCATTTGCAGCTATCCAAAAATTGACTGACGTAATTATTGTTGAAAAACATACTTAGCTGAAAGATAGTAAGGGTACTAAACTCTCTGTGAAATTATTCTTTCTGGCACCCTGTCATTTTGAAGAAATCAACGAAAGAAGGCCTTTCCAACGGTGCTTCTTAAGACGCACCGTTGGAAATTTCCGTTAGTAGTTCGTTTTTTTTATTCAGCGAAGCACACGCAAGAGTTGACACAACGCACACGCACGCGCGCCATCTATGATTCGTCGGATCAGTGCGCGACATCGCGTAGCTGCATTCGGCTCAGTAAGAACGTGTCTCGGATGCTGAATTCAGGCCCAATTCAAAACATGATTCAGCAGCTTTTGATTTGAAATCGAGATCCTAGAATGCTGTTTTTCTCGAAATATACAGCTGAAGCTGAGCTGAAAGTTCATAAGGTTAGTTGTTCAGCACCCTTCTTCAGATTTTGAGTAGGTGTGTTGCTTCAAACGAACAAAATGCAAAAATGACAAAAGATGGACTATACCTTTAACATCAGGCCCTATAACAATTCAATCTTTAACCTTAGGAATGACTTTGGCAATGTGCATTGGTATGTGGATTAGGCCCCCCAAAAATTGTTCTGCTTCCGATTACATAGCATTTGAAAATAGGGTAGGTACATAAATGTAGGTAGGTAGGGCAATTGGGTTTTTTTTTTTGGGGGGGGGGGATTTTTTTGTGTACGATCATATGGAGGTGTTTGAGTGTAGTCAATGGTAAAGGGTAATATTTAATGGTTTTCGGGGCTTTTTTCCTCATTTCTCCCCCCCCCCCCCCACCCTCCCCCACAAAAAAAAATCGGGTAGAGGCTGTCAAAATAGGGTAGGTAGGGGAACCGGAAGCAGAAGTATTGTTTTTTGGCCTTGTGTTACATGCTGTCCAATATCTAAATATTATTTATGTACGGCTGAGCATAAACAACACAAGGGACGGCCTATTAGACCTTGACACAGTGCATCCTCCGAAATCAGCCACACATTTTTGCCACATAGCCTCAATCCTGCAAAATCCTCCATTTTGCAAAGACGATTTGGAGGATTTGGGAAGGTTAGGGTTAAACATAGTGGACACTCCTCGAAACTGCTCACTTTTTGGAATATCTGAATTCAGTACATTCGGTATGGCCCTAAAGAACTCACACTTTAACAGCCTTCAGTAGCTTCCCGCACAACGACAGTATCTCCTCCTCCTCCTTGTCCCGTGCCACCTCATGTAAGACTCCGCCCACAGCCTCGTACACATCACTGGCATTGTTAAAGTCATCTGGATCTTCCAACACACCTGGAAAAAAAAAATGAATAAAAGTGACTCCAGTCTAGTCTTAAGCCTCATTTTGAAATTACTTGACTTCCCTCTCATGAGCAAAATACTGAAGAAATGTCTCCTTTAAAAATTGAATTGAGTCTGCAAACTTGGATAATGAAATACCGAGGACCTTTTCTTTGCCCAATGGAATTTGCTGGCTAAAGAGTGAGTCAAGTTGTCCTGATTTAAGTTTGGCATGTTTCAGAACACTCCAGGTCCCAGTCTGCTTCAATACCTGAAGTTCTGGGAACTCAGTCTTTATAGCTCCATGGTCATATTGTTGATGTACCCTAACTTGGCGCGGCCCCCAACGTGGCGCACTTTGATTTTTCGCTTGTAGCGCCTAGCTAGAGCAAAAGTTTTAACTGAAATTTCACAGGAAGCGAAATTTCTTCAAGTTCTAAACACTCCCGTTCATAAATCGCGACTTTATCTACCTGTTACAAAGTAAGAAGAAAAATTCATTTTGGCGTGATTTTCTGATTTTATTTTGAAGTGCAAAGTGAACCCTTTGAAAATGCCCCGAAAAATAAGGGAAAAAAATTCTGACAAACTTCTGGTTGGGTACGTGTACATGTAAGTAGAGATAATAATGGTTAATCACAATCTATCAACTTTACAGGAATTCTTAAATGTTAATTTGGAATTTTCCGAGATTTATTCAAGTGCACCACGTTAGGGAACACTCCGCCAATTTGTGTCCAATTTCCGGATGCCACCTTTTTTTAATTTCGAATTTTATTTCATGAAACCGAAATTGTTCACAGGCATGACAGAGGTTAAATAGCGAGCATTAATAAGGTCAAAGTACCAGTATTTCACGGAATGAATTTTAGATTTGTCACCAAAGAGGTTTGGCAACACTACACGAGGAAAGTCGGGTAAGCTTTGAAGTGCGCCACGTTAGGGAACACCACCATATATACAGTACTGACAGTCCCAAATTTTCGGACTAGGAATTTCTTAGGCAAGAATGTTGCAACCTGACGCCACTTTTGTCTTTATACATTTTGTATCTTCTCAATAAACATGATAAAGGTAAGTCAGTGCAAAAATGTTGAAAAGACATGAATCTGGGACTGAGAAACATTTCCAATTTTGTTATGAAATTGGCTCTCCATAGACTTTGTACACAACCGCTAAAGTGGCGTCTGGGGATTTTCATTCTTTCCATTTCTCAACCCCATGTACCCGTAGATTACCCCTAGAACTATGGTGCTCCACGGTGATCCGCTATGCCGAGCACCATACTTCTAGCAGTACCTGCAGATAAGGACACATACATGTAGACGTGAAATTTGCATCTTCGACGAGGTCTAACTATTATGTTTTTGCCCTGTTTTGAGAATTTCATATCTTGCCATTCCTGGACTCCTTCCATATATTGTGTGCGTATGCCGTAATATTTAATTTAACCCTAACCGCCCTGAATCTTTCAAAATCCTCTTTGCCAAAGTGGAGGAATTTGGAGGAACTTTGTCAAGGTCTTGGGCCAGACCTTGTGTTGCTTTTGCTCAGCAATGCGTAAATATAGGCCTGGACTATGCTTGAAATCCTCTCCAGGATGTCACTGGCCAAGCCTCAACATATTGACAGACACTGCCGCAGGATTTTGCAGGATTCAGGCAGTGGTCACCCCTCCATGGACCATATTCAAGAAATAATGGAGGAATTTGCAGGACTGAGGCTATAGGCCTACTGTGATACAACATGATATCATGACATGGCAACCTCCCACCCCACTAAAAAAAAAAAAAGTATCTTGACGATCTACAGGCATCCTACTTGAAAAAAAATTCATATTCACTTCAGCAAGAAGTCAAATCTCAACTTTTCAAACAGATTCAACATGTTCACTGCAGGATAATAAACAGCTGGGGGAAAAAACAGCATTAAAACATGAATGAGTACATCTCGTGTAAAAGTTATAAAGCAACAGGAAATTTTGCCAAGATCGAGTAAGGTAAAGAAATTAGGTTTATATCCTTGAACCTAATGTACATGTACATCAAAAAAACATGTTTACATTACCGGTAATGATTCATGTACATGTACCGGTTTAAACATGGTGAATGATGACAGTGCATGAAACAACATTTCCTGTGCGTGGGGTTGGGGAATCTACATGTAATATAAGACAAGTGAAAAGCACTAATCATCCTTGTTCAGCTTTAACACTGCCAGATTAGCATCTGGTTGCATACATGTACAATAAACACCAGATATCGTCCAAACTCTTATCAAGATACTTCAGTTTCAGTCTTCAAACTGCTAATTGATAGGATATCTGCAAAAGTAAGTACATGAAGTAGGCCTAAGCCTTTTATTTTTGTTTTGAAAACTAGTTTTAGAAAAGGGAAAAAAACTGCCACTAGTACAAATTTGTCCCTTTGTATCAATCATTTTATCATACCGGTAGTTATTTTTCCTCAAAAACACTGATTTAAAAAAAAGTTGGAGCCAAATTATCCCCAAGTCATCAGTAGGTGTGCTTTCACATCACTATTTTCTCTACAATGTTTATATTGGTCTAGAAAACATCAATCAGATTATTTGAATTTAGCTTCAGTTCAATTTGTTGTTTGCGGTGCTGTGTTGTACACTTTAATACTCAGTACTCGTACTTGAGAACCGGTGACTGCTCTGTGTTCCAACACCCCCATGTTCCCAAACCCCTATGTTCCGAAACCCCTACGTTCCAACTACTCAACCTACAGTATGTTCCAACACCCCTATCATGCCTATGTTCCAACACCCCTATGTTCCGAAATCCCTATGTTCCGACAACCCGCACATACATGTAAGATTGTGTTACTTCCGGTTAGGGTTAGGGTTAGGGTTAGGGATAGGAAAATACATGTGCAGTTAGGGTTAGGTATAGGAATATGTGCAGTCGGAACAAAGGGGTGTTGGACCATACAATGTAGGGGTGTTGGCACATAGAGGTGTCGGAACATACCGTAGGTGTGTAACCTGAGAACCAGTCAAGTACTTATATTGGATACGCATGCATAATGTATACATGTACATGTACATGTACTTGCACTTGGCTTTCTAAATATTCTGACTCGAGTTCATCGTACTCATGTTGGTATGTGTTGGTCTCTGCACAGAGTGCAGAACCAGGACTACTACACAGGCCCAAGTTCGTGCAGGAACACTTTAATGCTTGTGGTGTAGTGTGCATTTTGTAGGTGGTACCGTACATGTTCTAATTCTGTGTACATGAACCAGCCCATATTTCAAGTGCTATCAATTGGATATATGAGGTCAGTTTCATCCATTTATAAATTAACCCTAACTCCCCAGCCTAATTTACAAAGGAACCATACCCATTCTGGCAAATTCCAACACCCACATGGGAAATTGTACACACCAACCCCAGTGTAAAAGACCATCTGTTTAGGGGAACTGTACCTATCCCAACAGATTTAAACACTAACCTACTGTTGGAGTTTGATTGGTTATGGGCAGTTAGGGTTAATGAAGTTAAGGTGTGTTACAACTGATAACGTACATGTACCGGTAGTAGCCAACAGATAATGTACATGTATCATCAACCGATAATGTCACACAAATTGACCGATACTGTATGTAACAGAAATTGACCGATAGTGTAGTAAAAATGTACTACACTATCAGTCGATTGTTGTTACATTATCGGTCTTAACCGATTGCTTAACAAATATTGACCTTATCCGTTGGTGATACATTATCCGTTGGTTACTACATTATAAGTTGTAACAAGGTGCAAGGAGCATAAACAGATGGTACAAAATTGCTTCAACAAGTAAAAAATTGATATTGCTGAATTGGAGGTTTCATTTGTCGCTCATTTGCTTGAGTATTTTGAAGTTTTTCACTCAAACACTTCATAAAGAACTGATACTCCTACCCATACTCATACATGTAGGTCCCAGTACCTGGTTTCGGATACCTATACTGTTGTCAATTTGTCAGAGTACTCAACATATTAGTACTCAGCAGAACCTACATCTGTCGGATGAAAGTTCAACTTCAACATTGATATTCTTTGTTTGTACTTGTAACTTCAGGTATGGCATCCAATGTGACAGTTCAATCCGTCTTGGGCAAGATCGGCCAGGATCATCTAGAATGCTCCATCTGCTCCAATCGTTACAAGCAGCCCAAACTTCTGGACTGTTTACACAGTTTTTGTCTGAAATGCCTCCAAGAGCTCAGACTACACCAAAATCCCGAGGGGCAACTTCACGGTAACTTTTGTTACATTTTTTTGACACGCACAAGAGAGTCTCACAACTTAATGCATTGGTTTCAACTGTCAGATTTAAAAAAATATTTAACACTGTAACATAGTCTGTTTTAGTCTAGGGGCTATACGTTGTTATGGTTTGATACGAGATGCAAGAGGGTTATTATCACGACCAACCAATATCACCCACGAACCGTCAATAACAATGTCTATGGAATCTCATAGCGGTTGTGTAATGCGCGCGCACTTGTTGGGCCAAATACATGTATATGCAGCGCGCATTCAAAACATTTCACATTAGTTCTGAACGAAACTCTTTATTTTCTTCCCGTAGCATACAAAATACCGGTATGCAGCAAAACTTTTGTGCAACTTCACTGGTCTGCTCTTTTGTGGGAGATGCAGTATGCGTGGGACTGAAAATGGACTGTAATTGCCTGCAGAAGTACATGTAGTGCATGCGCACTAGTTTCCCCCCATTTTTCGGGGGAGATTTTACAAGACTCCCTAGTCGTTGTTATTGACGGTTCGTGGGTGATATTGGTTGGTTGTGATAATGCCCTCTCGCGGCGGTGAGTTATCGCAGTGGCGGGTTATCGCGTATCAAAGCATAACAATGTCTAGCCCCTAGACTACATGTATGTACATGTAAGTTTGTTTCAACATATGAATACAAACTGGAAAAGTTTTTTTTGGGGGGGGGGGTCGGTAACAGTTTAAATTTTGGTAACTTTCCTAATATGAAAAGGACATCATATCATTTTTTGGAAGTCTTGGGTCGAAAGTCTCCTCATACTGGACATGCATTGATAAAAGTAACATACCATTTATTTTCTGGTAACCAACCTATTTATTAGTAGGGTGATAAAGGAAATCTCATTTCTGATTTGGGCCACATACCCTAAATTGGTAGCAACTTTATTTACGGTAACGTACATTGTTTTTGTACGTTAGTTTGTCCACCTATCTTTGGTACAAGTTTAAATATTTAAGAAACTAATAATCAATTAAAAAGACTATTTTGGCATAAAATATTAACCCTTTTGCCTTTCTTACTTGTAAACAACAACTCACAATAACACCATTTTCAATGTCAAAACAAGGTGCCAAAATACATGCACCAGTTGTTTGAAAAAAACAACAACACCATATCCAATCTCACTGTCACATCATCAAAAAGAAAGTTCATGTTGTCCCCTTTTATACCACATTTGGGGCTATGGTGCCTAATGTTTAAGATTTCATAAACGTTCAATTTTTCAGCCTGGCGAACGAGTACCAAACTTACGTGTCCTCTCTGCAGACGGGATACTATTCTGAAAGGAGACATTGCTGCCCTGCCTAATAACTTCACTTTGGGAGCCCTGGTTGAGGAATTCGCAATGCAGGAACAGCTGCTTGAAGGTCAAGGGTCTGAGATCAAATGTCAAAACTGTGATGAAGGAAATGAGGCTGTGTTAAGATGCATGAAATGCAACAGTTTTCTCTGTCAAGAGTGCAACAGGGCGCACGGACGAATGTCTGCCATGAAAACTCATGAAGTGACCACAATGGCCCAGCTCCGTTCGGGAGAGATCTCTTACAAGAGCAAACTGAAAGAAGAGGTTCCAAAATGCGGGCAGCATCCAGACCAGAATCTCAGTATCTACTGCAATTCGTGTTTGCAGCTGGTGTGCACAACCTGTTCTGTTTTAGACCATGCCAGGCACTCTCTCAGTGGACAGACGGAGGCCTTGCGCAAGTGCAAACAAGAAGTTACAGAGCTGACTACAAAAGCCGAACAGAAAAGAACAGAACTCAGCACCGCAACAAAGGAAGTTGAGAAGATTCGCAAAGCACTGGATAGCACATTTGCTGACACCACCAAGAAAATCAAACAAAAAGTTGAAGAGGGGACCACCAGGACGACAGAAGAGGGGCAGAAACTGAAGCAAGAGGCGGAGAAGATCTACAAAGACAGAGTCAAGACTTTGGACACCGCTCAAGCAACCAACAGCAAAGAAGCAAGCGACGCAGAGCTGAAGCTAGAACAGATGAAACAACTCATTGAACAAGCAAGCTGTCATGAGGTGCTAGATCTCAAGCAGAAACTGTTGCATAATCTCAGACAATTGACCGTGAAACAGCCACAGAGAGTGTCTGGCGATTTGTCTTTCATGGATTTCCAGGGTAGTGAAGTTACACAAGAAATAGGGAAGCTGTTCTTTGTGGATGAAAGGAAAACTACAGTGATGGCTCAAGCTGCAGAACCACCATGCGAAGTGACTTCACGTCCGGTGAGGTATTGGCAAATGAAGACAGAAAAACACAAATTCTGTAACAAGAACGGTATCAAGACATACTTCAGATCTGTCACTCAAGTAGCAGCATTCTCTGACAACGAAGTAGTCATTGTGGATGCCGAGTGCAAGCTCTTAATAAGCATGTCTCTGTCTCTCAAGTCACCCACATCTGCTGCAGTCTCCAGAGAACTTGAGATTGAAGATCTTCATAACCCTACATGCGTGGCGGTGAACAGGCATGACCAACTCATTGTTTTAGCAGTTCCATTCGTCAAGATTTTCAACAGGAAGTATAAATTACTGAGGCAATTCAAACCTGGTGATTGTAGAAAGCCAAACAGCAAACCAACATGTCTTGCAGTGGACAACAAAGATGTAATAGCTGTGGGTTATCAGAACAAGGAAGAGATAACCCTTCACCGGTGGGATGGAACCCTTGTCCGGATTCTGCCAGCCCCAGGCATAGGTCGCTATTTGACTATCTCAAAGGGCCGTTTCATTTACACCAACTACAAAAAGTTACAATCCGTTGACTACAATGGCACTGTGGTGTTTTCAAATGAAATACATGTACAAGCCAATGACAGTATCCCTAGTGATGCTGAAGGACTGTGTTGTGACAGCGATGGCAACATCTACGTTGCATTTTCTCTGTACAACAATGAAAAAGACGAAATTCATTTTTTCAGTCCTGATGGCAAGCACAGGGGACGTGTCATCAAGGGATGTAATTATGCAGATGGTATGGCAATCATTCCAAATGGCGATCTCGTAGTAGCTGCGGGAAGTTCAGTAAAGTTCTACCGCCGTAGAGAGGAATACGAATAATATCTTTAAACAGAGCAGCAATCTCACTTAGGCTTTGCCCATCATCAGAGTTTCCTGATGACGGGGCCGGGGCCGGCAGAGCATATACTGTCCGAAACGTTGTGTTTCAACCAGTTTCTCTCAGAAGCACACACAATCACAAAAGCTATTTCATTTTACATGGTGCAACAGCGTACTTTCTCCGATTGCTGATTTCACTGTGCAAACCTTAAAATGTAATCCCACTTTAGCCCAAACTCCCTAGCATGATTTACTAGGAACCATACCCATCCTGGCAAATTCCAACACCATTATGGGAAACTGCACGGTGTGCCAACCCAATGTAAAACACTGTCAGTTTAGGGGTAGGCCTACTGTACACATCCTAACAGATTCCAACTAAATATGCCGTTGAGGTTTGTTGGGTTGAGTTCTGTTAGGGTTAATACAGAAAACTAATCCTACTTTAATATGGATACTAAAATTCTCTGATTCGTCAAAACCAGTGTTTTTTTGGTAAATCACTATGTAGCCTTCAACAAACAGCATATAGGCCAGTAAACAGGCCCTGTTAAAAAAAATGCTATACACACGTTAAATGCAGACACATTGTGATTATTATTTTTTATACAACACCTGAATAAATCCCCGTCATCTGATTGGTGGATCGTTGATCACGTCATTGAATTATTTATACCAACGCACGGCGCGTGCGTGGCGTGCAGGGCACAGTGCAATGGAAGTTCTATTGCACTGTGAATGGAAGTTCTATTGCACTGTGTCACTGCTGCTGGTGGTGGCACTGTTTTAAATCGAGATAAATTGAATGTGATTGTTCTCAACCTGTTGAACAGTTTGCATTAATAATTATAAATATGATGAACTTGTCGAACTTTTAAACAGTTTTTAACCTGAATAAATTGGCTATTAGAAGTCAACCAATCAGATGACAAGGATTTATTCAGGTGTTATATAAAACAAATAATGAATGTTTCACGTTCGTGCAATGGAAAGAATAATTTCATTTGGTGACAGATGAAATCGCCTCGTGGAATGGACATTTCATCTGTCACCTCATGAAATTATTCTTACCATTGCACTCACAAACATTCATTATTTGTATAATGACCACTCTGAAAGTTCCATGCTTTAAGCGCACCTCTGATACACACTGTTACCGTCAGTTCAGTTTATGAACTACATACCGGTACATGATACATGATGTGCTTAGTCTATAAGAGAGTGTAATATCTCAGGGACAAAGGGAAACACAGAGCATTGTCCCCTGGAGTATAGTAAAACACAGCTTTGTGCGCCTGTGGTGTGCAGCATGCACAACTACCATAATTTCCATCCATGCACAAACCTAAAGCATCTTCACGTGGGCTACCGGTACTTTGTCACCCTTGAAAAGGAACATAACCATGGAGTCCAAATCATGAGAAAAAAAAATTAATACCAAATATCAATAATGATAACAACTTATGGACTTGCATTATTACCCAAACTCAAAAACTGAATTTCAAAGGCAAAATGTTGGCTTTTCTCCTGTCAGTTGTGGAATCGAGAATGACACCAAGCCAAGATACTGCATACCTCACCACTGCAATGTTAGAACTTTCCATCAGTGACCGCCATCCATATGCGTTCAGCATGTGACGTTATTTAGTTACCACATCAGGGATATTCTCAAAAATTCTTGAGGTATCCGCGTGTCCATAACCAGATTTAACTGCGCTTAATGGGCCTAACTTATTAACAACATGCAGGTATGAATGCAGATGGATTTAGGGGTAGCTGGAATTACATGTAATATGAATGACCGATTTGCTTCTTAAGGTGGAACATCTTCTTTATCTGCCAAGTTAACGAGTAAAATTTCAGACTTCGAGTTTTTTCCCTAGTTATTTAGCAAAGTGTTTTCCCCAGATGGTTTCGGTACAATTTCAGCACTGGTTCTTGTGAATTTAGTGTTTAAATTTGGATGCTCACTTGGTAGATAGTTGATCTTTTGTCCAATTTATTCTGGTGTAACTCATGTTAATGATGTTACTTGTTACTGCATGTAACTTTTCTTTAGAAAGGATTCCATTTCTTTTCTTGTGGTTGATTAAGCATGAATGTACATGTAAAGGATAAGTTTGCTAAACCTGATTTTTTAAGACAATTTTGACAGTAAAAGTTGGTTACGAAGAAACAAACTAGCCTTCTTTTCCAATTCTCAATTATGAAGTCTTTATATATAGTCGGTCTTTTACTTAGAGTGAAATTTTTACTAGGTAACTTAGAGTGATATGCATGTTCTTATTTTCAGGTAACCCATTTATTCAATGCATGATTTAAAGGGAATATACATGTACATCATTTGACTATGCTGTAATTTTCAGAAATGGATGGATTTCGGGGGTTGGTAATATATAGCAAATATTTTTACACTGACTTTTTTATGTTTTGAGTTCGTATATATACAAAAACCAAGAAAAGCAATCATTTTCCTGTAGTCTGGTTCCCTGACTCCATTTAAGATGAAACGGAGCAATATATTGACGTTGGAGAATTGTAAGGTCATGGAACCAGTCTAGATGGCTTGTACCCGTTCACAGGTGTGTGATCGATTGCAAACAGAACCAGACTAACTAAATATGGTCAACTGGGGCCAGTTTATGAAAAAAAGCCAGTTTTTTCCAATGCTGGTCGGCCGACCAGCGTTGGAAATTGATACGAAAATAACACTTTTCTTGAAAATGACAGTATACCAGGTGCCTTGATTTTACAGGATGTTTTAGACTGTCATTCTCTAACAGTCCAGCAAGGTATTTCAAAATAATTTGGTAGTTTTATTTCTTAATGTTTGCAAATGTTGTATTTTCCCATTAATAAAGATATTGTTTCCTTTGTTTGGGCAACCACTTGATCAACTTGTACAGATTTAAGGTGTAACATTGTGACAGAATCTCAGTTAAACTGAAAAAAAAAAGCCCAACAACAAGAAAAGCAACAAACATGTACACACAAATATTATTACTTTAAGAGTACCTACACACTGTATCGATGCTATAATAATAATATACAGTAAAGCACAAGAGGTGAATGGGTGTGTGTTCATGAGCTGATCAGGTGGCAAAGACGCTTCCTACGTGAAGCCGACGAGACAGCAAAGCGGCCTTGTTCATACGCGGATTTCTATAGCGCCCTCTATTGATTAAAATTTACTTCATGCCCACTCCGCATCCGCGCATCCGCGCATCCGCGCATCCAATAAAGCGCCCTCTGTTGATTAAAATTTACTTCATGCCCACCCCACATCCGCGCATCCACGATCCGCGCATCCAGGCTTCCAATAATGCGCCCTCTATTGATTAAAATTTACTTCATACCCACCCCGCATCCGCGCATCCACGCATCCACGGCGGAATGAGTGGGTAGGTTGGGGTTGGTTTTAGATAGGGAAATAAAGTAGTGGGTCCTATAGGGTAAATACAGTAGAGGGTCCTGGGGTAAATAAAGCGCCCTCTATTGATGACTTCATGCTCATCCACCCCGCATGATCCGCGCATCCAACATCCCAAGCCGTCTCACACGGTACGTACAATAACTACGTACTTGTCAATCATTCACTCTCTATAGCGCCCTCTACTGATCACAATTTACTTCATGCTCATTCACTCTTTATACCGCCCTCTATTTATTTTACACGTCTACGTCATACCATATATACCCATGTACGTACACGTTAGCATCTAGGAGAAGTCTCATATATACCAATGTTGCTTCGTTCTCAAAAGAGTACCCAACGACCCCACTCCTCACATCGCATCCAACTACAAAAAAAAAACTTTTCCGGCGTGGCCCTGCATTCCATAGTTGCTCAGACTTCATAAATTGCACACGTGATATTCCCAGTGAATCCCACGCAATCTTAAGAGTGAGTGTTCATTCTTCAGATTGCGTGCTCATTCTTAAGAGTGCGCGCTCGTTCTTAAGAATGCGCGGTCATTCTTAAGATTGCGTAATTTGCATTTCCCATTTTCTATCGTTACGGTAGTAGGCCTAGCATGCCTAGTAGTAGTACTGCAACTTTTATAAAAACGTGAGAAAAAAATATAAAATTAGAAGGAAAAAAGTGAATTTGAACGTTATGAAATTCGGACTTTATTTCCCTTTAAAAAAAAATCCTCCAAAGCCTCAGGTTAGAAAAGGAAAAAAAAATCGAGTGCAAAACAAGTGAGATGCGAACCCGCAACCTCGCGGTGCAAAATCCTACCCTGGCTCTATCGACTGAGCTGTCGCACTGCTCGCTAAAACTTGGGGAAACAAATAATTATATACCTGCGTGCGTATCAAAAAAGTATCGTAAAGGGGGCGCTAAACAACGGCTGCCGTAACGATAGCCAATTCGTTGCAAGAAAGCGCACAGTGGCACAACAGTTGAGTCAGTGACAGTGTGCCAACATCAACAACAAAAATGTTACTTTTTTAAACCACTTGCATGTCTTGCTTGCTTCACCGATTCCTAAAATTTAAAGGTATTTAGATTAAGTATGAGTTAAAAAATATAAACAAGCCTTTTTCCATTAAACATACCCGTCACATAAGTCAATAATTCGCCATCAATTGACGGAAATGCCGACGTCAAAATCGCACTGCACGCCATGCTGCCTCGATCCAACTTCCAAGTGACACATTGCATATTGCACAACACGTATATATGCGTCAACCTCGTATACAAAGTGTTTGTCCGTAAGGGAAAACATTGACTATATTATATTACGAGAAAATCCCTGGGAAAGAGTAAAAATCGAAACCCTGACGTCTTTCCGTTATAAGTAATATTGTCATGATGAGGGAACCACACTCAATGTTAAGTTAGTTAAACACATGTCATTCTGTGGATCGGAGAAAGTGGCTCGCGCTTTGAAATGCATTGTGCGGCTTAAATTAAGAGTCTTTGCGACTTTTTTGTAACCATTCAGGCCAAAATGAAGCGAGTTAACAGTGAGCAGGTTCACTCGGCTGTGTTTAGTTACCTCAAGAGACGGCAGTTCATAGTAAGTTGAAATTTATTGTGTTTGCTTTATCGTGCCAGTTGGAATGGTTGTTAAATTGATTGTTTCAACATTGAGGGCGCTGTTACACGTGTCCGGTTTGTTTTTTTGACATGCATGACATGGGGGCGGGGGGGGGGGAGCACTGAAACCCCCAACTACTGAGAAAGAATGTAGTATCCTAGCCCCACTAGTGTGGCCGTCGGTATGCTGCGCTGAACCTAAGGCCACACACCGTGGTACAGCGCGCTACTGAGGACGAAGTTTTCATAAAATTCAGGGCAGTTTCTTACATTCTCAGTTTCTTACTTTCTTATGGTTGTATTCTATGATGTCTCACCAATCACTTCTGGAATGCTAAGGTCTAATGATGTTCCATTTTCCGAGATATTCTTCAATCTTTCTGGAGTCCATATGCACTCGTGAAACGTCTGGTGATGGCAGCCATTTTGAATGGGACAAGAGATGACCTCAAGCTGTGACGTCGCGTGTATGCAAATTGCTTGTCGAGCGCGCGAGGGCGCGAGTTGCAAATGCGACGGCTGTTTCCTGTACCATGCATTTATCGTCAGGGGTCCACGTGCACCGATCTCTATTCAGGATCTACGGCACAGGAAACAGCCGTCGCATTTGCAACTCGCGCCCTCGCGCGCTCGACAAGTAATTTGCATAAACGCGACGTCACAGCTTGAGGTCATCTCTTGTCACATTCAAAATGGCTGCCACCACCAGACGTTTCACGAGTGCATATGGGCTCCAGAAAGATTGAAGAATATCTCGGAAAATGGAACATCATTAGACCTAAGCATCCCAGAAGTGATAGGTGAGACATCATAGAATACAACCATAAGAAAGTAAGAAACTGAGAATGTAAGAAACTGCCCTGAATTTTATGAAAACTTCGTCCTCAGTAGCGCGCAGTACCACGGTGTGTGGCCTTAGGTTCAGCGCAGCATACCGACGGCCACACTAGTGGGGCTAGTAGTATCCCTGACACATATAAACAACAGAATTTGACAGTTTTTAATGCCGAGTAAACTACCCCCTATGGCCTAGCCTAGGCCATCATCATCAGGCCATGACATTAATATAGGCAGTGGTTATTTCCCGGAGACAGCAAACCTTTAGGACTAGTAAACGTTAGTTTGCCGAATATGCACTGAACATGCGCTGTTACTGGGTTTTTTTTACATTTTCCGGTGACAAATTTTAGTCTGGCTCCATGCCAATATTATCGTTGTAACTTCGTATTCACAAGATGGGAATCAGACCATTTTATAATTTCGGACTTTATTTCCCTTTAAAAAAAAATCCTCCAGAGCCACAAATCTGAAAAAGAAAATGTAATAGTAATAAGTAATAGTATACTCTGCAATATAATGTTTGAGACATGTTAAAATAATATGATAAAAGAAGAATATTGTTATTTATTTGGGGATTGGAAAAAAAACCTTAAAAATGTGGCGGGGATCAGGATCGAACCCGGGTCATCCCGCTCATGAGAGCCATTGCTTAACATGCCTAACCACTTCACCAACTGTGCTACACAACTTTTGGTGGGAATTTAATACATCTTATAATTCAGCCCTATCTTAAAGAGTACAGCGCCCTCTGTTGATATGGATTGCTGCCGGCAAACCTTTAGTAAACGTTAGTTTGCCGGCATTACCTCCAGCAAAATATCACCTTTCATCATGATCATAAATATTTTTGTGCAAACTAGGCATATTGCAAAAAAAAGGAAGTAGGAGGACAAGAAACTGGTTTATTTTTACTTGGCATAACCTTAGGCCTGTACTTTGTTTCTTATAATCTTTTATTTGAACACTCTGACTTGACATTTCCTTGAGACATTTTGATCGAAATATATAGGGCAGTCCCACATTACATCAGCTGGTGTAAACGTACATCATACATGTATATTCATTTTCACACCAGTTTTCATTACTTCGTTCCGATGAGTTACCCGTAAACACTGCGGACTCAAGAACCATTGAGTTTCAAGTACGTAGGTCTGGGAACTAGACAAGGCAATGACCAATGTAAGAAGTTCCTGGATGGGGGGGGGAATGTTTGTCATTACCCCAGAATTTGTGTCAAAAATTCCTAAAAGTTTCCCACTTTCCTCAAAGACATAGGCCTACACAATGTTTATTTTGTTGACTGCTTCTGTTTGATCAGGACGCGAGCAGCGAGACGTACAGCAAGAAGCATCTTCGTCTGACAGAGTCTGTGTCCCTGATGGCAACAGAGGCCGCAGTCAGACGAGAAACTGGTGTCCTCAACGTTGTCTCCTGCACTACCTGGTGAGTGTCAAAGGTCTCGAAGGAGTGGATCGAAGAGAGGCCATGTCTAAATCGGTTATTTTGTGGCTACGGCTTTGGGTTTGCCATTGATACACTATGTTGAATAGTCATAGCCACAGACATGAATGCCCTTTTTGGACACAGCCACAGACTCCCATCATTTCATTGAGCTCTGTTATGTAGAGACTAATTCGGCGATCAAGATTAGAGGCAATTTTTTTAGGTGAAACCACACATACTTGAAGTTGTATCTTTGTGGAGACATCTCTTTGTTCTGGTGTACTAACATTTTAAGATGTTGTGAAAATCTAGTTTCAAAATGCTCCTATTTTAACCAGAATTAATTTCCTGGGCTGAAATTCGGACCAAATATCCCTTACAAACAATACTTCAATTTGCGACAGATAAACACACTTTGGAAATTCCTAGTTTTTGAGTAAAATCCATATATATTTCGTGACAACCTTGTTGAGACGTATTCACCTGTAGAAATTGCCCTGTGGAGACGTATACAATCTTTTGTTCCCTATTGTGTGCACGTCTCCAGAGGGCACGGTGTATCAGATCACTTCCGCGCACATGATGCCACACACAAAGAAGAAGCGCATGCGCATTTTGGTTTTAAAAAAACCCAATGGTCGAAGGGTCCTGGAGTGCATGCATACTACCTGAGCACGACTCGCGCAAGCCTGGTTCCACCTCAGAAAATCGCTGTTGCCGAATTGTGAAGATCCTTTCAGTCTCTGGGCAATCTGATGAACGCATATTGTGAGAAGGTCAAAGTTCAAATATATAAAGTATCTTTACCAACTAAAAATGATCAATGGGTTGAACTGATTTTGCAGAGAGTGTTTTGTATTGTCACTTTTTTCCCGGCAGTGATTCAGACCCAGAGAGCTATGAACAGCAGTACTCAAGACTCAAGACATTCATTGAGCAGACCCAAGAACCTTACAAGGTATTGTATGTGACGAATCTATTGAAATATCACTGAAAAAACAACACCTCTGATGAGATACAGAAGGAAAATTCTGGAATTCTCTGAAAGAAAATGGTGTTACTTGATAAAGGGAATATACAACATTTGCTTTTGCTGTAATTATCATAAATAGATGGATTTGGGGGTTAGTTTTTATAGCAAATATTGTAATGCTAACTTGTTTTAAGTTTTGGGCCTAGATGCTGGAAAAACAAAGAAAAACAATCTTGTTCCTGTAGTCTGGTTCCCTGACCCCATTGACCGGTATGACAAAATGGAGTAATTTATCAACATCGGGGAATTATAAGGTCAGGGAACCAGTCTAGCTGGCTTGTTCCCGTGCATAGATGTGTATTGCAAACGAAATGGGGACTAACTAAATATGGTAAATTGGGGGCAGTATTTGAAAAGGCCAGTTTTTCAAACACTGGCACAGTGTCCCGTTATATGTGAGTGGATGCGTATGGCTGTATGGATTCCAAGATCACAACTCCTCTAACTTAAAGCTATAGTCCATCAATTGTAATTTGTGCATTTTGTTCGTTTGAAGCAACAAAAGAGTTCAAAATCTAATGAAGGATACTGAGCAACTAACCTGATGAAGTTTCAGCTAAGCTTCAGCTGTATATTCCGAGAAAAACAGCATTCTAAGATCTCAATTTCAAATCAAAAGTTACTGAATCATGTTTTGAATTGTTTTGAATTGCAGCTATACGCGACGTAGCGCACTGATCCGACGAATTATAACGACCGCGTGCGCGTGTGCGTCGTTCCAAACCTTGTGCGCGCTGCGCTGAATAACAAAACGAACTACTAATTTAAATTTTCCTATGATGCTTCTTACGAATCACCGTTGGAAATACCTTCTTTTGTTGATTACTTCAAAATGACAGCTTCCCAGAAAGAATAATTTCACAGGGAGTTTAGTTCCCTTACTATCTTTCAACCAAGTTTGTTTTTCAACAATAATTACGCCAGTTACTTTTCCGATGGCTGCAAATGATGGACTCTGGCTTTAAGTATAACACCTTGTGTTTCATCCTTCCCCTGTCTAATAGGACGACCTGTCACTGCTTCTGTACCCGCTCTTCGTTCACCTGTTTCTAGACATGATCACAAATGGGCACAAGTCGGCAGGTAAGATCTGTAGTGCTTTGCCTCTTTACCCTCCGCATTGCCATCTTCATTTTCACAGCAGCCAGTTTCAAGGAATGGTGTTTCACTTGCAAATGTTGTGCTGCTAGCCAGTGTTTTAAAAATTGATTGAACAAAATTCCACCCAGCCACATCTTGGAAGAGGATGATGACACATGTTGTGTACAATTTTAAGTAATGAAATTAGCACTGCCTACCATTTCAAACATAGTTTTGCGTCAAACCTAGCCCCCCTCCCCCTCCTCCCCTGATCCTGCAAATCCCATGGATAGAAGGATTTAGGGGATTTTTAAGGGTTGACAAAAGTGAAGCCATGCTACTACATGTATTACTGTTCCTCAGAAGTTTAAAGGGGCATTATGGCCTGAAATCCCTTAGAATTGTATGTTTTGGATTGTTTACTTATACTTTTTCAAAGGTCTGGTTGAAAGGAAACAAACCTTATGTCTTACCGTTCCCCCAAAAATCAAAAAAAAAACCACCTGTTTGTTTGCATCGGACGTGACAGACATTTTGTGTTGTACGTACCGGTATACGTATTTAAAGTCGTGTCTACTCAATGTACTTGTATACTACACTTTGTGTGTGTGGTACATAATACACCCAGCACCAATAAACAAATGTTGTTTCTTACATGTCCGCAGAATGGGACCACTAGGATTCACAACTAGCACTCAACAGCTCGATTTTTCGTAGACAAAATTTTAACCCTGAAATCTGTTCTCGCATGGTTCTCGCAAGAATAACACAAAAATGCCCAGTTTTTAAAGGAGTGTGGATGTGTGTATTCTTCTTTAAAATGCTGTTTCTGTTAATATTATTTCATTTAGAATGCATTTTGTAGCCCAATATGAAGGCGCATTCCAGGCCGTAATGTCCCTTTAAATAAAGAATGTGCCATCGGGTTACTGCACAGTGGTTGATTTTAAAGGATTAGGAAAGGCTCCTACAAAACAAAAACCACGGACTTAGGCTTAAATGAGCTGTCAAATAGGAATCATTTTCATTTACCTCAAAACAACGCTCAGACTATTTCTGGATCTACCTTGTCAAGTTAACCAGTAACGAACTTCACAATGATCATGCTTAGCCAGTTTACGCTATTAGTCAGTTACGCCATTTTGCACATAACCGTGTTGCTCTCAACAGTACTACAATTATTTTTTGCAGCACACATCTTGTACAGCAAACACCACGAGTCCTTCTTAGATGTCAGCAGTCAGCGAGAGTTAGTACAAAGCCTGACTGGCGTGGTGAACAGCATGGATCTCCTCATGAATGACCATCTCACGGCATTCAGGTATGCTGGGTTTTGCCCTTCAGCGACATATTGTATATACTCAGTATTGTCCGAGATTTTGCGAGAAAAATTTCACAAGCTTACAAAGTGCAAAACCCAACAAAATTCACATTTCTCCGATGCAAATCCCATCTTCAGGTGAAGTGTTCAGAAGAACTTTGGGTAACTGTATTTGGACTTGCCCGAGCTGAATAGTACCTATTACTTCTCTTTTCTTTAACATTGATTCAGTTCACTGTCACATTTTGAAAATGCATTCATAGGAACTACTCCCAAAGGCTAGTCAAGATTTTGGATTCAGACAGGCAAACTTACTCCCAATTGACTGTTGCAAACATTTAACTTAATTCAAATTCAAAGCACTAGTTTTTGTATTAAGTCCACATTGTTTATTGCAATGCCTGATGGTTTGCTCTTTCTACCACAGAGACAGCAAGTACGTGGTTCCCATGTGCCAGGAGGCGGTTCAGTTTCTGCTGCGCTATTTGCAGAGTCGCGACAACTCCATGCTGCTCAAAGTCTTCAACCTACATATCCAAATCGATGGTAATTTTCTCCTTAGACAAGGATATGTTATTAAATAATAATAATAATAATAGAGAACATTTATATAGTGCCAAAATCCGTCTAAAAAAGACGCTCAAGGCACTTTACAAGTTTAAAAAATAACCTAATACTATAGCATTATATATATCAAAAAAAAAAGAGTAACTGTAACGTTAAAATGTTTGAAAAAGTCGATACAAGGAATAAAATTGTCAAAGATAAAAATAGTAAAATAAAAAAACTTAATAAACGCACAATCCAAAAACTATAAAAGTATCCAAAAAATTCACACATTATATACACATACAAATATTATACACATACAAATTACCAACCCATAGAGACATTGACCGAAAGAACTGAAAATATATCAGGACAAGCAAAATGCTAGTGATGAAACCAAATACATATGACAGATATTACTTAGGAAAAAATATATATGCACCCCCTTTAAAAGCAAAGAAAAACTGAAATTTTTACAGTAAGGAATCATATGGGAAGAAACAAATCATATACATCTAAAGCATCTAAAAAAAATACAAAATACATACACATATATAAGCATTATACAAATAATGATATATTGTATAAAATATACAATTTGCCAATAAAAACAACTGGACACATCAACGAATAAATTTTTCTTATTCATTTTGATACAGCGCCTTAATAAATCCCCATCATGTGGTTGGCGAGTCGATGATCACGTGTCATTGAATTATTTTGTTCTATACCAAACACCACGGCCCGGCCGCACCACAAATATAAGAGTTCCGTACCTTGGTAAATAGAAGTTCCATTGCACGGTCACGCTATTACCAATCAGATGACAAGGATTTATTCTGGCAATGTATGAAACAAATAATGAATGTTCCACAGATGGAATGTTCCATTCCACTTGGCTTAACCTTGTGGAATGGAACATTCTTTCACCTCATGATATTATTCTTACCATTGTACTCATGAACATTCATTATTTGTATAACATGGGACATTTACTATTTCTTTACATTGGACTTGATCTTAAAATTGGGGTGCTGTGGTCCAATGGTTACGGTGTTCGACTCGTGTGCCGTGGTACATGGGTTCGAATCCTGACCGTGAGAAAATGCTGCTGGTGCTCTTGAGCAAGGCACTTTACCACTATTGCTTCATCCTTCGGATGGGACGTAAAGCCGTAGGTCCCGTGTGTTGTGTAATGCACGTTAAAGAACCCAGTAACACTTATCGCTAAGAGAAGGGGTTTGCCCCGGTGTTTCTGGCAGTGGCTGCAATATGCGCCGCAGCACCTTGTACACCCTTATAAGGTGCTACATAATGGGTCTCATATCTCTCATAAACTTGATTTACCTTTCTTTAATAATAGACATATCTCCAGCGCCTTGAGTACCTAATAGTTGGTAGATACGTGCGCTATATAAGACTCCATTATTATTATTATTATTATTAAAAGATGTACTGTCTTGATCTTCAACAAATTTGATTATTTCATTACTTTACAAGTTATGTGAAGATGTTTTGCATGGCTAGAAAAAAATAGTTATTTATAAATTACAATTGATTTACATCTTTAAAGTTAAAGAGTAGAGAATAAAGTTAAAGAGTAAAGAATCTTGGACTTGTTTCCAGCACAGTTGAGGCTTGTGGAAGATCTAGGAAAGCAGAAAGGCAGAGGGAGTTCGGGTGGAAAGATTTCCATATACGAAGTTCACTAATTTTCCTCTGTATTGACTAACAAGCCCCCAGATAGCAATTTCATGTCATCAGAGTCAATTTGAGCAGTGAAAAAATACAAGCATTTTCTTAGAAAACACTTAGAATTTTTCAGTCCAATCTCATAGGGTTTGTACACAGGGTGTTGAGTGAACTTCGTATATGGAAATCTTTCCGTTCGGGTTAGGGGGCAGATCGGGACTTTTAAGACACCACACTGTACCACACCTAGATGCATTTGTATCTGTTAGAGAGAGAGTTGCAGAGAAAGAGCAAAAAACCAAATCAATTTTGTTTGTTGAAATCTTTCTGAAGTGAGGGGATTGTCAAATGGCTCATCTCATTTGCATAATGACAATGGTTCCGCACCTGCCAGTGCACCTGTCACTACTGGTAGCAGCCAATCAGCATCATCGGATGGGGACGCTGCCGCAAGCCTGACGGCCCTGAAGGCCAACGTAGAGAAAGTCAGCAAGGGTCCACCTACACTGCCCTCAGTGCTGATGTACACCTTCAACAATTCATTCCAGGGGTACGTGAATGGGTCATTCTATAAATTGAGGGTCCAAAATGTGACCTGTTACCTGTTACTTTAGTACTTTCTAAGTTGCCTTTCAAGTATTTTTTTTGTGAAATGAGTACAAAAGGTACTTTTGAGAGCTGTTTCCAAGTCCTGTCATGCCTGTTTCGACCCGAACGTGCAATTTGTGTAAAAGTCGTCGTTGCGGGCAGCAAACAAAACACAGTAAATCGTGACGTAATAAACAGGACTCCGGATGCAGAGTAGCATATACGAGTCCTGTTTATTACGTCACAATTTAGTGTGTTTTGTTTGCTGCCCGCAACGACGACTTTTACACAAATTGCACGTTCGGGTCGAAACAGGACCTGAAAAACAGCTCTCAAAAGTACCCTTTGTACTCATTTCATGACAGAAACAATAGTCGTTTTTATTTTATCACACTTAAGGCTACATATACCCAAAAAATGACGGAAATGTCTTTGAGCATTCCACAACCTCTTTAAGAATAACTTCAAACATTTTTATATGTTGGTAGGTAGTTTACTATTCATAATCACTCTTGGAGGATGACAGCATTTACCCTAATACCCTTGGGTGAATAACAGTTGACTCTTGTTAGTACAAACACTGTTAATACTGGCGCACAGGTGAAGTACGCACGCGCGAACATCGCTCTAGCTATGCATGTAAAGATGGTTGTACATGTAAATTTTAATTAGCGTTTTCCCAAGTTCAGTGATGGCGATTTGGAGAAAATTGTGGACAATAAAGAGGCCTCCTGCACTAAAAAAAAAAAAAGGTTGTCCACAAACCATTGTATTTTAATACAAATGTATAGTTACTGTATTGCAAACGAACTGAACTTTTTAGGAGGTTGAGCAATATTATTCTTCTGGTGAGCTGGAAGAGTTTCTCCGAAAATTTTTGGCCCTGAGATGCATACTACATACTGGGAACATTCGGTGACTGAATATGTATGAGTTAAAATAAAGCAAATATAACATGGTTTATTTCGATTGGACAGTCAATATTAGCTCCCCGAGGTATTGGGAGTTGAACTTCCAATACCTCTGGAAGCGAATATCGACTGTCCACCCTCAAACCATGCTCTATTTGTATAATATTAAATCTAAAAGATGATTTAAAAAAATCCCCAGGTCAAACTGATTCAGAATTCCTGCTTGCCAACTGTATGAAACAGATCACCACAGTGTCATAATTATTCAGGGAAACTAGCTTATATTGTCTCTGATTTGGCAGTTTATGCAGCAAGGTCCCGAGGACTTTTACACTTTCGGGGTAATTGTAAATCAAAGCTTTGTGCCCTATCCTTTGCTCGGCAGACTCAGCTGTGCCACCGTCTCGGCCGATCGCTCGCTGCTCTGCGGCGGCTTTGAAGACTCCTCCATCCAGGTCTGGAGTCTGAACTCCAAGAAGTTGAGAGCAGCCCCTCACAGCGTGGACGTCAGTCGCGTGCACGTCGCTGGTGACTGTGTGGAAGGGCTGATGTACGGAGACAGGTATAACGCTCATCCTTTCTTTCTTGAAGTATTTTTTAAAAAGGGCAGAAAGATTGAAATCATACTAATCGTTTATTTTTCATTTGCTAGATGGAAAACGAAACTTGCGTAGATCATTTTTTGTTTGAATAAATTGAGACCGAAAACTTAAAATGGAATTTTTTTGTTATGATTCCTGGCGTATTAATTCAAGGAGGCTTTGGTGAATAAAGTTTAATAAAGAGCTGAACAGTTAGGAGGAGATTTGTTTATTCTGACTGCTGTAGGAAAATGTGTGCTACAATCCCGGCCAAAATTGTTGGGACACTTGGAAATACCCTTAGCCTCGAACGGTCACCAACTCCCCCGCTCCCCTGGTCAATGTTGTTCTCCTTAGCGGATGGAGCACACACCGCGCAATGAGAGACAACATTGAGCGGGGGTTGGGGGCCCAGCAAGATTTGGCCAGGATTGTCTGAATTTTGTCATTTTTCAAAATGTGCATGACATGCCATTTTGGGAGCTGTTTTCTTGAGTTTTGTTTCCAAAATATGAAATGGCGGCCGAAGGTTGAATGCAAGAACAAATACTTAGGCCAGATAATAATGATTGATAGTAATACAAAAATGGAAATTAAAAATACAAATGTTCCAATTCTTTAAAATCACAACTTTATTGTTGCGTGCATCGTAACGGTTCACCATGACGGTTCACCATGCCATTGTGGCCAACAACTGTACAAAGTATAGTTTGTGTTTTTACTTGAAAGGCTCATTAGGATACACAAACAACATACAATCCTTGTCAATTTGTTTGTATTCACTCATTCACTCATTTCATGCGCAAGGAAGCTAATTCAATCACAATGACCATCTCCGCCCTCACAGGTACCCATTTACTCCTGGGTGGAGAGAAGCAATGAGTGATAAAGTGCCTTGCCCAAGGGCACATGCACCATGACCCCAGGCTGGACTCGAACCCACAGCCTGCTGCTTTACTCCCAGTCCACAGCACTCCAATTGGAAAGATTGGAAAAATGTTCAAGTTTGTTCACTGAGCTCTGAAAAGCTCTGCCAGGGATATTACAAAATGCTGGAACTGGCCCCATACTACAGGGTGAGTCAAAAAAAGCGGGACCCAAACCCCAAAAATGATATTTCATATTTAAAAAAATATGTAGCATCAACAATTATAATGACTGGAAAGCCAATTTCATAAGCTAGTTTTAGATGAAAAAAATACTGAAATTGCTCAATCCATTCGAAGAATATCACCATTTAAACACAATGACCCTTAAACACAATGACCCTTAAACCTGTCTCGTCCAAAAATGCGATTTCAAGAATCGTCGTCACAGTTGTCTTCAATCATCACCAGCGATAAAACCTCAGTTTAAAAGTTAAAATATTCAACAAAGTCCTTTTGAAAGCCTGTCTATTTAAAAACAGTGGATTTTATCAATCATATTGTTTGCCTAACCAGGGTTGTTAATAAAGATATTATGTTCTACTGTTCTTGACAGTTTATGAAACAAGTATTCTGTGTCATTTTCTTTGTTGTTCCAAACAGTCAAAACACACAACAAATTGCTGTTTTGGACGAGACAGGTTTTAGGGTCATTGCGTTTAAATGGTGATATTCTTTGAACGGATTGAGCAATTTCGGTATTTTTTTCCATCTAAAAGTAGCTTATTAAATTGGCTTTCCAGTCATTATTATTTTTGGTGCTACATATTTTTTTAAATATGAAATATATTTTGGGGGGTTTGGGTTCTGCTTTTTTTGACTCGCCCTGTATAAACCATAGCTTTCAAGAATGTTATTTTTGTTTGACAGCATCGGTAGCGAGAGCAAAACACTAAGAGCTCACTCGGGCCCGGTGTACGGCACCTGCTTCCTCCCCGATAACAAAGTCCTACTGTCCTGCTCCGAGGACACCACCGTCAGGGCTTGGAGCATGGAGACGTTCACCAACGTTGCCATCTACAGAGGCCACAACTACCCCGTTTGGGGGATCGAGAGTAGCCCGATGGGGCTATATTTTGCCACTGCTTCCAAGGACAACACGGCCAGGCTGTGGACGCTGGAGAGAACCTTCCCTCTCCGGATATTCGTCGGACACCTGATGGACGTAGATGTAATTACTTGATTTTGATCTCTCTCTTTCCCCCCCCCCCCCCCCAGCATCCTGTCCCAGACAAGCCTGGCCAAGCTGCTGTGGCACGTGCTTGCAGTACGCGCCGCGTGCTTCACCATTCTGAGAGCCGGTGATATGATCTCAATATCTAGAGAGGTTGAGCATATAGCACATGTGTGGAACAAAATGGTGGAACAAAAATAGCTGGAAGTTTGTCAATATTTCGACTTTGTGTGGTTTTTAACCAAACAGGCATTTAGTCTATTTATGATTGGGGATAAAAGTATGATAGAGTAGTTATAATGTGATGTTTAAAACCAGTTTATAACTGCTTAACCAGACCATTATCCCCAATCTGATACAGGGGTAAAGGCCCCATGAGATGTATCAAATCCAGTCTTGGGAACTTTGGCACTTGGACCTGAGAAATTCTGAGCATACATGTACCTCGCGCATGCTACATACTCAATTTAATGCACCCAATTGAGGTATGCTTGGAATTTCTTGGAGCCGAGTGTCAAAAATCCCAAGGCTTTGATTCATCTTGTTGATAGCACTGTTCACTGCGGCATTGGCTTCACCGCACTTGTTAAAGCTATAGTCCATCATTTGCAGCTATCCAAAAAGTAACTGACGTAATTATTGTTGAAAAACATACTTGGTTGAAAGATAGTAAGGGGACTAAACTCCCTGTGAAATTATTCTTTCTGGCAAGCTGTCATTTTGAAGTAATCAACAAAAGAAGGCCTTTCCAACGGTGCGTCTTAAGACGCATTGTTAGAAATTTTCGTTAGTAGTTTGTTTTTTTTAGTCGGGGAAGCGGGCGTACGCTTTGGCACGATGGACATGCGCGCGCAGTTACTATAATTCGTCGGATCAGTGTGCGACATGGCGTCGCTGCAATCGGCTCAGTGAGACCGTGTCTCGGATGCTGAATTCAGGCCCAATTCAAAACATGATTCAGCAACTTTTGATTTGAAATTGAGATCCTAGAATGCTGTCTTTCTCGGAATATACAGCTGAAGCTGAGCTGAAACTTCATCAGGTTAGTTGTTCAGTACCCTTCTTTAGATTTTGAGCACTTTTGTTGCTTCAAACGAACAAAATGCAGAAATTACAAATGATGGACTATACCTTTAAGGACCAGCTGCATTAGGAGAACACCATCTCAATCCAGACTTGCACCAAAACTAAATGCTGAGCGGTCATATTTGCGTGATAAGACTATAACCTGAACTTCTAAGTTGAATTTGCTAGCAACCTTCTCCAACATCCCAAATCTGCCACTGTGCAGGATCCATTAGCATATTCTTAGTACTTCACCTTCAAGGGAAATTAAGCCCCATTGAAAGTAAAAGTGGTTGAGCTCTACCTTCCTGAATCCTCCAAAATTCTTCGCTGTGCAGAAAACCGATGGCACACTCATTGCACCAACCAAGTTTCAAGGTCCATCAAGCCACATATAAAGTAACACAGGCAGGATCTCTATCTTCCTCCATGCTCCAAATCCTCCTCTGTGCATGCTACCAATGGCACACTCTTTGTACCTACCAAGCTTCAAGGTGCATCAAGCCCCATGTAAAATAAAAGTGGCTGGCTCTACCTTCCTCAATCTTACAAAGTCTTCAAAGCCACCTGATGGATTTTGAAGGATCTTGGAGGGTCAAGGGTTAATGAGATTTCCCATGTTTGTCACCTCCAGTGTGTGAAGTTCCACCCCAACTGCAAATACCTGGCCACCGGGTCCAGCGATAAAACTATCCGACTGTGGAACATCCATGATGGCAAGACGGTCCGACTATTCAACGGGCACAGGGTAAATAATAATTTATACATGTGTATTGCACAAATTCCATAAGAATATGATCAAATCGTCGGTTGCACCACGAACCGACGTATGGCATTTTTTTGTGTTTCGAGAAAAACCGATTTAAAGTTGGTCATTATTTTGTAGGCTTATTCCATGTACTCCCTGTGTAAGAATTCAAGCTGTTTTGTTTTTGCTATCAAATTATAGATTGAACTTTATTGTATGCAATCCGTGTGCATCTGAGTTGCTTAGCTTTTGAGAAATTCAGTTCCAAAGTTATTCGTCACTTCGTGAAACAGATTTTTATCATGTTTATTGTATGTCATACAACGCGCGTAATAGTGCCCGTATGCTAGATATGGAGATACGTCAGTTCGTGAAACGCTAAATTCCAATTGTTCATGTGGGCGCTCCTTTGTGACGTCAAAGCACTATGGGAATTAGCATGTAAAGTGGCGTATCGGGATACGTCACTTCGTGGTGCAGCATTTTTCATTTTTTAGAGATATGCCACACAGTCTAATTAGTGTTTTTAGTTAATTAGAACTCCAATCGGAATAAAACTTTCTGAGAATGAGCACTTTGATGACATAATAACGTTAATGAAAAAAACTCAATTTGGCCAAAAATGGAGATACGCCGGTTCATGGTGCGACCGACGAACTGTGCATCACAATTATTATCCCTGTTCATCAGAAATGAAGCAAGCCCCATAAATATGCCCAAGTTTATGGCAAAAACTGCAGATTGATGTGTTACTTCGCCTGACAAGTTTGGCGAACTACTGGCGGGATTAGCTTGTTGCCCAGGACTACATGTAACTGAATCTGAGGATTTGGGTTTTGAATTCCCGCCGTATTTATGCCATCCTTTTCGTTTTCAAATTTTTTGTCATTTGTCTCTTTCAGGGAACAGTTCTAGCTTTGGCTGTCTCACCAGATGGACGCTATATAGCCTCTGCAGGTAAGCTGATCTACTTTTTATCAAACATCAGTATAGTCATTGATTCTTTAAAACCAATACAGTTCTGCCCCTTACCTTTTTTTTTTTTTTTCAATTCATTTTGAACTTGGTAGCACATTCAGTGGAATCCACTGGTCTCCCATGGGGCCCAGTAAAGAGAAGACAATGTGAAGTAATTACAGTTTTAGATTGGGAGGAAAACCCCAGAAGAATATTCTGAGGAAAACCCACGGAATCAGGCAGGGACTGGCAACCAATCTCAAATATTGGTCCAGGTAGGAATCGAACCCAATTCACAGCGATGGAAGGCGAGTTATGTACCGCTACGCCAGCCTGACTCCCCTACACCTATTTTCTTTCCTACTGTCTTGTAGGTGAGGATAGGCGAGTGAAGCTATGGGACATCGGCTCAGGAAGCCTGGTCAAGGAGTTGAGGGGCCACACTGACTGCGTCTACAGCCTCGGCTTCAGTCCGGATAGCTCAACACTTGCATCAGGTAATGACCGACTAGAAGATCCAACAACTATGGGTTAGCACCTAGGGGTATGATGGATGATAATAATAATAATAATAATAATAATAATTACACATTTATACCGCGCAACATATCTGTCCAGAAACAGGACACCCAAGGCGCACATCAGGAAAAAAATTGGAGGAAAAAAGGTTCGAATCAATGAATGAAGTATTAATCAGTGTTGGAGGTCTCGAGCTCGGCCTCGAGGCCGATTTTCATGGCCTCGGTCTCGGCCTCGGAGGTGCAAGGCCTCGGCCTTGGCCTCGGCCTCGGAGCCTTCCGGCCTCGGCGAATCGGTCGAGGCCGGCTCGAGGCCGCCCATTTTGATGTGTTTTTTATTTTAATTAATTATATTTTTTTTACCGTTTCAAACTCTCGAGATTCTGCCGCAGTGGGTTCCGTGAAACGAACGCATGTACGATGTACGCACGAATGAACTGGAAATGGTTGCATTGAACGTACTCACGTACGTAGCATCTTCGCCTAGCCTGCGTTTCAGCTTTCCACGTGCGTGCAAGCGTTATAACTGTTACCGCGTGCCAGACTACATAAGTCTGGCACCAATCCCATTTGCGTACAATAACATGTGGTAGTAGACTAGTCTGGTTGCAGTGTTGTACGACATTTTCTCGTTTCGCCTCTGTACCCCGACTTTTAAAAATGATTTGCGGCAAGGTGCAGCAAGCTTAATCATTTCTTTTTATAGGCCACTGTTTCAGTAAAAGTCTGAACTTTCTGGGTACGATCGAGTGTACTAGTCCGTACCATTTTTTTTTCATAAAGATATGATAAAAACAGTTACCATTTATCAAGTAGATTTTATTTTTACACCGTGATTTAAATGAAATTTTTCCGGCTCACACGGTAATGTTTGGCGCAAATGGTCGGTATGGAAAGCGCGATTTCAGAATTCGTTTTTCCATCCAAATGAATGCAAAGTTCTGAATGAATGTTTTAATAATAGGAGTCAGTATTCCTCGTGGTACATGTACCAGGATACTTTTTTGTATTTTTAGAGCCACGTTGATACTTATTACATGTATAAGCACGGTTTGAAATTGACTAATTTTGCGTGGTTACAGATATACGGCCAAAACCTCTGGACTCCCTATCTCTTGCCATGATCTTAAAATTCTTCGAAGCCATTGGATTCAAATCGGATGATCCGAGAATTCATGGTCATTTTGATGAACTGAGTGATATCATGCACGCATGTTCCGTGTTGCCGTGTTGTTTGGAGCGGGATTGGCCATTGCCAGACTTTGTCTGGCACCGCGGTATTAACAGTGATAATGCGTGGACACTAATTATCCCGTTGTGTGGACCGGGATTGGAATTATGCTTTGCCCGTGCGTAACGGCGGGCCGTCTGGCATTGTCTGGTTGCATCGCGGTGTTTGCTCGGCGCGCACCTGGACAGGGCGAGGGGGGGGGGTCGTAATTTTTTGGTTATGAGTGGTAAAAACCTGATTCAAAAATCAAGTTGTTGTTTATTTAATGGGGATTCCTATGATATTAAGCATTTTGATAGGTTTGAAAATAAGATTTATAAAACATGCTAAAAGTAAATGATGTAAATCTTACAGAATAGAAACTCAAAATTTGGCCATTTAAATTGTTGTATCTCCAAAGGGCAAACACCTATGAGCCTGATTCAAACGCCATTGATTTTGTTGTGTAATTTGCTTTCAGTGATACAAAACTTGAGATTTCTTTCTTTAAAAAATAAAATTCGCCGGACTCCCTACAAGAGGAAACCCATTGCAAGCTGTAAATTTGTAAGCCAGGCACTCCAGAACTCAGTGAATTCAGATAAAAAGATGTTAAAACTCCAACATAATCTAAGCCTTGTTTTAGTGTTTTATATTTCATTGCATGTTTTGATAGCTGGCCTCGGCCTTGGCCTTGGCCTCAGAAGTGGTGGCCTCGGCCTTGGCCTTGGCCTCGCGGTTGTGGCCTCGGCCTCGGCCTTGGCCTCGGAGGTTGTGGCCTCGGAGGTTGTGGCCTCGGCCTTGGCCTCGGCCTCGGAGGTTGTGGCCTCGACTACAGCACTGGTATTAATCAAATCACGAGAAGGTTTTGGTGTATAAGAAAGTCTTCAAATTTGACTTAAAATACTGTAGGGATGAAGATTCATGAATGTCTCTTGGGAGAGTGTTCCAGACTCGTGGTGTAGCTACTACGAGTGAGAGCAACAATTCTGTTTACGTTCGCTTCAAGGAGGAGAATCAAGCCAATTATAACCCCTTAAGGACGGGTGTAATGGGGACATTCCTCCATACATAGAGCAAGTGGCCCGCATGACTGCGCAGCCTTTGTGTGGTAGCGGGACTGCACACAAGCAGCAGCTGTAGAACAACCCATTGGTCGTGTGCCACGGCATACCACAGCTGGCAACTGCATTCCAGTGAGGATTAGCAGCGGCGGCCATTACCGCTTCCCGTACGCGAGGAGTTAAGAAACATATATACCACATTCATAGCGAAACTAGGTGCTCGCTGGGCCGTTGCAGTGCGCGTGAACCAGTAATTATGGTTGCACAGAGTTGACTGGGGCTGTCCTGAATTGAAATAGTAGATTATCAACCGAATATTCTAATAGCTTTTTCCAGTTAAAAATTTCGAAAACCAACAAAAACTATGCATGTACACACACGACTTTGATGTTATGTTATCATAAACTTGCTGCGCTTTGTTGTCAGCTGCCACTTTTTTATTTACATTACTTGTTTTTCTTGAGGACTGTTCATTGTTCCCATCATTTTACTGAAGCACTCTTCATGCAGCTTTGACCGATGTGGCACGCAGTTGTAGCTGGCTGTTTTTGAATATCCGAACATTCGGTTAGGCGTAGTTTGGAGTAATCGAATATTAGATTATTTGAAAGTGGACAGCCCTAGTGTTGACCTCTGAGCGACATTGTGACTGAGCAAAAGGGGAGACCAAGCCTAGCTTTCATGATACTTCAGATGCTTCTTGATAAATCCTTTGTCAGTAACTAACCAACCAAATATTGCTTTATTATCGCTGCAGGTGGTATTGACAACAGCCTTAGACTCTGGGACGTACGCCAAAACTACTCATCATCTCAGTAAGTAAATTGTTTTTCCTCTCTCTTTTTTTTTTTAACCATACAAATGGTCAAATTTGTTGGTACTCAGTAGAGAGGATAGTTTTTTCAAAACCTGCAGTATAAATAAGGTAGTTACCAAACAGTGAGTTAAGGCATTCTCTGAAACATTTAGAGCGCATAAAAAATGTAGAAACAAAATAGAGGAGAACGGTTGATGTAAAAGTGTTCACTTCTAAAATTGGGAAGAACCATGACAAATCATTTGAAGCGTTTATTTTTCAAAATGCAATATGTCAATTTGAAAGCGTAAAAAAGTAAGTTATGAAAACTTATAGACAATCATGCAAGAACATACACAGGATAAGGCCAAAAAAATAAATAAGTCGGTCTCTGGTCAGCGCGCGCGTCGATTTTAATCATGCGCGTCGATCTTTTTTTTTTCCAAAATGTTCCGCGGTAGCTCCAACAGCGCCCTCTATTTCCGCACCTCCTCAATTTGTTTTACCACAGAGCACCAAGGAATGGGAAATTGCACCAAGGCAAATGATCGAAAGCACCAAGGCAAATTATGGAGGACACCAAAGTACATAAGGACACCACAAAAGCAAAATAGTACCCCACCTTGTCTGTACAATCCAAGCTTGAAGAAGAAAAAAAACCAGAGACCGAATATTTTTTTTTTTTGGCCTAACAGAAGTTTCTACATTATATTTTCCATTTTATCATAGTCTTAAATTGTGTTTAACTACATATCGCAGCGGTCGAAACTGACTTTGGGCAACTAGGAGAGGGCGGGATTCTCAAAGGTTACAAAATGGCATTCATCGCGTTTTGGAAACAAACTCTTCATTTTATGTTTTTCAAATGAACCACAGAGGGAAACTGACTAGGTGAAATATAACAATTAAAAAGTTGAACAAAGAAATTGACTGGAGCCGGGCTTGAACCTGCGACCTCCGGATAACCGTTCCAGTGCTCTTACCAACTGAGCTATCCAGCCCTATGTCGGTGGTTCCCCAGTTTAGTCAATTCCTTTGTTATACCTTTCAATCATTATAATTCACCTAGTTAGTTACCCTTTGTGGTTCATTTCGACAATGTGTCATAAAAAGTTGTATCCTCTCCGAGTGAACCCTGTTTGCTATTTCCCGGGTCTGTATCGTAACTTTGGTGTGATCCCTGGCTGTATGGCATACTGGTTTATGGCTTCTGACTAGCGCCCCTCGAACAAAGATATTGACGAATTGGGGAGCCGCCAACATTTAGGGCTGGATGGCTCAGTTGGTAGAGCACGGAATGGTTATCCAGAGGTCACAGGTTCAAGTCCGGCTCCAGTCAAGTCTTTGGGTTTTTTTTTCAGTTCTTCATTTTAACCCTAACCCCTTAGGCCCTTGTTGCTTACAACCATCCTCAATCCTCCAAAATCCTCCAAAATTTTGCAACTCCGCCTAAATTTTCAAAATTGTCAGACAGTCCTGCCTCAAAATGCATTCATCCTCAATCCTCCAAAATCCTCTTGTGCTTCAATCACCATTCATCCTCAATCCTCCAAAATCCTCATGTGCTTCAATCACCATTCATCCTCAATCCTCCAGAATCCTCATTTGATTCAATCACCATTCATCCTCAATCCTCTAGAATCCTCCAAAACCGCCAGGAGGATTTTGGAGGAGTGAGGTGGGTTAGGGTTAAGGTTAAAAACTATTGAAAAAAGTTGTTGATACCCGACCATATGGTGACATAGGTGGGATATGATAAATTCTGCAACTTTTAGTTAACTTCGATAGTCTGTCCTCTCTTAACCCCACCCTCGACCAATTCAGATCCGAAGGCGGTTCTTCGTCGGAGCTGCTAGGTTCCTTTTCCATCAAGTCGACCAGCATCCACCACGTCCAGTTCTCAAGTGCAACCTTCTCACTCTAGCGGGGGCTTCCACGAGTTCATCTTGAGGTCAGATGTCATGTCATGGCAAACATGCTCAGAGGGTGAAATTATGGTCCTACATCAGACATTTACCTGCAGTGATATAGCTAAGGCTTTTTTACTGTAATAGCATTACGTCCTAATGACTGCACTTTCCTTGACGACGGATCACATAGCAACCGGATCGGCCATTTGTGGTGCACGAGCACACGGAAAGGGAACACAAACTCGCAAATATTGATCTCTACTTTGTGGTTTTTGTTTCGCTGACTGGATTGAACGCTGCCAAGACATATTGCCCTGTTGTGTTGTCGAAGCAAAAGTTGACAAGATGATTTTGATTTCCGTGCAATTTTGCCACAACGCATCTTTGGATAGTCGGCAAAGAAAACCACCATACCGTGGTGGGCGGCCGCCGTTTTTGGTGGAGCACGAGACCCCGCTACTATGCCAGTGACGGGTCGTGACCACGATTGCGTCATTGCTTCGATTGCGAATTGTGCATTCTGGGTAGATCTGACTAAGTTATTTTTATGTCCAAGTATTTATTGTTTCTAATTTCACCCTCTGTAGGCCGTTGTTGTTAATGGATTGTGTTGCATTGCTGTTTTGTTTGGAATTCTGGTACCTAGATTTCATGAACCTAGACTTGCAGTCCTCAAAAGTTGATCGCAAATCAATCACCGGTTCTTCAAAATCACGCGAAGTTGCAAGCCTCTGTTCAAATGGACGGTGACAAAAGCACCCCTTCTTCATTGCTCGTCCTCTGTTACTTACGAACGCGCGTGTAATTGACCTTGAATGCTAACTTGTGATGAACTCAACTGCAACTCTTGTTAAAGGGAGTGTACAACATTTGCTTTGCTTCAATTTTCAGAAGTAAATGGATTTGGAGGTTTAATATAATATAGAAAATATTGGTGAACTGACTTGTTTCACGTTTTGGGCTTGTAGATGCTGGAAAAACCAAGAAAACCTATCAAGTTATTGTAGTCTGGTTCCCTGGCCCCACTTACAATGAAACGGAGCAATTAATACACTTTGGGAATTGTAAGGTCAGAGAACCAGTCTAGCAGGCTGGTACCCCTTCAGAGGTGTGTAAATCAATTGCAAAGAAAAGTCAGAATAACTAAATATAAAAAATTAAGAACAATTTTTGGAAAAAAAGCCAGTTTTCTCCAACGCTGGTCAGCCGACCAGCGTTGGAAAAATACAGGTTTTCTTGAAAATGTCAGCACATCGGGAGCAACGGTTTCAAAGGATGCTTTAGACTGTCAGTCCCTAACATTTCAGTAAGGTATTTTGTGATAATTTTTTGTTTTTTTTATGTTTTTTTTTTTTTTTTTTTTTTTTTGTTTGCAAATGTTGTATTTTCCCTTTAACTCGCACAGTGCCATACATGTCTTCACCAACTGGCGAATCTTAACCAGTAAGAGGGGGGAGGGGGTGGGTGGGGGCGGGGGAGGGTGGGGGCGGGGGAGGATGGCAGTCAGCAAGCCATCTGTGCTGGAAGATAGCCATAAATGTTTTTTTTGGGGGGGGGGGGGTGGGGGCACTCGGCTGGTGGTTATGGTGGGAAGGGAGGAAAACGCTGGATACCATCTTACTATTGAGGGCGCTGTTTCCAAGCAGACAAATTTGACTACCAAACATTAGTAAGTTCCTAGCCTTGGTCAATGCTCTCGTCGTTATTCGTCCCGTACGCGGTCAATCGTCTGCATATATCCTCACGCGCTATGCACATGCATGTAAAAATACAGCGCGAACAGCGACCTCACGCGGCCACTATTTTTTTATGCAAATCAGTTGAGGATGATCTCGAGCCTTGGTTCAATCGTCGGCAAAAGCTTATGTTTTTCTTTATTTTGCGCTGGATTTCTAGCGCACGACCTCGTATGCGAATACAGATAAGTGTAGGCGGTGCTATTATGTGGAGTGTCCAATCACACCTTAGTAAATCCGGACGTCATCAAATTATTTGCAGCTATTCGCCTTTTGCGGACGTGACAGGAACCACAGTTTTTGTGCATTGGTGCCGTGTGCAGAGATACACAACGTGTACGTGTATGGATTATGCACGGTGCCACGTTTCACTATGCAAGTTTCCACGCAACGATCGACCAATAAGAAAACGACATTTAAGGTCAGCTAAGGCTATTAACATAATGAGCACCACCCCCAAAACCTCACATGGACGATTGAACCAAGGCTCTCGATCGTCCCCAACTGATTTGCATATAAAAATAGTGGCCGCGTGAGGTCGCTGTTCGCACTGTAATTTTACATGCATGTGCATAGCGCGTGAGGATATATGCCGACGATTGACCGCGTACGGAACGAATAACGACGAGAGCATTGACCAAGGCTAGTAAGTTCCTTGATTCGTAACAGGAAATCTAGGGGTGTGCATTTATGGAGGTACAGGAACCGGGTACCCTATTGAAAAAATAGAGAAACCCAAGCCAAAAGTTCAAATCTGGGAAGTTGCTGTTCAGATTGTTCATTAAGGTCCGCTTGATAATACTACCACATCGGTGCAGCAATATGGCTAGATAGGGTGTATACAGTGAGCTCTTTAGCTATGTGGTGAAAACTGCAACTTACGCAAGCATCATAAATCGTTGTTGGACTCCAAAATCCAAGTACTTGCAGCATACACCCGCACTAACATAAATATCCAAACTTCAGGATCTAGCCCCTGACACGTTGAATTCAATGTTACATTGTTTTCACAGCTTTCTTCCAAATGTTCTCTTTATGTTGATAAGTACCTTTATTTGAAGTTTCTTATTAAATTTTTCAATCGTGGAAATTTCCACTGCATTGTATTGACATGTTTTCAGTTGTGTTCTTGGCTTGGTTTTGATTAACAATTAGAGTTTGAGGTTTGCTCTTTACATGTGGGACATGGGATTAGCGAATGGTGAACTCGTATCCAACATTCACATGTGCATGGAAAGTCCATAAATATTTCTCCCAACTTCCCAACATACTTTGGTAGTTAAAACGGCTTTGCAAAAAAAGACAAAAACGACAAAGTGTTCAAAAGGAACAACACAGGATTGAAATGTCAATTCTCTCTATTGTCACCACATAAAACTTTTATTTTAGGTTTACAAACTAAATGAAAGCACAGCATGGAATATTTACAAAATAAACGGCAAAGTTGACTGAATGCAATTAAGAAAACATTGCTCCTTGCAACTACACAGGATGCAACAGCTCAGACCTGTTTGTTTGCTGCACATGTGGGCCAATTTTTTTAATGTACATTTTGAAATAAGGCTCTAATAAAAAGTCATATTCCAGGGCGAAGCCCTTTGCCGAAAAAAAACCCACAAAATTTAACCCAGCCGCATGCACAAGAAACATACAAGAAACAAGTCTTAAACATAGTGTTTAATACCGACCTAGCACACATGTTTATTCCCATTCATAAATACCTTCTCGGTCCACAAATCAAAACTTTAAGGTCCAAAAGTCAAAACGAGTCAAAAATTTTAAAATGTCCAATGATTTTGTTCAACAATTTTACTTCGTTTTTCGAAACACCCCTCTAGCTATATAGAGGAGTGTCCAGCTCGCGAGTAAGATGAAAACAACTTCTTTTATGGAGATTGGCGCGCGCGTCGTGCGTACTGCGTGATGACGCACAGATTCAGCTGTGGTGAGTGCGTTGTGAATTTAGGACTATGAAATACTGACTCACTGGTAGTATTGCGCATGCCTATTCGTGAGGATTGTGAACGTTCAACCGATAAAACGGTAAACACTGTAACTCTACACTGTAATTCTCTGTTTATTGACAGAAAATCCTACGTCAGTTGGTATAATTAGCAAGGGCTATGTGTATGTACAGCGATTCTGCGCATCAACAGATGTCACAGTATATTATTTGTTTTTCACAATTATACATGAACATCGGTGATAAAATCATCTAAACACACATTTTACAGTTTTGAAGACAAAAAAAATGTCAGTATAAACAGACTTTATGCTGTGATTTTAGGTGTACCTCAGTACAGAAATACTGCAAACCCAATGCAGGGTGGATAAAAAAAAATGAAACGGACATATTATTGCTAATTGGAACAGAAGTAGGGCACATGTGAATCAAAGGGAGATATCCTCTGTTAGGGTTGAATCTCCTCTTTTAAATGACACCATGGTCATGTCATTACATTCACGGTTGACTGAGCAGTGACCAATTTTATGAAAGGGTCTATTTAGGCATTGCGCCACTTTTCAATTGTGGTTTTTGTGCTGTCATTTGTCACAGAGTGAAAGGCTATGGTTGCCAATCAAGGCAGGTGGGGAAAAAAGAGATTTCACCATGAAACGTGGCGCAAGTCTCTAAATAGACCCTTTTATAAAATTGGTTCAACCCTAACAGAGGATATCTCCCTTTGATTCACATGTGCACTACTTCTGTTCCAATTAGCAATAATATCTCGGTTTCTTTCTTTTTTTCCACCCCGCATATAGTTACATGAAGTGGACAAAATCATGGCAAATCAACTTAAACAACATGTTTCCACTCTAAAATTTGCAAAATCTTGCATTAATATGAAGTACATCGTTTTCGATAATTTGGGAGCTTTTTATCATGAAATGTTGGTGTGTGCATAAAAATCTGTTATGCAATTTACAAGCCACAAACTCAAACTTCTAACCAGTGAAAGATTAATAAAAATTAAGCTCAGAAATCGGCTATATATACATAGATCAGCTGTTATCTAAAGAATTTTTGTTAACATGTACATCACTTCTTTTAAAGAATAGACAAATAAAAGAAGGCTAAAATTTCAGTATAACTTTTGTATTTATAATTTATAAATTAATTATTAACTTAAAAAATTAATTTTTCAATCGATGTCATTTGTAAAACCTCGCAGATATTCAATTAAATGGGATGTTATGCTAGCAGACTTGAAAAAGAAAATCAGTGAAACTTATTCAAAAGCTCGCTAACACTATAAGTCTGTTCCATATACATGTGTAACACATCAAACCCAATGATTACTATGATAGAAATATCCACTAGTAGCTGACTGGACACGGCACAAAATTAAGGAATCTAAAATGAGCTATCCTCCTGTCTGAGTATAGTCTTCTAACTTGAGCTTAAGAGAGGATGAATGCCCCCCCCCCCCAAAAAAGACAAGACAAAACAAAACTATGTATATGTACCTATAACGGTACATGATTATTATGCGTACATTTTTTGTACAAACGGGATAATTGAAAAAGCCTGTGCTAGCTAGCGTTTTATAAGACAAGCTATAACAAATGCCTGTAAACACAATGTAACATGTTTCTTCACTGATATGATTCCTAAACTTGCAAACTACAACCGAAGGCAGGTGCAGATCCAGAGGGTGGGTTGGGGGATCGACCCCCCCCCCCCCCCCCCCCCCACGCTCTGACACATAAAAAAAAGTTATAACCATTATAGTAATAATAATTACCTATATTTCTGCCTGTCCACAACAATTGGACAAACAAAAGCTAACGGGCCTGATCCACCCCGCAAAACTGGAAGGCCTGCCTGGTCAGTGTTCATAACACACAATACAAAGAATGTAAATACAATAATCAAGTTTGTTAAAAATTTTGTTAAACTTTTTGTTATGTGAAATTACTTTCATTTCTATTCAGACTGCTTACAGATTGAATAGTGTTCTAAGAACGCAGCTCATCAATCATCACCGCACACAAAAAAATCACAAGAGGGTTAAGACATTTAATATACACATGTGAATGCCAGTCTTAATGAATCTAAATTACCTGGCTTGATGGTCAAAGCGGAAGACTTTTTGACAAAATATTGACAGAGGACCAGCAGGTTCGCTTTGTGGCAAGGTAATTAACTCTCCTTCTGTTATTCTGTATTTAACATTCTGACGTTTTCCTCTAACAAACAAAGTGTTTCTCTACTGTTCAATTTGAAACTTCCCTTATCTCTTTGAAGGGCTATGTATGGTGTTTCTTAAAAAATGAAGAGTGCACCTGGATTTTGGAGGATGGGAGATTAATTACAGAAGAATTGTTTCACGTCGTTTGGCATATGGTCACGTGTTCGAACAGGCGAAAAATTGACCATTTCTACTGTCCAAAGACCTTGCCCCTTGTGTAATTTTTGGAGGGACAGTTGGAGCTTAATTTTGTACGATGTGCCCTCTTTCATTTTATGTATCTTGGTGCTGACCTCTTTCGCAGCTTTCACAGTTAGGACTGGACAGCTGGCTTTAGCCTCTCGAGGCATTTGAAGGGGTAGGCTGCCTGAACTTTTGAATTGTTCACGAGCATTTACAAGTCCACATTTACCACTTATTTCAAATCTGAGATTTTTTTTATCGATCAACATGCCTGTGATGCCATCGTCAAGTAATTTCATAACTAGCTCGACAATAGTTTTATCACACAGTTTAAACAGGAGAATGCAAGAACTGCCAACGTATGTCTCTTCTCCTGTCTTCCAGTTCTTAATATAACACTGGTACCGAATGCCTTGTTTGCCACAAGGACACTGATCACGGCGGTGTTCTAGATCATTAATCCTTGTGAGATACCACTGACCCAAGAGTTGTTTCAATTCTGTTCCTTGCTCTAGGCAACTGAGTGCTTTCAAGTGGTAGTACAAATTCGCCCAGTATTCTGACATTGGCTTCTCACAAGGTTTTCCTTGAGATTTCCAATAAAGGGAATCTTCATCGTACTTCATGGATTCAGTATTGCTACGATTCTTGGGATTCATGGATCTTAGCACTTGTCTTTTGACAGGGGAACTAGTGTTACAGACGTGTTTGCTCAAGGTTTCTTTATCTTGATTTTCAATGTCACTTACATCCCCCTCTGGATCAAAGTCATCATCCTCTTGCTCATCAGAATCGTGGTCGTCGTCATCCTCCTTGTCACTGATGAAACCTACGTCCAATGATGACTCAGAATCAGACTCAAACCCATGATGGCGTCTCATGTGAGGGTTTTTGCTCACAGTAGAAGTGATCTCCAACTCTTCTGAATAGAAGGGATCACCCTTTGAAGCTGAATTCATTGGGAGATTATCGTCATCGTCATCGTCGATCCTCTCGTCGTCACTGATGACTTGCCGTCTCCGTGTGCGTGTGAACCCTACCTCCAATGACGACTCGGAATCAGACTCAAAGCCACGCTTACCTCTCATGTCACGATTTGTGCTCCCAGATCTGTTTGGCTGGTGAGAACTGTAGTCTGACTCCCCTTCATCGGAATCTGGATTCCGCTTCCCTGTGGCTTTTTCACTGTCGTTACTGTCTGCAAGACAGCAAACACATTGCACATCTTGTGAGACCGATTTACACAGATTGAAATAGATGGGAATCAGCATGCCCTCAACTGCCATTTTACGAAGTAACGTTTACAATCGGTTGTGAAATGACAATAATGTGTAAAACACTCAAAGCCATCGCCAGCCATTTTTCGAAAGAAATGGTTGCCTGCTTTTTTTGTTGTAATCAATCAATTTACCTGACTCTTCCAAGGTGTTCTGTATTCTTTTCCAACGGCGTTTTTGCTTCTTCAATCGCTTCCTTGGAGGAGCATCTGAACCACACTTTATCCCACTGTCTGACTCCATTGCATCGGTTTCTTGTTCATCAGTATCATCTCCATCACTGAAACAATAACATGTGAACTTGCACTTATTAAATGACTAGCGAGGGATGAAGATCTAGCACCAGTAACAAGTTCAGGAAGGGGGCCATCACCAATAAATAAATAACAATGGAATGAGAATAAAAGAGAATCTAACCTATTTTCCCAGTCATGTTCGTTCTCGCTTTCGTCATCTTTGTCAGCATCTTCCTCGATACCCTTTTCCTCATCATCGCAACTAAGAGCAATGTCTAGAAGACTCGTGTCATTCCTCTTCTCTTCTTCTTCACTGTCGTCACTGTCTGCAAGACAGTAAACGCATTGCACATCTTGTGAGATCGATTACACATTTCAAAATAGATGGTAATCAGAATTCCTTAACTGTCATTTTACGAAGGAACTTTAACAATCAGTTGTGAAACGGCAATAATTTGTTGAACACTCAAAGTCATCGCCAGCCATTTTTCGAAAAATTGGTTGATTGCTTTTTTGTTGTTGTAATCAGTCGATTTACCTGACTCTTCCAAGGGGTTCCGTATTCTTTTCCAACGGCGTTTCTGCTTCTTCAATCGCTTTCTTGGAGGAGCATCTGAACCACACTTTATCTCACTGTCTGACTCCATTCCATCGGTTTCTTGTTCATCAGTATCATCAGTATCACCTCCAGCATCACTGAAACAAGAACAGATCAACTTGCAATTAAATGACTAACGAAGGATGAAGATCTAGCACCAGTAACAAGTTCATTTTTAGAAATGACTTTTGAAATTAGGTTATCAACAGGAAGCGGGTCGTCACCAATAAATAAATAACTATGGAATGATCATTGATTGCTAGGACAATATTGTTAGACATTGAAAGTTGAATAAAAGAGAATCTAACCTATTTTCCAAGTCATGTTCGTTCTCGCTTTCATCAAGTCTGTCAGCATCTTCCTCGACAACCTTTTCCTCCTCATCCAAACTAAAAGCACTATCTTGAAGACTCATGTCATTCCCTTGCCCTTCTTCACTGTCGTCACTGTCTGCAAGACAGCAAACGTATTGCACATTAGATCAATTATACATTTCAAGATAGATGGGAATCAGAATGCCCTCAACTGTCATTTAATATATGTAGAACCTTCAAACCGCACCACGTGGCTTCAGCCCCGTCTCCAGCGCTGTATCGACATTGGAGGACATCAAGTCGAAAGTGGCAAATTCTGAAAGTTAGTGAAAGGTTTTTTTCGTATGGCGTTTTAATAATGTCCACCAATTATTAAACTTCACGGTATTTCCACTGCCGCGCAATACTATAGGGTGGGTTCTTGAAGGAAAAAAAAACTATTTACTGCCCAAATTATTTATGCGTTAAATAAATCACTTTGTGCTCAATAAACATATTTGCTTCAGAGAAAATCTTTATACAAACAGGTCTACCTGAAACAAGGGCGGGCAATGATATACACGAAGTGATGTATTTAAAGTTACATTGTAGGTGTCTAGGCCCTACGCCAACAGGCCGGAGTCCAATTTGAAATATTAGGGATGATATCCGAAATCCGGGATTCGTGAGTTCGTTTTGTGATAAATTAATGTCATTGGCATAACTTTATAAAATTGTCAAAAAAAACTAACGTATACTCAAAAAACCTTAATGAAAACAAACTAATGGGATCAAAATCTTGCAGTAAAAAAATAGCTGAATTCTGGGCTTTAGAGAAAAGAAAGTAGGCAGTGAGACAAGTGTATTACCTCTACAAATAATATACGTGTCCCCAGATCAAATTTAGGCCGGGGGGGGGGGGGGTGTTCAAACCGAACTCCCTGTCCCCATGTCAATGAGACCATTGAGAAGTTATAATAACGCGAGGTCTGTTCCACCAAAAAAAAACAATTTCGTCGGGACTCAAGTATGCTTCAGTAATGCACTTCACCTTTGACAAGCAGGTGTCTAAATCAAACCGCAATTTTCATACCTTGGTCAGGATCATAAGCTATTTAAATTACAAAATGTACTTATGGAAAATGTGTGATGTATGCATGTGCACGCCAAGCTCATGTACAGAACTACATCTGTTTCTCATCAACCTCATAGAACATTTTTGCTTTGTGATCAAAATGTTTTGAGATTTTTTGTTTCATATATATTTTCATTTACAAACAAATGTACTGTAAGCATCACAACCTGAGCCCAGTATTTCCTGAATTTTCATTATCCAATCCAATCCAACACATCATTTCAGGCGCTCAATCAATGATCTTTAAATAAAGATTTTACGCTTTCAAAATGGTCCATTTGCACTGTCCAATTATTCTCCATCCGTTTATGATCAAAATGGTTTTAGATAGGTCTATTCCTTTTTGCAAATACTGTCTTTCGTCTGTTGAAACGATAGATTTTTCGATATTATTTTTGTGTATTTATTTGAAGTCGTTTGACGCTTGAATGGTTTTTATCTATTTGAAGTCGTTTGACGCTTGAATGGTTTCTATCTATTTGAAGTCGTTTGACGCTTGAATGGTTTCTATGGCAATTTGTTCCAGGTCTTAACGTACATTGACCGGCCTCTTTCACAAAACTGATCATAAAATGTGTCATGCCTTGTTTGCATTATCTGAATTTTTGGTTTAATTCCATTAACAAACGACAGAGTTGTTTAGGATCAAAAATAGGACATTTTGGTGGGTTTTTTTACACGTACATAGTTTACAGTGTGCATCTCATGCTAAAAATGTTTAGCACGTAAACATGTTTACAAACTGATAGCAAGAAAGCGTTTTAGAATTGTGTTTACTCGCTAAATGCATTTTTGTGGGCAGGCAAATATCCACACAGAGGCTAATATATATACCTTTGTCCCTACGTCTAAATTGAAAACTTGGTCCCACCGTCAATTTGACCACTCTTGGAAAATTATTCATAACTCTGTCAACAATGATCAGATTTGGACATTTGACGTCTCATTTTAAAGTGGAAAGGTGTATCTTTCAAACCATCTACGTTGGTTACACGTTCTACGTCTGACAGTCCGTTGTATTTTGTTTGCATGTTTTTTATACACACTGTATAGACACAGTTCACCACGTGCTGGTCTATTCAAAACTGTTGTACTGCAAAACTAAAAGGCCCTGGCTTTAGTAATCTAAATGTACTTACGGCATCCGATCAGGGAGTAACTTGCAAGTAAAGTTCCTTGAATTACACGGGATGGCAAACTAGAGAAACTGAGCAGTGGAACCCTCGAGCGCGACATGTAGTGCGTTTGTGTCGCATTCGCCGCTAAGCCGAAGGTCGAATGATGATCTTTCTATATATGGTATTGTCTTCAAAAAGTCCCGCGAAAACTCACGTGATCAAAGCTATTATCATATTAGGGGAATTCCACGATGTTGCAATCGTTTAAATGAGAAATTCAGGGGATATATGACCTATATGACCCGTAGCTAATAATTTATTTGAAACTCGTGTGGATTTTCAGATCTGGACTGTAATAATAAACACATTTGGAGCGCTCTTAGCGATCTCTGGACTGAAAGAGCATGGCTCAAACACTGTTGTAATGTTAGCGGTGATTGTTATACAAAAAAACACAAATTTCTAACGCGTGCTTTTAATAACGTAAAGTCGACCTCGTTTTAGGTTTCATTGGATCAGCCTTTGGTGTGATACCTCATACTTTTAAGGGATATCAACAAAACCATGTTCCCTGCATTATTCCTTTTTTCAGTATATTTTTGTACTTGTAGAATTAAGGGCCAACTCACACGAGGCAACTTTCACACGCATGTATTGGCGGCAACCTAACAGACTACAGGCTTTAATAAAAGGAACCTTTGCCATGAACAAGTTTCAAACAGAAATTTCTCAAATCTCAATACATTGTAAACGTCGTTGTGTTTCGAGTCATGGAGGCTTCATCGTTGCTATTATACATAATGTATAAGAGGGCCGACCTTTGTGCCGCTTCATGTATTCTTGGTTGCAAGTGCAAATGCAACATTAATTTATTCCGCATAGGTTGGTACTGTTATGGTATAGTAATATTTACTACATGATACAGTCTTCCTCCTGTCCCGAACTTGCAAAACAAAATACCTTACCCTATTATTATGTGTTCCAGGCTAGTTTGATATTGTACGTTGGTAAACATGATTGTAATATAGTGAGTATTGCTGTCAATACATGTACATTCATTATTTTGACATGACAAATTCCGTGCACACTTAAGCGTGCATTATCAATGTTTACTCTGTTCTTGGTTCATTTTGATAACCTTTTGTGTTTATTGTATTATTTCACTGACGTCGGGGGAAGAATTATATTTAGCAAGTCACGATAAACAAAAAGGAAGTAAATCTATATCGATAAAAACATTGACATAAATATAGGTTCAAAACACTTAAGTCTTCCAAAGACAATTATGCAAAATAAGGCGAGAATACAAGCCAGGGGCTGGACACGGATCTTGTAACATTTCTAAATTTCGGAAATGTCCCCTTGTATTTTATTTTCAACAAGATACGTTTATTGAATGCAGCTGTTCCTTTTACATGCTTTGTATACAACCCGTACCTATCTGGCATCAGCAAATTCATGCAAAATCTCCTCTAAAGACATACTGCAGACAACCCTCATGACTATCCAAACATCGCTTCCTATATGATTTTCTCACACTTGAATACTGTGTCCCTATGATGTTATTAAATTTTTATTTGGGCCGATAGTTTTTTTACACTTGGTAAATTTGAAGTCGGGGGAAATTCTGAGAGTTTAGTTGAGACATTGAGAGCAACAAAATCAAACAAAACATTGATTGTAGATATATCTACGTGCAATCTTTTAATCTACCTGCAATCCACATGCAATCTGGTAGGTATTTCAGAGTTGTTGAAGTTAATTTGCTCTCCCCTAATGTTTCATTATTGTTCCCCGGAATTTTTTTTTTGATTTCCGAATTTTTTTCTTCTAGCTTTACGAGATTCAGTGTATTCATTTTCATTTGATACATAGGGCCTATCAGAGAACAAAAACTCCACTGTAAATTAGTTTTATGCAATAATCACTTTGCAGATGTTAATTTTAGAATTACTTTGACCAGCATAACTTTAAATGTATTACATGTTTTCATCCAGAAAACTGCTGCTTCACCGCAGCATGTTCAATTTGAATCATCGCCCCCATTTAGTTTGGCAGTAAATGTTATACTGCAACATCATGTAGCTACATGTATATAAATGAAGTGGTACGCCAGTAAGGAGGTCCGCTCAAATGATTAGATTTAAGGACGCCAAGGACAAATCAAGACAAACAGACAAATCAAAACACTAGGAGTCAAGTTATGTTTGGTCTCATGAACTTGTTACAGATTACTCGTTTACAAAATCAGTTACAATACTAGTTCTGGATCTGAATCTCAATCTAAACTCACAAAACAAGTGTTACAAAAATCATAGAACGAAGGCTCAACTTCCAGCTCTATAAACAGTAATAACGTTGCCAATGATAAATTGTAATCACAAAGTTTGTATTTCTAAAGTTGCCCCGGTTCCTAAGATTCCCAGGTTCCTATTATTCTTGGTTTTAATATTTTAATCAGGTTCTCCAAAGTTCCCCGAACGCCTGGCAAGTGTACGGCTGTGTTGTGAACTAGGCCTCCATATTGCACACTTTGGTGTGCAGGCAGAAAAGGGCTGATATTCGCGCGTTCACGGCACTGAGTGCGCGTTTGTATACATTTTTCTGGGCTGTGTGACAATTGTACGGTGCCTCGTAAAAGACGCCTCACTACATAGATCACTCTCAAAATAGTCTGATCCAGGTCTTGTCTTTCCTACTCAATGTGTTCGTAGATCTGCCCTTGTGCGGAGTCTTATCGAAAGCATTCGTGTTAGAATTTCCAGGGGGTGAATGCGGTGTCTTAAAGTCATCACAGCCTTGCCCATTCCCGGTGCCGACATCAGGACCGATTGCGAATGGAGTTCCGATTCCCTCGTTTTTGTCCGCAATCGGGCTCGTTTTCTCAAAGCGCCTCCTGAAGCGGGAAATGCAACTTGAACCGACGCGCGTGCGGCCTCCCGTCAGTCGGTTCAGGATGTGGAAGTGATAGCGCAGTCGCTGCTGCCCGCACGCACACTGGCCACGCCTGGGGCGAAGATCCTCTTTGCGATTCAAGAACCACTGGTCAAACAGAGCTTCGATATCTGCCTCATCTTCCCCAAGTTCCTTGAGGCGCCGGATGAGCTTCAGCCTCGGCGGACCCTGCTTGTGTTTTCGAGAGGAGGACAGAATGTCTTTCTCAGAACGTGGCTGGCGCTTGTTGCCGTGTCTCGTGAGATGCTTGTCTTGGGACGGTTGTTGTGACTTCAGAGACCCAAAGGCGGGTCTGAAGTTGATGTTTTCTTTCTTGAAATCTTCGTCGTCGGAACGATGTCTCAGTAACTGGGACCAGCTTACCATGGCCTATAACCAAACAATTAGATAGTAAATGTATGCACATGTTCTCTTCAAAATGACGGTTCATTGAAGCAATGTACACAAGAATGCTACGTGGCGTTTTGTGTAAACCTTATTAAAGAATGTAGTGAACACAATACTCTTTAGAGTATTGTTCCTTGATTATATTAGGCAAACAACATTAAAGTAGGCCTTTCATGTAGCACATTGAGACTTGCGTCTTTTGCTTATAGTTCAACCATACTTAGGGGCCATTCAGAATTTTCAATGTTTTAAAATTTCGACTTTTTTTCCAAATTATTTTGACCCATCCACCCACCCCTAATTTCGATTAATAAAAAACTGAACATGACTGTAAATGTACATGCGCTTGCATGTACATGTACTTGAACACCATGTACATGTGTGTCTAGTTCAGTGACGGCGTGAAGTTGTTGGTCATCCTCTTTTATGTGATAAAATATGTGATACCTCACCAACAAGTATCTTTTAACGAAATTCAATCAGAATATTAATCCATTTAAAAAAAAAAAATGTTTAATTGTTGTTTTACTTGTTGGTGTCCCTGCCACACTGTACGATGGTGTAGCCGTGCGTTATGCACGTGGATTGTTTACTTTGAGTCTGGTGACTGTGCATAGAAATTTCTTTGAATAAAAGTCGAATCGTTCATTCATGTGCACTTGTTATGCAAAGCAGGGGCAGTGGTTCAAGGATATCCAGTCGACTTGCAGAAAGTGTGCAAGAACGCGACTTGAATGCTTTTATGTGTCCACAATACAACGACGCTTTTTAGTTATTTCACTGTGTGACACAGTGAGAAATTTCGGAATCATAGGCCTAATGGCGTCAGCGATACTTGCTGGGGAGCTCTTGCGTACGACTTTCTGTACTTTGATACTGTTGTTTCCAGGACAATTGTGTGTACGGTAACCCGACGTACCAAGATTTTTAAAGACGAAATTGCCGACCTCATACTTGTTAGTGCCATATTTGGCAACTATATGTGCGTTATTAGTTTAATTACACAAATGAACAGGTTAATTAAACATAGTACCATTGAAGGTACCTAAAAGTAAACATAACAGCATAGAAGACCGACAGACGAACATAAAATGTTACAAAATAAACATATTTGTCTGGATAATTTTTTTAGGGCGTTACCGGCAAGTTAACACAAACTTGGTGTCAAATAGATCATGAGAGTTACTTTTCTTTGACTTTTCATACAAGTGTACATAAACTTTAACTGTATGACCTGCAGTGGCGTAGCCACGGGGGGGGGGGCGTGGGAGGCGACAGTCCCCCCCCCCCCCCCCCATGAAACCTTGTCGCCCACCCCCCAGTCGCCTCCCCCACTGAGATTTTCAGTTTTCGAAAAAAAATATCATTGATCTACATGACGCCCCCCCCCCCATGAAATGTTCAAGTCCCCCCCCCCCAAACACACTGAAAAATTCCTGGCTATGCCACTGACAGTACATACAGGGGACGAAGTTGGAAAAGTAACACGCATCGCGATATCGGAACGTTTGCGCGTAGTTCAGGCAAGTCAAAAGATCTATCTTTCTTTTTCTTTTTCTTTTTTTTTCATGGAAAGTGAATTTCGATTTTCAATTATTTAGCTTGACCCACCCACCCACAATTTGGAAAAAAGATTGAAATTTTAAAACACTGAAAATTCTGAATGGCCCCTTAATAGCTATTTTACAAAGTACTCAGAAAAAGTTACAGATGCGGAAATAAAGTTGTAAATCAGCTCGGACATGACAGTGATCACTCCATTCAAATACACTAAAGCAGTTGTGATTTAAAGTTTACATATTAAAAGCTTATTTACATATTTGCTTATTTTTTAAATCGTTCATTTTGTTGCAGATGCGTTCATGAACCGTTCCGACAAAAAAGCGAATCTGATCAACTATTTAACGAAGCTTTCATGTTATAATTTCACCTATAGGCCTACCTTGCATGTCAGTCGGCGCCAGTGCTGCGAGCCACCAGCATTGCCTTTCTCTAGAACTTCTCCATCAGTTGCCAACCGCCGTCGTCGTTTCTTTCGTAGTTGATTTGTTTCTATCGACTTGCTGGATAAGGGTCTTCTCTCGCCGGACCAGCTGGTCGGTCGGCTGGTGCGGAGAGTTGGTCTGACCGGTTTAAAGTCATCCTCGTCCGGTCGGTGTTCAAGCAACCGAGCAAATGCCATCATCACAGCCTGAAGAACGATAAATGAACCCCGAATAAATATCGTCGATTGAACAAAGAAACGGTGAAGTTGTCGAAGTGAGGATGATCTGGAGGAGATTGCCTAGAGTTCCCGAAAAAAAATGTTTTAGATCATGTACCTTTTCTGTAAAGGCTCGAAAACCAAATGAAAATATGAACAAATGCTTTTTTTTTTAAATATCAGTTTTAGAACAGGCCTATTGCGATGCTTCCTGATTTTTCTCGCAGGACGTGCTGCATTTGCGGTCCGGAAAAGTCGCCTTATCCCCATTTAAGTGCTAATTTCAATGTTTTGATGCCAACTTTACATAGTGTGCCAGATGAAGTACAACAACGCATAGTGTTTTTTTCCCCTGAGCGGCATGCGTTTCCTGTACCCGCACTATTTCTAATGCCCCAGTAAATTAGTCACGTTTTGCAGGTATGGTGGATACATTGTTCGATACAAAGATCTATATTTGCAGGTAGATATAGCGAATACATATTGTGCGATACGAAGATCTATAGAAAATCAAGTTCATGCCACTGACAAACTGCACGCTAAGCAATGATTACTATTGCACTTCTCCCATATCCATACACGATAGCTATAGTGCACACAAATAATTTAATTGGCCAAATAGGCCTACTTACTTATAAGAAGAAGCTTCGGGACGTCTGCTGTTTAGTAGATTCTCGAAGAAACTGACACCTGGGCGACAATACGTAGCCTGATATGATATAGAGCTCAATCTCTGAAATATACTTCCCACCATGCCGTTGGCACGCAATATCTATCTTCAACTCAAGGTTCGGTACCTTAAAGGCGGCTGTCTCGACACCGGCCGTGTACATGTACAGTCATACAAGTCGCACGCATGGTACGAAATAGGCCAACATATACATGTACTTTGATATTTCAAAATGGGAAATATTTCAGTCCGCTTGTTTGCTTTTTGAAGTGTGGAATACACTGTGAAATCGCGATTGGGAAGTCATCATGTCATGTGCTGGGACAAAAAGTTTAATCCTAACATTCTTCTGTTTACCGTTTTCGTAAAGAAACAGCCTCATGGCAGAAACGTACAACAGGAGGGCGCTGTTTGTTTTGGGTGAATAAATACCGCAAGAACAACATGACACTATAGGGGGCGCCGTTAAAGATACAAATGCACGTTTTATTGCTTACATCAAAACGCAAACGGTGCATGTGAAGATTTTGTTCTGTGTGTTCTCCGGTTTTCAAAACTGTTTAAAGGGAATATACATCATTTGCTTTTACTGTAATTTTCAGAAATGGATGGAATTGGGGGTTGGAAATATATAGCAAATATAGTTACACTGACTTTTTTGAGGTATTGGGTTCGAAAATGCAATAAAAACCAAGAAAAACAATCATTTTCCTGTAGTCTGGTTCCCTGACTCCATATAAGAAGAAACAGAGCAGTTTACATACATTGGGGAATTGTAAGGTCAGGGAACCAGTCTAGCTGGCTCGTACCCGTTGATACACTCTCAAAACGCTGGTTAAAATTGTGTTGGTTAAAAAAGTTGGTTACAATTTTAACCAACGTTGAGTAAAATTGTCCAATTTTGCCCAACGCTTGCCCAACGTTGGGCACATTTACCCCAACGTTGGTAAATTTTTTTTAACCAACCGTTGGGCTGTTCACCTGTTAAGCAACAGTTGGTTAAAAGTAGTCCTTTTACCCAACGATGGTTAAAATCGGGTAATTTAACCAGTATTGGGTAAAAGGACTACTTTTAACCAACTGTTGCTTAACAGGTGAACAGCCCAACGGTTGGTTAAAAAAAAGTTACCAACGTTGGGCAAAATGTGCCCAACGTTGGGCAAACGTTGGGCAAAATTGGACATTTTTACACAACGTTGGTTAAAATTTTAACCAACCTTTTTAACCAACAAAATTTTAACCAGCGTTTTGAGAGTGTAGGTTTGTAATCGATAGCAAACAAGTGCGAAGGTCAATTGGGGCCAGTATTTGGAAAAAAAAGCCAGTTTTTTCCAACGCTGATCGGCCGATCAGCGTTGGAAATTGATACAAAAATACCACTTTTCTTGAAAATGACAGTGTACCCGTTGCCATGATTTTACAGAATGCTTTACACTGTCATTCACTAACAGTCCAGCAAGGGTTTTCAAAATGATTTGGTAGTTTTATTTTTTGATGTTTGCAAATGTTGTATTTTCCCTTTAATGCATTTGGACTGTTGGAAAGTAAAAACAAAACATCAAAAGCGGCATATTTTGGTTTCTCAACACAGAAATGGGGCCCAATGGCCACCCCCCCCCCCCCCGCCCAAGAAGAAGGGGAATACATCCTCCCCACCCCCAGTTAACACTCAATCAAACACGTAATACACCTTGGAAATTCATACCTCATTGCAAATCAAATTCGTTAATTTGTTTTGCTGGAAAGGATCAGCTGCAGAGCCAATAAAATAGAACTGCTTAAGCACGACAAAAACTTGCTTATAATCAGGTTACCGGCCAAGAACTCCATGCGATGTACATTGCTTGTGACTGGTATTTAGTTCTGCTGTTGTCTAGTTAGCATAATAATCGAGTGGAGTTTGGCCGGTTAACTGATTTTACTGAACAATGTCTTTTTTGTGCTTATATTTATAAGCACATTTTGTTCTTAATCAGCTCTATGAACTTGGCCCCAGATAGTGCAGGGAGCACGGTACGCTCCTGGTCTACTAATGAGAGCGACGTTGATATTTTTTTGGCGAATTGAACCCCCAATCGAGAATGACATTAGAGTTTAACAGACAAGGTGAAGGCTCCGAATATGAAATATGGATATCTTGTCTGAGTAAATTTGTTTCAAAGAAAACGATTACTTAATTTACACGAACCTTCATTTCACCCTTTACCATTTTAATGAAAATCCTTTGAAAAAGATTAATACATGAGATTAGAGAAAATAAAATACATTGTGCATGACTTTTGTACATGTAACCTCATACTTGTATTATCCACAATTATTAAAACAATTTAAAATTGGCTGCATATTGAGTTATAGGCTAAAGGGCAAAAAAACACCTGCTTTTAGCTCACTTAAATCAAATATCAGGGTTGTATACAGAGAGATTATTTACAAATAATTCCGGACAATAAAATAGTTCAGTGGGAAAAGGGGGGTATCGTGCACCCTCGAAAATCAATTTCTAATCAACTTCTCTAGGTCAGAAAAAATGCGTAGAAAACGATTTGCCATGTTAAAAAATTCAAAAAATGTCCCACGTATTGTTATGCAAACTAGTGCCGTCATTACCGAAAAATCTATTTTTCACTATATCTCAGCCAATATTGCAGATAATTGAATGAATTAGGTGTCTAAACCCATAATTTGAAGGTCAGAGATTACAATAAAACTATTCTGGAAGTGACCACATGTGTCTGTGGCAGAAATATGCAAATTAGCGCCGCTAATACCGGAAAATCATGTTTTTGGCATATATCGGCCCATACAGCACATATAGACTAGGCGTTATTTCCAAAATTGATACATGTTGAGGCATTTTTGAGTAGAAGTAGGTAACATAGATATGTTACCTAATCAAGTTCGTTACTTTTTAAACTTTCTTGGAACATTTTTGGCCAAAAAGACCAGGCAAGAAAGTGGAAGAATCATTCGCGGATAAACTGCTTTACATCTCTCGGCACGAGGTCGCGCGTTAGAACGGGTACAAAACTCATCATTTCCACCGTCCAAAGACCTCTACTGTTTCTATCTTTTCTGAGGAACAGTTGGAGCTTAATTTTGTACGATTTGCCCTCTTTCAATTTATGTATCTTGGTGATGACCTTTTCCGCAGCTTTCACAGTTAGGACCGGACAGCTGGCTTTGGCCTCTCGAGGCATCCGAAGTGGTAAGCTGCCTGAACTTCTGAGTTTGTTCCGAGCCTTTACAAGTCCACAATTAGCACTTATCTCAAATGTGAGATTTGTTTTATCGATCAACGTGCCTGTGATGCCATCGCAAAGTAAGTCCCGTACTACCTTGACAACATTTTTATCCAACGGTTTGAACAGTTCGATGCATTTGGAGCCAACGTATGTCGTTTTCTTTGTTATAAAGTTCTGAATGTGAAAGAGATACCGGATGCCTTGTTTGCCACAGGGACAGTATCCAGAGGGCTCGTCCAGATCCTGAACCCATGTCAGATACCATTGAGCCAAGAGCTGTTTCAATTCTTGTCCTTGCTTCAGACAGCAGAGTTCCTTAAGATGATCCAGCAGATTCTTCCAATACTCCGACTTCAGTTGTGCTTCAGTTGGGGAGCCGTGGTCATTCAGTTCAATGTCACTCTCATCTCCCTCCCGCTCGAAATCTTCATCATCTGCTTCCTCGTCTGCCTCGTCACTGGAAGAAATTGTCCACTCTTGATCTTCTCCTGGATCGCAGAGATCGGTCTTTGGGCTAGCCGCCTTATTTTGGAGAAGGCTATTGTCATGCTCATCATCTCCCTCCTCTTCGTCGCTAACCACCGGTCTTGTGAATTTCAGTTTGCGCACGGGAATGATCATGTCCTGTGACGACTCGGAATCATGCTCTAACGCACGCTTGCTTCCTTTGCTTACTTGAATGCTGCCGGTCCGGTAAGGGGTATGAGAGTTTAGGTCATCAGCTGCAACGTGGTGACATGGATTCCCGAGCTTCGGGTCGTCTTCACTCTCCTTGTTTTCTGTGGGAAAACGAACACATTGCTCAACTCGCAAATTAATTGTCTGAGTCTTTTCTGAGGCAATACATGTATTGCTCTTCAGACTGGCGTTTTATTTAATTTTGACATCCTTGACATCAAACAAGTGGAAAATGTCTATTCCTTCTGGATGGGATGCCACTCATTCAGATAGCTCCCCACCGACTCCCATTCTCCTTGGTGGGGGAGGCAAGTGGGGTGAAGTGGCTTGCCCAAGGACACAACATATGGCCAGCAGCAGGTTTAGAACCTCTGACCCTCTTGTCATGAGTCACAAACCCATATAAGCACTATAGGTCATACTCCCACACATCTTGTGAATTAAGACATCAAAATAAGCCTCAATCAAAATAGTCAACAAATACGAAAATGGGACAAGATGCCTTTTTGAGCCATTTTGCCCATGCACCGGCGATTGCAAAACCGCGGTTAAACTAAGTTCAAAATCAAGAGGTATGCCTTGCCCACCATGTGTCAAATAGCCTGCTCAATACAATTAAGGTGGGTATGTCGTTCTGTATGTCGGTATGTCGATGAAAATTAACTCACCTGATGCATTCAAGTCGGCGTTCCAGACTAGAGGACTCTTCTTCGTCTGCAAAAAGAGAACAACAATTAAGCACTGATTTTTATTTTATAGCTGTTTTTAAATATTCTATTTCTGCACATAACTACATTGGAACCATATTAAATATTCAGAGCAATGTTTGTCCCATTTCCACTGACTGCACTTTTTGTTTTAGTTCATGCAGAATAAAAAATATGCAGCTCAGCATTCAGCACTGTTTTTATCCACTAGTATGCATAGTAATGTCGTTCTCTGTCTCATTTGAGGCCTCTCTTTCACCGCTGCTTCGGAATTTAGTGTTCAATTCATTGATAGGCAAAGCACTTCACACGGAGTGCAACCCGGAAAGAGTGTTGCATCCGGACGCTACTTTTTTTCATCATTATATCATCTCCATTGAGGTCAGTCATTGCAAGCATATTGAAAAAGACATGATGAATCTGGGACTGAGAAACATTTCCAATGTTATTATGTTATTAGCTGTCAGTAGACTTTGTTTACAAATCAACGAAGTTGCGTCTGGATGCTTCATTATTTTCACCACATCCATAATTTATACATGTATACACATCTTATAAAGAAAATATCAAAACTAAAACAATGTTTTGAGTTGTGAAAATGATAATCATGACATTTATACACGCATGAATCAATAATCAAACACGGACACCTACATATGCTAATCAGAGAAACTAAAGTTGCTGTGATGTTAATTAGGTTACACCTGTACCTTATATTTCCTGCGTTCAGGCATCCAGTGACCTCCATTGACGTTCTGCGAAAGTTTCTTTTCAGCAGCCAATTCTTGACCTCGTATCTTGCGAATTTTATCCGTTTCCTGTTTCTTGTTGGACGAAACCCCTCTTTCACCGGACCAGCTGGTCGGTTGGCTGGGGCGGAGAGTAGGTCTGACCGGTTCGAAGTCATCCTCGTCGGGTCGGTGTTCAAGCAACCGAGCAAATGCCATCATCACAGCCTATACGATTCACAGGGGGAATACTAATCATAAACGGCCAAGAATGTAGTACCAGACGCCATTCAGCGGTTGTATCAAGAACATTTTCAAAGTTTTCCTAACAAATTTGGAACTATTTCTCAGTCCAAGGGTCGTGTCTTTTCAACATGTTTTGCCGTGACTGGAGTGACCTTCAATAATTGAGATGGTTTACAATGAAAAAAATGGGGTCAGGATGCAACATTCTTTCCTGAAAATGGTTAATATCTTTGTCATATTAGTGTATAGGCTACCGACTGTGATGGGAAGTGAACATGCATGGGTGTGTCGCAAATCGTGTGAATTTCGGTTAAAATAGAAGACACCGAGATTGTAAAAACGGACCATCTCTAATATAGGCCACTATACGATATGCGACTTTGACACGCTTAATCGCGTCACGGTGAGTGTACACGTACACATAAAGGCCGACGTTATAGTGACAATGATGTTGTGCAATATCCAAGAGGAAGGATGATAAAGGCTATCGATGGAGTTCATGTCAGTGACGGTAGTGCCGATCAACGGTAACGATTTTCATAGCTTACCCTTAAAATAATTCAAAACTTACACTTGGGAAGCCAGAACGTCCGATAAATTCAGTCGCAATCGAATTAATGAGCCGAGAATCTATGTACAAAGAAGAAATATAACGACGCCAAGCAAGACAAACATGACAAAGCAACATACGTATTTCCCGCGTCAGTAGATAATCTGTTTGCACAATCGGCTTTTGTAACTAAGCCGGTGTCATGCAAACAAATGTCAGATGCCAAATTGTGTCCGCTGAGCATGCGCGGTAGACGCAGGACTCTATTTGGCACAAAATAATTACGAGCCAAATAGATCAGGTACTAAATATAAGTACTATGTGTATTCGCATGCGAGGTTGATCGTTTGCTAGAAATCTAGCGCAAAATATAAACGCATAAGCTTTCGTGGACCATGGAGTTCATTCTTCCAAGCGTGGACAAAGGCGTTCGTTTGGATCCAGTTGATTTGCATATAAATAGAGGCCGCATGAGGTCGCTGTTCACAGCGTATTTTGCAATGCACAGAGTACAGCTAGCTGGCGCGGAGTTAAAATAGCGGGCGGCGAGGATACTCGGCGAGTGACGAACCACTTACGGTTTAATGGGTACATTAATTAGGCATAGCCTTTGTGACCCCATATCCTATCTTTTCTCCTTGCAGTGTGAATCCAACCTTTTCTTGAATGCTGCTACAATGTATACAGTTTTGGCATCCACTACTGCTTGTGGAAGGAAACTCCAGTGTTTATCATTCTTTGGGTGAAGTCTTCCTACAACCAATGTTTTTTTCTTCAGGGATGACTTGAAGAGTTTAAGAGAGTGAACTCTTGTACTGGTTCTACTGCTGTTTGGAAGAATCTCTATAAGGTACCCTCTTTCTCTTCTTATCTGAAAGGAATACAGGTCTATAGAGCTTGCAGTCTATCTTTATATGAAAGCTCCTGCAGAGCTGGGACCAATTCGATGGCCCTTCTTTGAACTTTTTCCAAAACATGCTGAGTCTTTTTCCGCCATGGGCACCATGACTGGACACAGTTTTGCAAATGCGGTCTGATGTATGTTTTGTATAGAATCAGGAAGCTATCCGTATCGATGTACTTGGACGATCGCTTCACCACCCTGAGACAATTCATTTCCTTCACTGTCGCTTTGCTGAATTATGTGCACTTGATTTGAAGTCTGGTGTTAGGTAAACTCCCAAGTCTTTTTCCTCCTCTGTTGTTTTAAGTGTCGTCTCCCCCATATGATAATCAGCCTGAGGGTTTCATTTTTCAATATGCATTTTTTTACATTTCCAAGCGTAAAAGCGAAGCAGCCAAGTGTCAGACCATTTCTGTAAATTTTACAAATCGTCTTGGATTTTCTCAACATCTTCTTCTCTTCCGAATGTGCTGTTTTATGTTTTGTATCGTCTGCAAACATTTGCATGTTACAACTCACGTGGTCCGGGAGATCGTTCATGTTAATGATGAAGAGGTTGGGCCCTACCACTGACCCCTGGTGTACGCCACTCACTACATCAGCCAATGAGTTGAGGAGGCACCTCTGACTGCAACTCTTTGTGCCCTTCCCGTCGGGAACGAGTATCTATTTCAGTATTTTCCCATCGTATCCGTAGGCTTGTAACATACATCAACAGAAAATTACATCAACAGGGTTGCCTCCATCTAAGTTGCTAGTGATGTCCTCTGGGGTTGTCAACAGATTGGTGAGGCAAGACTTGCATGACACCATGCTGACTATCCTCAAAAACGTTCATGTCATGTGAGCTTGTGTTCTCTTATGGCTTCCAGTATTGTGCATGTTATACGCACGTGTGGTCTAGCGGTGGAGCACAGGATTCGTGATCGAGAGGTTGTGGGTTCGAACCCCACCGTGGCCATGCGTGTTGTGCCCTTGAGTAAGGCACTTCACCTCAATTACTCCTCTCATGGAGCAAGGAAAACGGGTACCGGCATTGTTCAATGCTGGGAAGGTAACAGACTCGCTGTGGAGGAGGTGTGTCGATCCCCCCACAGCAGCATATGAGTCTGGCCCAATCGCTATGAAAGAGAGATGGGCACTCCGTTCCTGTGAATACAGGTTCGTCCCCTTTACCCTTTACCTTTACGCAAGTCAGGCTGACGGGCCTGTAATTCCCGGCTTTTGTCCTTGCACCCTTTTTGAATATTGGAGTCACCCTTGCACTGTCTTCACTCTTTGGGCAGCTCCCGGAGTCCACAGATATTCTAAAGATGATGAATAACGGTACTGCCAACTCCTGACTGCACTCTCTTAACAGTTAACACCTGGGGTGTTTCCGGTCTGGTCTGGCCTAGGGCATTTGTCCGGTTCAAAGTCATCCTCGTCGGGGATGACTTTGAACCGGTCATGCTTGTTTAAGAGCTTCCAAGTTTTCCTGAACCTCTTCCACTGTAAATTCGATATCATCTAGTGAATTATTCCGATCAACTTGCCTTTCAACGTGGGGAGCTTCACTATCAGGCTCATTTTGTAAAGACTGATTGGAAAAAAATATCAGAATTAATAATCTCAGCCGCTTTTTGATCGGATTCGGAAACCGCCCCCTTCTCTCTCCAAATTGGAAATTCCAGATTTCACTTTTTGCTTTCTCCTCACATGGCTATAGAATGCCTTTAGGTTTATCTTTGAATTCCTTCATCAATTTCCTTTCAAATTCAGCTTGAGCTTTTCCCACTGTTAGTCTGGTTCTGTTGTTTTGCTTCTTGTTTTTTAATTCGTATAATCACGATAACTCTTCGTTCTCCTGTTTCGCTGATACTGTGCATGTTTCTTCTTAATTGACTTCCTGACTCTTGATTTCATCCATTGAGGCTTGTTATTGGGCTTCTTTGTGGGAACATTGTCTCCAACTGCCTTCTCATATCTGTCCTAAAGCAGTTGCTGTGCTTCTTCATATTATCATAAGTAAGTCATTCCATCTCTTCTTTATGCTTCCAAAGTAATCTTTCAAAATCTACAAACAAAAGTCCACACTAGACCAACGTGGTCATTTTTGTCGATGGGTGCAACATCTTCAAGTTGCAGATTCTCGACCATGAACTCTCCATTGGTAAACAAGTCCAGTACTAACGATCTGTTGCTAATTCCCTGTGCTTCTCAGGGAAATTCACATGTTGGGTTAAATATGTATCTTGAGATACATCGAATAATGCGCTGGCGGGATGATTGTCCCCGGCATTGACTTGAACACCTTGACCAAGGCTACCATACAGTATGGTAGTATTTTGTGGCGGGTTTTGTACGTCTGGACCGTACGTTTATAATATGTTAGCGGCCGACCTTCTAATACCGCCGAACGCTTTGACCAAGGCTATAGCGGGTTTTGAGAAATGTTGATGGTTCAAACGAGAAGTACACAAAGCAAATTAATTAGGATCATAACTGCCTCACTGAAAATTGACACGATTGGGCAACTGCCTGCGATCCAAGACTGCTCCCCTGTGATTGCCCGGCGCGAGCCATCTCTGCAAACATAGATTTCATAGATTGCAGCACGAATAGAGTGGAACCGCTCGCGGGGAGTAAACCAAACTCTTTTTTTAAGATTTAACTTTTGGAGGCTATTTTGTGTGGTACAACGTTTGGATTTCCATGATTTTATCTAAAAAAAACAAAACCAGCAGGCCTGGGCCAATTGCATAGAGCTGCTTAAGCACAAAATTTGCTTCAGCACAAAAACACTTGCTTAAATTATTATAATCAGGATACCGGCCAAAACGCCTTGCGATGCACATTGCTTGTGATTGGGATTTAGCTGTTTACTTGGCATAACAATCGCATGGAGTTTTGGCAGGTTATCTGATTATATTAAGCAATTTTTTTGTGCTAGGTTAAGCAAATTTTGTGCTTAAGCAGCTCTTTGAATTTGACCCTGAAGTGCCTATCATCGAGACATCGACGCACCTATCATCGACCCAGTATTAAACCCGGCCTGACTGTTGGTGCACACAGGACAAATGTTTTGCGCGTTGCTTTGCTGTACTAATAACAGAAGCAGGAAGACGTGTATTTAATTGTGATTTGATTCATGGACTTCCATTAATGTCAAGTGCACTTTTGTGAGACGGTCCCCATTTCTCTTTTACACAATTCTAAGATTTCCTACTTTAAATTAGCATATAATGACGACACTAGATTTGTCAATTTAAGGTGTCCAACGGGGTCTTGTGGTTCAAAGGCGCCAGAGGTAAACTTCCAACTCATACAATTACAAGTGTGTATTTGCCTGCAATCAGGACCCTCTTTCGTCCCTCTTTTGTTTGTACTTTATAACTTTTTAGGAAGATCCCATATGTTTTGTATACACGATCGTAAACTGGGGACCTTCGGGACTTGGGGATCCTATTGTCCTCTATCGTTCAACTATTGAATCATTGGGTTGGAGAAAGTCACCCACAGTGAGCAATCTTGAATTGGAGTAGGCTTCCCTCTCATTTGGTTGGAAATCACCACCGATCATCTCCAGGTTATACCGTGGAAGAAAGAGCGGGAAGTAAACTTACATGTACATGTTCTATATCGTTGGGCTTGGCATGGTTAGAAATGCAAGCTACTATATATTTTAGTCGATGGATAAGACTGGACATTATTTAGATTACGTCACATAAAGGAATTTCACATGTTTGGCATAGGATGTACGTTTGTGTAAGTTGGCCCTGGTGCCTCCTTTCAACTGGCCAGGAAGGAAGTGCTGTGTTTTTTTCTTGTTTTACATCCCTCCCTCGCAAGCCTTGGAAGGCAGTTCCCAAGTTGATACTGTAACTGGAGTGCGGAAGTGCAATACATGTGACGGGCATGTCGGCACTAGTATCGGGCATGTAGAAACGAGTACCTGACAAATTAGAACAAGTACCAGCGGACTGAACCAACAAATAGTTCTCTTGTTGTATATAATTACCTGTGCGATTGACGTGCACATGCGCGCACAGGTTCAGACTTTCCAGTGCATGTTGGATAGGTTGCGCAAGCGTACAAATTCACCACGGGATCTGGAGATACAGTGCAAGAGAAGAGTCAACGTTGCCATTGTGATCACTGGATTCCCGAAGGGGAGGGTGTTATCACAGTCTGCAGTCATCTTGTTTTCGACCCAATTCGCCTATTGGTCAGCTAGCAGTTCAGCTTGCCCATTGCCTTCTGCATCTGCCGGCCACTGAGTGGGCACTGTGCGATGTAGACTCAGAGGTCTTGTTTAAACGAGTACATTTTGTGAGCTTCATAATAAGAATTCCAACTGTAAACTCCCAAAAGCTGTTGTGTTGCTTGTGAGTACAAAGATGGGCGGTCCTTGCGGGTCGACGCTTGCGGCGTGGCTTGTGGGAACTTGGTACCTGCTCCTAGTCTTCTGTGCCCATGGCAACGCGCAGGAAACAGGTATGTTTTATTAAGGCCATGGGGGGGGGGGGGGTGCAACGAGGCCATGCCCCCCAACAACAACAAAAGAACCCATTTTTTTAAGTGCCCGTCGCAAAAAAAGGCAGCCGCTGCTCACGCACACCACCGTGCCTCAAAGCCGGTTCATACTCGGCGCGAAAGCGAACGCGAAATCGAATTTGTGACCTCGGAGCAGGTTTTTGCGTTGCGAATTCGCAAAAGTTGAACGCATATTCAACCCCGGCGAATTTCGCAGTGAGTGCTTCGTGAGGTCAAATGTGCATCCTATTCGCATGAAGTATGAATCGGGGCCCAGCTATGTCATTTTATTCATAAAAATTCCTTAAAGATAATGCGAACCCCCCCCCCCCTCCCCGCTGCTTTGACACCCAAAAAATATACTGGTAATAATGTCCGCCTGTGCACACAATACGGATAGACCCAGCTTGCTTAGGGGTATTTGTCCACTATTCTGTAATATAGTGTTAATAATCGTCTGATTTGAACAGCGCCCCCATTGAAAGTATGGTGCGCCCCCCCCCCCCCCCACCTATTGATTTTTTTTAAGTTTCCGGAGAAAAACACCTGTCTACATTTCAGAATGTTTTGCTGATGAACCCAGTGGCGCACCCAAGGGGGAGGGGGGGGGGGGCTCGGGGGCTTGAGCCCTCCCCCCAAGAGGTCTTTTTTTTATTTTTATTTTTTATTAGTTCCCCGATTTGACCTTGGTGATATGTATGTGGCCTATTTTCGAGTAGTATGGGTGTAAGTGGCGCCACCAACGTCAAAAAAGTCCGCTCCTCCACCCCCCCAACCCCCCCCCCCCCAAAAAAAACCAACAATTTTTTGGGCGACCAAACATTTTGGGCAAAATGTTTTGAAACCCCCCCCCCCCCCCCCACAAAATTCCTGGATCTGCCCCTGTAATCTGATGCACTGAGGGACGTAGGGTTTCCCGACTACGCAGTGATGTTGCCGCACCAAGGCCAAGGGATATATGCACGTTTCATATTGATATTGGTGCGGTGTGAACTTAACTGCGCCTTCCGAAACCTAAGGTCGGCCAGGGCAACCATGCAGGCACTTCCTCTTGTTATATGCCATGTTTAACTGGGTTTTTTACGTGCGTAATTTAAGGAAATATTTACTTTAGTAACTTTTTTGTATTGAGCAAGCCCTAGTCTAAAAATGCAATAGCTAGAAATTCATTTCGGGGGAAAAAATCCGCTTTGGTGATTTTTCCCTTGTATTTAAGTTGTAAAGGGGTTTTTAAGGTGCCAAAAAACTATGAGTTTCGATCTTTCTCGTGTCACTTTTTCGCTTAAGATTTCTAGACATTTGAAGTGTTCACAGGGCAATAAAATACTGAACATAATAACCCCACGGAACGATCTTTTACAAACAATACATTTCTTTTCGATAGATGCTTTTTTGTTTTGATAAAAAAATTGCAATTTTAAAAGCCGACTAAACAGTATTGTTGTTGTGATTTTTGCTTGCTCGCGATTCGTGGTACCAGACCTCAACAATATGAAAAACTGTGCATACGCAGCATGTTACTGCATGCAACGTGTGTGTACACAGCGTGGGTGTGCCGACGTGTGTCACTGGGCGCGTCCATTGTACCTCAGAGGGATTACGACAAATTGTGGCGCAATAGGGCGCATGTATGTATGTTACAAATTAATGTTTGAATTTTATAATAAATAATGATTGAATTTTATAAAGTATTTGGACACTCACTGCTTTTCCAGTTTAATTAATGCATTGGTTACAGACGTACAGAAACCTGTTATAAACAACAATAAATTGAAGGACGTATTTTAGATCCCCTTTCGTGTACGTGTTTGTTACGTTCCTACTGAAATTACCATACGTTCTCTGGAAAGAGAGGAGTGCCGTGATTGGATTTGGAAGAAAGCCCTTATTTCCCCTCCTCCAATCAAAATAACTCTTGAAAATTTCGTACAGCTCGGTGCGATAACTAAATCGACTTTGCTGTTCGATTTATGTAATTTCCATATTTTTTTGTTTTAATGTTTAATGTTTGTAAATGCTGTAATTAATAAATAAATGTACCAACACCCCCCCCCCCCGGAAATCGACCAAAAAACGTGTTGACCTCCATAGGAAATCAAGATTTTTTCGTGTTTATTAGCATATTTCAACTCAAAAGGTCCGATGTTCCCGAACATGCTTTACATTACAAATGTGATCATCTTGAAGAGTATATGGTTTATACTTTCAAATGCTGAGCGATATGGTTAGATATTATCATCAATCTTTTTTAACGGGCTAAAGTTCAGAAGAAGTGTTTTGTTTTTTTTGTGGCGAATGAACAGTGTCGTGAGGGATGTTGAGCAAAATGATGTCCGCAAGGTTATATGGGTGACCTGACTAATTTTCTGAGATCGTGGTTACATGCTCAATACATTTTGAAAGCAGGTGTTTGGCAATATTAAAATGCGGTCAATCAAGAGATAAAGATCCAAAATCTGATAAATCAAGTTAGCTTTTGCCCTTCACCGACGTTTAAACACTGTATACTCAGTGTGTTACCTCGGTGTTACCTCGGTTAAACGTCGGTGAAGGGCAAAACCTAATTTGATTTATATCACCCCGACGCAAAATTCCATCTTATAAAAATCAGATAACTTGATAACCCCCTCTACCGTTATGTACAAGCTAGTGTGTACATATATATGTTGGGGAAACTTCGGAAAGATGCTTTTGACGAAAACAAAACGGTCCTAAATGTAAATAAACGACATCTGAGAAAAGACCAGTTGTTTCAATGAGCTAAATAGTGAAACCGTAACAACGGATCCCAAATTAAGTGGTCTATAAACGAAACATTACAAAGATATTTTCTTTAGTCATCAGTGTAAAATCGGCAGCCCTCATTACGAATGCAAACAGGTGCCGCTGAAATGTAGTACGTGTGGGAGGAGCCACTCGTCTCCAGTGGGGCGTAATTGGTTTAATCTGAAAGATAAAGATTTTTGGCTTAAGGTTTTAATTTGGTGTTAGTCGTTAGTTCAGATTTTAGGTTTCATTTTTTAATTTGGTTATTGGTCTTTGATTTGCTGTTCTTGTTAATAAATTATTTTTGTCCTTTTTTTGTTTGAAATCTAGAATTGGTGTCCCTTAATTGTCTTTATTATTTTAATTTCCTCACGACTTTTCCTTTCAAAGATCCGCTAAGTTCATTTTAGTTTCATTAGTTAATGCGAGTTCCCCAAAGCGTGTCATTTTTTCCAGGTTACATATGCATTGAACTTACGCACCTTCACCTGATAATATAACGGCCTATTAACAGTTTTTATACTGAAACTGTATACGGTACCTTTCTTTTGGGGGGAAGTCTATAAAGCCATAATAACGGAATTGTGACCAGACTCGTCATAAACGTGAGGGGTAGGGAAGTTTAAACCCTCCCTCTTGGACAGCCAAAAGGGGAAAATAACACAGAAGAATAACACATACTAGCCACCCCCTCCCCTACACCTAAACCCCCATCAGCCAAACCTGGATCCACCCCAGTTGCAAACACCTACTCAAGGGCGGCTCCAGAACACAATTTTTTTGGGGGGGGGGGGCCAAAAAAATTTGGTCCCCCCAAAAAGTGGGTCCAAAAAATTACGGCGTGGGGTTTGGGGCCCGCTTAAGGGCCCCGAAATTTTTTTTGGATTCTAGATGCTCTGTGGTGCGATCTGAGGCAATTTCCGACCACTTTAACCGTTTTTTTTTTGAGGAAAAGATGGTGGTGTACTCATTGCCTGCCTTTATTGCGATGGCACATAAAAAATAATAATTGGTTTCGTTTTTGTTTGTTTTTTTTTGGGGGGGGGCATGGCCCCCTTTGCCCCCCCCCCCCCCCCCGATCCGCCCTTGCTGGTAGGTAAGTTCGTGACTTTTCATACTTTACTGCGCCTGTATAAAGTTTTAATTCCCCGCTGTGACTGGACTCCAGATACGAGACTGCATCAGGTTGCACAAGGTATAGGCGTATGTTGTTTTCTTTTTCACCCTGATTTACTTCCGTGAAGGTTTACAGCTTTGGTGAAGCGCCTTCTAACCACTGACCTTGAGGATCCCATTTCCCGATTTCTCCATTGATAAAATAAAAAGAGCCTCTGTATATCCGCAAATTGTAAACAAAAGATTAAAGTTCGCAAGTTTTGTGTAACTGAACAACGGTGACAGGATGTAAGGCAGGGTGCGGTGGAAATGGTGCGCCGTACCAGCGCGTGCCAACAGGAAAGAGCACATGCAAACAATATCAGGAAACTGCGCAATCTCTCAAGCACATTGCATCAAATCACGACGCCCCCGCTATTAAAGCTCAATCGGGCTCTAAATTCAATGAAAACTCTTTTGAAACTTATTTGTCCTTGATTTGGACAAAGTTATACAGGGATGGGTGACAAGTGCATTGAGACACCGATCTATTATTTTAATCATTGAGTGTCCAATTTTTTTTTTTTTTGCCGTAGCTGTGCATGCGGTTCCGAATAAATTTGCCTCCTCGATAAAAGTTTATGAGGTTCTGCCCTTGGCTCAGGGCAATATAACGGCCAAACTTGTAACGCTCAGGGCCTGTTTCCCCCCCCCCCCCAGAATAAAGGCCAAAGGCAATTTGTGTGCGTGGGTTTTTTTGCGCTTGCCGTGCGTGACATTTTTTAATAGGCCTCTATATCTTGCAAAGTCCGTTGCCTTCTGTGTGGAGTTGTTCTGTAAATAAATAATTTCTTTACATTTTTTCCAATCATGAAAAAGTGGCACTTTTCCTCACAATACCACTTGCTTTCCAAAAAGTTTTAACAGACTTGCATGATCTAGAGTTTTGATTGACAGACTTGCTTTCTAGATCTCAAAAAGTTTGTGCGATGCCTGTGATTAATTATTGCCTATTTATGAAACTTATTTTAAACACATTGTATTCGCGGCCGAACGTCGTTCGCGTAGAGGTTTTCCAGTTTTTATGAGTGATTATTTGC